GCAACTGTTCTGGTAAGGTCTTTCTACCTACCTTTCCCAGAATTCTCCTCGTCTTAGTCCCACCCATCTTCCTGCCTCATTGGCCAGACAGTGTTTTACTTATCAACCAATAAGAGAAACATAGATACAAAAGGACTTCCCCCATCATGGTAGTCCTGCAACAATGGCTGATTAGGAATGGTCAGAGGGTCTCCAGTGGGATCAAGGTGGTATAGATAATGACACAGTTCCCATGAGTGAGGCAGAGAAGTAATACTCAAGTGTCTACAATTCCTAGCATCCCAGGAATTCAGAGAGGGTCAATTTAGAGACAGGCACAGATAAACCACCCAGTGAGTCTTCAAGCAAAGGAGTGGGGGCAAGGGCTCTGAACCAGAGCTTGGTACCAGCACTTCAAGAAAAACCAGAAGGCGAGGAAAAGACTGTGATCCAGAAGGGAAACCTCACATCCAGGGGAATGCCCAGAAGTGGATAACCCCACCAGAGACTCAGTTGTTGGTATTAAATGTAAGGCAAAGCTATCAGCGAATGAAAAAGCAGATTTGTTGCAGGCAGAAAAGAGCAGATCTATTGAGGGTAGAGTAGGTAGGTAGCATAAAAGGACTACAAAGTGCTAGGAAGTGCATTTTTGGTAGTCTTATTCCCCATGAGTGAGGAAGAATATTGAAAGCTTTAAAAGGCCTGCTTCTAAAGTTTTCACTCAGAGTTCAAAGGGACTAAAATCTAAGGTAAAGAATTGACTCACAATTGTTAACTCTGCTTGTTCCTTTATTCTTCTGCTCTCTTCTCTTTTTCTATTTTCCTTTTCTCTCCTCAGTTCTTGGGTGGTATATATAGGTTTGCAACAGTAATTCTCTGTGCATTACAATGAGAGGCTTGAGTTTCTCAGGGTCAGCAAGGCAGATAAGATTTACACACAGATCAATAAACTAAAACTATTAGGAGAAACTTTTAGCACCACTTGTCTAGGGCTCTATGTCAAGGAAAGGGTCTAAGTTTAATTTTCACAAGAAACAAAACCTGGTGCCTTCCAGTATTCTGGCTTCAGTGGTGGCACAGGAATTCAGGAAAGTTTACTTTTCCCTGGGGATTAGCAAATGGGCTGATTACTTTTGTGTTTATCTTCTTAGGGTAAATAGGAGGGAACAGTAAGTCTCTGAGCTAAGATCTTGGGATGAAGATAAATGCAAGAAGTGTGAAAATCTTTTAGTGTAGGGTTAATGTAGGTTATCGCTTCTCTATCTGCCAGAGAGGTAAAGGTAGGGCATGTTATTTTTTTTCTATCTATCTAGGCAGCTATGAATCAGCAACTTTGGTTGTGTAGTGATTTTATGTCCTTGGATATCTGGAAAAGTCTTAGATGAAATGCTTTTGCCTGGGGCCTAAACACTGACCAAATGCTTGTCAATAAGGATAGTTGCAGGAAGGCAGATCTCTGCAGTTACATAGGAGAAGGAAACAAGGACCCGATGGTGGGAAACAAGTCTCAAACATAGCCAAGGAATATAATCAGTAAACTTGAACTGCATGGGAGAAATTGTTCCCAGTAAATGACCAGATAGTGTTAAACTGTGGGAAGTAAATCCCAAGTTTGTTGCTGAAGGGAATAAACTACAGGAATAATCTACATCTAGAAACAGCCACTTTTATTCATAGGACTGTATTCCAATACTTCTTGCCTCTTGGTCTAATCCATCAGAAGAATCCCTAATTCTTTGGAATTATCTCATGAGAAGATGACTGTATAATTACTGTGTGTTCTTGCCGCTTGTAGCAGAAGAACAAGATCCAAATGGTTTTTATCAAGCTAGGATGGAGCAAGAAAGCCAATCCAAGAAACGAGACTGGCACAGGCCTGGTGCTCAGATGAGCCCGAGAGAACCATGGTCGCCTGGTACCAAGACTCAATGAGGCCAAAAGGTGAGAAACCACACTGGAGAGATAAGTCCTCACTGGTGGGAATAGTCAGAGGTGGGGAAGGGAGAGAGGCTCACCAATCATGCCAGTTCTTGATGTAGGGACCTCGTGATCCAGAGACGCAAGGCTGTAGCATACAGACAGGGTTCCACATTTCTGGCATGCCTTAAACTGCCTGCGGACAGGAGGAAACGCCAGGAGAGCCTTCCCTGTCAGGGAACCAATGTTGTAATTTTAAAAAGGCGTTGGGAGAGAGATGCCAATTGACAGAGTTCAAGTGGGAAAAGGATTGTAAAAAGGGGGAAGAAGAGGGGGGAGGATGGGCCACTGGGTACAGGAGTAGAGGAGGGGAGGGGGGAGAGAGGAGAGGGAAAGAGGGAGAAAGGGGAGGGAGAGAGAGGAACAGACAGAAAGAAAGAGAAAGGGGAGGTGGGCAGGGCCCTTTTAAAGGGAATGTAGTGATTGGTAGTGAATGTGCACAGGTGGTGCTCTTAGTGATTGCAGCTGAGAGCGTATCCTGTCAGAACCCCAAGGACAGGCCAGTACAGATGCCTCCATAGCAACAAAAACTCTGAAGAATTAAAGAGCTCTCTCTAGCTGTGCATAATCTGCTGTAAGTGTATCCCTTAAGTTTTAAATCTTAACTATTATTGCTATTTTTAAATTTTATGCATTCTAATGGATTAGTTTCTTTCTCTCCTAATTTAACTAATTTACACAGTCTCTTAAATTTGGAGTATAAATTCTATATTCTACATAATGTCTATTAGCTTTAGTTCTTAGTTTACTAGTTCTCTCTCCCTCCCCCGTCATGAATGTTCAGGATTCTGGCCATGAAGTTCTCTTTTAGGAGGAATGTATTTCAATCTGTTACCCCATGCCCTGGGTTCACATGCCTGTGTATTTGTTTGTGTCTTCTTTGTAAGATTCGAAGAATTGTTAATGACAGGAAGAGGAAGAGTACAGTCACAAGCAATAGCCTCTTGGGGGGCATTTATAACTTTCTAGACAGTACATTACATATATTAATAAATTTAATCACAGAATAATCATATGTATGGCATGTTCTGTGTATGTCAACATTTGTATTTCTCAGCACTACTAGCTGAAGAAACATTGAGAGAGAAATGTTTAAAGAAATGGTGCAAAATCAGAGAACTAACTTTTGTTCCAGAGTAAGCATACTAACTGCTATAATGTTGCCCCTGTTATTTAGTAAGGAGATCTCCCTCTTGTCTTCTGGACCTGAAATCTGACAAAAAAAAAAACACATATGCACACACCCACTCTACCTTTGCATTTTATTTTCTTTTTAAGCATGGGGCTTTCAAGGGTCTGCATCAGGTCCTTTGTGAATATGTTGTGGCTGTTAGCTTGGTGGTTTTATAGTGTTCTCTGACTCTTTTTTGCCTGCTCTTGGAACTCTTCCTCCTGTTGGGTTGCCTTGTCCGTCCTCAGTATAAAGGTTTTTGCCTGATCTTAAATTGTGTTTTGTTTTGTCATGTTTGGTTGTTGTCTCTTGGAGGCCTTCTCTTTTCTGAAGAGAATGGACGGGGAGTGGATCTGGGGGAGATGGGAGGTGGGGAAGCTGGGAGGAGTGGAGGGATAGGGATAGGGAGGAATTTTGTAATACATTATCATCTCAGAAAATAAAAGAAATGATAAAAATTTATGTTATGTGCATGAATGTGGTGTATGCGCATGGGTGTGTGGATGCCAGGGGAGACCAGAAGAGAATATTGGGTGTGCTGCTGATAGTGTCCTCAGCCTTACTTCTTTGAGATAGAGCCTCTTCCTGGATTTGGTGAGTAGTGGTCAGTGAACATCACTACTCCCTTTGTCTTCACCTCATATGCATGGCCACATTCATCTTTTCTGTATAGGCGTAGGGCAGTGGCGGCAGCCCTCAGGAGGCAGAGGTAGGTGGATTTATGTGAGTTTGAGGCCAGCCTGGTCTACAGAGGGAGTTTCAGGGATGCCAAGGATACAGAGAAACTGTCTTAAAAATGAATAAAATAAATAAAATGGAATATAAAGAATATAAAGCAATGTTAGCACTAAAATTAGTGGAAACATTAATTATATTTTAGGTGACTTCAAAAGATTTGTTCTACTTTTGAAACAAACTTTTAAGTGTTTGTGACCCCTTTTTCACAGTTCTGGGACCTTTAGAACACCTCTGTTAACTTGTTTGTTTTGACAGTTTTCAGTGTAAAAAATGTGATATTTTACTTTTGTCTACTTTTAAAGGTAGAATTAATTTCCAAGTATATTATCATGGCTGTAACTGTTATTGCCTTAAAATTATCCCATATGCTCTGGAACATCCCTGTGATTTACGATTATTAACACATGTGGATCAGGAGCCATGTCAAATATTTGAGATTTCCCAACTCAGTGGACTTTGCTTTCCTGTTTTGCCGTTTGCTGTAGCAGATCAAAAAGTTTTCAGTGCCTTTCAGATACACTGGACAGTGAGAACGCAATAGATTTCAGGTATTCTAGTATGGATGCATAAAAGTCTGAATCCTTTTGTGTGTTTTTAGTCACTTAAAATCTATTTTTTGTCTACATAACTCATTAAATCCCTTGTGACTGTGAACAGAGAAGAAAATAATTTTTCATTTGTCTACCATAGGAAGTTCTCCAAGTTAGACTATGGATTACTTTACTTTCAAAAGAAAAATAGAAAAAGAAAAGAAACTTTCAGTTTCAGCTATTTTTTCCACTTAGCATGAATTTGCCAAGTTGAAAAGTGACAGCTGTGTTTAGTTATGTGTAGTGAGAAAACATTAATTAGTATTTCTCATGCAAATTTAACAGCTTAGTTTGATTAGTTAATGTTTTTATTCTTTTCTTGTCCTCTCTCCATCTTGGTCTCATCATATCTAAAAGGATTGAACATTTTTTTTCTTATTTGCTTTATTTTTCCCAGTTGAAAGGCCGAATGAACAGTTGTAGGGTTTGTTTTATTCTCAACCAATCACAGAACAGTATTTTCCCAGGAGACTAACTGGCTTACAGGGAAAAGGGACACAAAAAACAAAACAAGTTCATCATGTGCAGCTTGGATTAACCACATCCCTTTTCAGAAACCAGTCTGCGTAAGAATGGCTGGGAGTAACCACCTACCAAGGGATATATAAGGAACTAGAGATAATGTTTTAACTGGCGCACTAGAAAAGAAGAGAACTGTGTGACTGCTTCCAAGGAATGTAAATGTTCCGCAACAGTAAGTATCTTTTTTGTGCTCTACTAAGATCAATCTATTTTTCAGATGTTTCTAGATACTTCAGTATTTTAAGAACTAATTTTGATTTTTTTCTTCAACCAGATTTCATTTTGTAAATACAACAGTAGAATCTAGCTTGCTTCCATTCTAGCCAAGGGAAAATTGCATAAAATATTTTTAATGTAAATTTAGGAAAGAATAAATTTAAAGACTATGGAAACTGAAAAAAATCTTTAACCTGTTTATTTGAAAATTTTCTGGGCAAAATTACTTTTCTATCATATTTTTCTTATTATTTTCTTTAAAAAATTTATTTTGTACTTTGCTTTCAGAGTTATTGAGTGGCATCTATATTCAAAAATTGAGAGAAGTCTTATTCTGCTTGTGTATCAGAATCAAGTAATTTTGAGTATGGATTATTATCCTAAAGCTTAGTCCTTTTGGTAAAATTTATTCATTTAAAATTTATTTTATTTCAATCTGAAAGTATATTCCAAATATATTTCTTGGGATTGTATCTAATGAATGTAATTTATCATCAATTCAAGTGAGTTTAAGAAATCGGGATTTTGTTGTTTATTTAATTAGTTATGGGATTTTTACTAAAATGTAAGAAACAAAAACAAGTAATAATGGAATGAATGTAATTGAATTACTTTATTCACATCATTGAATTCTGTTTTAAAATATAATTATACATTTTCTGTACCCTAACGCTATATTTTTTTGACTTACAATGTTTTGTTTTATTGTAGAAGTGTGACGATAATCACCCCACATCCCACCATAACCTATTCCTCCAAAATCTTTAAAGTAGATGTTTTTCAAGTAAAATCTAGTCATAAATTGTTCCAACAATATTTTACATTTTGTTACAGTTTTAAGTGTAGTAAATATTGGATCAGAAGTATAGTCAAGGGTTTTCCTAATGTTTTGGTTCACCTATTGTTTGTTCACTTAACAAGCAGGTAAAGTGACTATGAAAGAGATAAGTGTATATCAGCAAACCCGAGCACTTCTACACAAGAATCTGCTTAAGAAATGGAGAATGAAAAGAGAAAGCTTCTTGGTATGTGCAAAAATTTCACCCTTTCCTCAGAACTCTTCTTTCCTTGCCTAATTATTTCAAATATTGCATTATAAACGGTAGACGAGATTCATTACTTGAAAGAAGGGTGTTTTTTATATTACTAGCTATATTTGTTAATTGAGAAATTCATAAAGATCTACAACCAATGCCATAGAATTACAAACACTAAAAGTATTACATTAAAAAATGAAATAAATATCCATAGTGTATGAATGGACTTTGGGAACCCATTTCCTATAATGGGATACTCTCTCAGCTTAGACACATGAAGGAGGGCCTAGGCCCTGCCCCAAATGATGTGACAGACATTGATGATCCCTCATGGAAGGCCTCACCCTCCCTGGGGAGCAGAAGGGGGAATGGAATGGGGTATTGGTGGGGGGCTTGGGAGGATGGGAGGGAGAGGGAACTGGGATTGATGTGTAAAATAAGATTGTTTCTAATTTAAATTTAAAAAGTGAAAAAAAGAAGTAAAGTAAAAATTTAAATGTATGGTAAATTGTAACAAACATTAAATGGTCACATATTCTGCATTGGTAACCAAGACATAATATAGATTTTGCTAAGTATAAATTGAGAAATTTTAATTTTATTGTTTTATTATTAAAAACTTTATTTTCTACATAACGATTATTTTCAAACAATTATTTTCAAATAATTACAAAAGGACAACATTGTTGGTTTGTACAAAGCAGATTGTTTGAGAAGTGGTGAATAGTACAAGTTTCAGTGGGTTAATGCATAACAAATGTTCAGTTTTCATGATTTTCATTACAGTCGGTAGTAGAAGTAGGTTGAGTAGGGAGAAGACTATTTCCTTTCATGCAGGGACCTAGGCTTCTCTATCTAGAGACTTTGCCATCTGCTCAGACCCTGGTAACCTCTGCTCATAAGAAAAAGAAAAAGACAGTAGATTGGGTAGGGATCTACAAACCAGGTCTAGTGTGGCATGTAGTATGTCTTCCTACTTTCCATAAAAAAGAACTCAAATACCTATCTCCACTTACACTTGTATTTTAAGAGTATGTTCTCATCAAGACCTACAGTTTTCAAATTAATCCATACTACATTACTTTAGTGTGGCCACTTAAAATAAGTGAAACTGCAGTGTCAACATTTAAAGGTAAATTCCAAAGACAGGGACATATGTGATTTGTGCAGATAAATTCTGGCATTGGTAAGCTGAAATGGTTATTAATGTGAAAACGCAACGGTGTCTTTTCTTTCTCCATTGTTTTGAGAGTGCTTCGTGGTTCCTGGTTCATATTTCTCCTATATGGTAGTCAGACTGGAGAGAGGTGTCCTTGGGCATTAAAGAAGAATTCCCAATTTCTTGAAGAAAAAGTGTGTTCTAACATTATACCAAGAAGGAAGAAATTATTGCAGCCAGGTGGTGGGTGGCACACATCTTTAATCAGAAAGCAGAGGCAGGTGGATCTCTGTGAGTTTGAGGGCCGCCTGGTCTACAGAGCAAGTTCTAGGACAGGCTCAAAGCTAAACAGAGAAACCCTGTCTCAGCCACCCCCCACCACCCTCCCCCCAAAAAAAGAAAAAAAAAGAAATTATTGCTATTGGTGATTCACTCAAGATTGCCTGTCTCTCAGTTGCTATTTATTTCCTTTAGTTTCTAATACAAAATATGCCAGCTAGCAAGAAATATTGTAATTCGCCACTTTGTGTCTTATAAAATCATTCATGATTTAATGCAAAACTTTGACCAGAGAGTGATACATATGACTACTAACTCAGACTTAGTCTTTCATTGAGTTTTCCTGTCTCTAAAGATTGTACAGCAACAAGAAGCCATATTATATGTAAAAATTGAACTTGTCTTCAAAGTTCTTTGGTATTGGCCAATCTGAGGAGAAATAAATGTAGGCTCATTATTTTCTCTCTTAAAATTGTTTTATAGGAATGGAGTTTCCCAATTATTTTAGGGCTGTATATGGGTCTGTTTTCATATTTCAAAGAAAACATGCTGTTCCCTGAAACCCCGCCTCAAGATCTTGGAAGAATAGATGAATTTAATGGATCTTCTAAAATGGTTGTATATACACCAATCTCTAACATAACCCAACTGATAATGAATAAAACTTCTTTTGCTCCCTCTATGAAAGGTAAATATGCCAATGACAAGAAAGAATTAGTCTTATTGATTTATTTTTGATAAGATATGTACATGTTAGCTTGAAGTTCCAGTAAAGCATTATTTTAATAAATTCATGTATCAAGATGGCATATAATCCTCTTAGGTTTTTATCTTTCTCTTCTTTCTTTTTTTGAGACAGGGTTTCTCTGTGGCTTTGGAGGCTGTCCTGGAACTAGCTCTTGTAGACCAGGCTGGTCTCGAACTCACAGAAATCCACCTGCCTCTGCCTCCCGAGTGCTGGATTAAAGGCATGCACCACCACGGCCCAGTGGTTTTCATTTTTCTTTTGTAACAAGATTATACAATTCTTTCAGCTTAATAGGGGTTCAATTTATGGAGACCTCTGTTTGTATTAGAACATAAAAACAAAAACTTACAAATTTTAAAAATAGCAACTGGGAGAAATGTAGCTATTGGTGTATATGTATGTTTTTAATGTGGATACTTAATGACTAAGATTTATAGTTTGTTAAAAATATAAGTAATTAGGTCATGGCTATTTAACAACAAGTTCATAAGTATGAACATTAATGATGTGCAATTTAAAGGTGATACTCTTTACTATGTATAATATAGAATGCAAAACCTTTAAAGGTTGTGATTTTAAATTGGGCCCATTTTGTAACCAAAACTAAGAAAACATATATTTCAGTTATGAGCAACCTAGATGTAATCTGGCCATTTATTCTTTAATAATCATTTTTTAATTAATGAAATTTCTGGTTGTTATAGAGTCTGTTTGTTATGTTGTTTCTGCATAAGACAAAAGTCATGTAAATTGATTTTGCTTCAGTAAGAATTCTGGAATCCTCAGGGCTATAGTAATGACAACAGTGGATTACTCTTGTACTTAACAGCATGGTGGTCTTTTTTTCCTCATCCACCACTTGTCTTATTAAAACATGTAATTCACATACACAATTGAATAATTGGATTCTGTGATTTGAAACAGTAAAATAATGTTCTCTAGGTTGCTTTTATTTTGTTTAGTTTAAGTGGAAAAGTCTATAAAAACATGGCTCAGTCTAATATCACATTTTGTTTTGGTGGCATATTGTACAACCCAGTATACCTGTTTTCATCTTATACCTCACAGGAGCAAGAATAATTGGAGTACCAAGTAAAAATGACCTGGATGAAGTGCTTCTGAATAATATTCCTCGTGCTTTTGGAATCGTATTTAATGACACTTTCTCTTACAAGTTAGAAGTATTTCTAATGTATGGAAATCCATTTGTGAAAGAAGACTTACTAGGTGACTTTTCATATAAAATACTATTGTGACACTCTGTGTTTTCAACAAGAAGCAACAAGGTTGAGCAACAAATACTTTCAGTTTCATAGAAGAAAACAGACTAATATTTTATTGCTTCCCTTATATTAATAATTCAGCATGCAACTGTTGAACTCACAGGTCTAAGGGAATGGTCAGATCCTAATGTCAGATGTGGTAGCAGTTGAGTAGGAGAGACACGCATTGAATAATTAGTGTCAAGTTCAAGGGAAACTACTTGTGGTAACTTGGATCCAGGAGTCTTAACTGATTGTGGGATTAGAGAAGTAACTTTTAAAATAAAACCAAAGGGACAGCAAGTGTGAAGAGCTAGAGATACTGTGTTTCAGTAGAATAAAGATGTATCAGAGCATCCTACAGTAGCTGGAAGAGCATGAAAAGTCATGGGACGTGAGAGAAGAATGATTCTGCAGTGGCATAAGGGTTAGGTCCTGTTTGGTATCTTGAAAACCTATGCCATGGATAGCCATTAAAGTACTTTAATCAGGGAAGCGTGTGGAGAGTTGTTCAAGATTAATAGAGTACTCCTGTAGCAGGATAAATAAAAGACTGAGAGTCTGATATTGGGGTTCAAACTTCAAGTTGAAGATCAGAAAGGCAAACTAGCAGACCGCCAGCCAGCTCATACTACTACCGCAGGCTGAGTGGGCTGATCCTGCTGCCTCTCTTCAATGTGGCTGGAGAATCCTGAGACTTCAATATCTTCCTATCCTCAAAGTGGCTGGAGAATGCATGGCTGGAGAATGTATGTTCCTGTCTTCAGTGTGACTGGAGAATGAATGCTCCTACTGACTACTGAAGATCCTGCTTCTATCTTTTTTCCCCTTCTAGTCCTGGGATTAAAGGTGTGTGATCTGTTACTCTTTTAGATTGATTCAGTCTCATGTATCCCTGGGTGACCTTGAACTCAGAGAGATCCATCTACCTGTTAATCCTGAGTCCTAGTATTAAAATTGTGTACCACTACTTCTTAGCTTCTAGCTGCTGGGATTATAGGTGTGTGCCTGGCTTCTATAGCCTGTGACTGACTTTGCTTTCTGAATCCTCAGGTAGGCTTTAATAAATCATAAATAATATGTCAACACACTCCTGATACAGCCAAGAGAATTCAAGTTGCAAGTTCATGGAGAATGTAATTAAACCTGATGGCCACTTAAATTATATCAGAGGCAGCTGAAAAGGAGGAAGGTTTATGAGTTAAAAGATACTTGAGGCTGGGCGTTGGAAGCTCACACCTTTAATCCCACCACTCAGGAGGCAGAGGCAGGCGGATCTCTGTGAATCTGAGACCCACCTGACCTATAGAGCGAGTGCCAGGACAGGCTTCAAAGCTACACAGAAACCCTGTATCTAATCCCCCAAAAGATACTTGAGGACATAAAATTGGTGTGTACAATCAGTTCTTTACTACTATTCACACGGTGAGTGCAGTCAGCATGTGCTACACTGGGTTCCTGTAGAGTACAGTGAATGAAAACCAACTGTGGAGCCTCTTTTAAGAATTATTCTAGTCAGGAGCAGGAGGTAGGAGAGAGAAAAAAAGGATATACCAATGATATGATAAAGACAATAGAGCTACTTAGATATTTATGGTGTCTTGGAAACCCCCCTAGGATGAAGTCACTTTCTGAGAAGATTAGGATCAAGGGAGAAGTGTTCTTTGTGAGTAAAATTGTCATAGACTTGTGGATCTTGTCACTTGTAGCAAAAGGATTATCCAGAGACATTCAAGTGTAAAGTACAAGTTGTGTTCTTATGCTACAGCACAGGAGAGGCCACATGGAAACACTGGGAAGAAAATCATGTTTCTTCCCCAGAAAGGGTTGTGGCCCTTTGTCTTATTCATCACATGTCTGTGCAGTAGCTTGTCACAAGTCTTCAGACACTGTCTCATTGGCGTCTCCACTTCCTACCTGGCGGTATGCATTTTGCTAAGATAATTTATTCCAGGTTATTTGGGACGAAAGTTTCCTCTCATGCACACCCTTCTTTAGAAAAGTTCCAACACCTTAGGTACAGACATTGGGATCCAGTGTGTGTGTGTGTGTGTGTGTGTGTGTGTGTGTGTGTGTGTGTGTGTGTGTGTATCTTTGATATAGAAACCCTAAATCTTGTTGTCTTAGGAAGCTGGCGATTTCTCCATCCCTAGTCTCCTGGTGTGTGAGAGTATCTACTTTTTCTAAACCATATAACCTTCACCTTAACATTCTTTTCCTCTTCTCAAAATTACTATTTTGCTTGTGTGCTTATTTGCTTGCTTGGTTTGAGATATTATCATGCCATATAGCCTGTGCTAGCCTAGAAATCTATTATTCTTCTGCCTCAGCCTTCTGAGAGCTAGGATTACAGGTGTGCATCACTGTACCTATTTTCTCTATGGGTTAGAAGTTCTGACTAGTAGAGTCTCAATCACTTTCTTTCAGGTTGTTGTTCCTCATTTCCAATCTGCCTTTATGCCCTAATGATGGTTATACTCTTCCTTGTGCTTACAGCTCATTGCTGGGATATATATGGTGATGTTTCATGTGTATTGTCCAGATACTGGAAAAAAGGATTTGTGACTCTACAAACTGCCATCAATGCTGCTATTATAGAAGTGAGTGCTTAATTGAAATGTTCTAGTGGCTACTGTAATTAATTACAGAGGCATCAAGACTTTTAATAAAAGATGAATGTCACAGTTCATTTGCCCTACAATAATTAAACACCCAAGGCTGGATAATTTATAAAGAACATAGTTATTTTTCTCAGTTCTCAGTTCTGTCAAGTATATGATTAGGCCTCAGCAAGTTCATTTCTTACAGTTGTCATAGTCTAGGAGCTTTTACATGGCAGAAAAGATGAAAGGTCAAAGAGAAGAAGAACACTGTGTTCTCACTTGGCAGAGGAGCAAAAGGGCAAATTGCACATTAGAAATACTTACCAACCCTTTGATGAGTCACTCATCCATCCACAAGGGCGGGGCCCCATGACTTACTTCCCCAAACATACTACCTCTAATATAGTGAGGATGTATTTCCAAATGTAATGTAGAGGGACACATTCAAACTAGCAATTATGTCAACTCAGATTTTTAGCCAAGGAAGAGACCATTTGATTTAAAACTTCTAGTTCTGAAGTTGTTCACAGAAGCCTGCAAAATGACACTCCCAGTTCCCGCTAACAGTGACTCTTGGTGTTACTAGACTACAGCATTAAACTAGGGAAATGACATTACTGCAGTCTCCAACATTTACTCCAGTTTTGTCAATTTCTATCCTTTAATTTCTGTTTGCTTATATCTTTCTCTAGATCACAACAAACCACTCTGTGATGGAGGAGTTGATGTCTGTTAACGCAAAAACTATGAAGACATTGCCTTTTATTACTAAAGATATTCTTCAATATGAGTTTTTTATTTTAGTCTGTTTGCTTTATTTCTCCTCGTTTATGTATTTTATATCACGTAATGTTACTAAAGAGAGAAAAAGGTATAAGGAATTGATCAAAATAATGGGTCTACAAGATTCAGCATTCTGGTGAGTCATAAAGAAATTATACAGCAGTGAAAGTGTTATTGTTATAATTCCACAGTTTAAATTTGATATGTGGGATGCTTGTTGTTTTGCTCTGACTACTAGATGTAGTCTTTGTTAGATCTTCCATGGAAGATAGTCACTGTAACTCACTGAACATGGTTTTAACTTTGGCTTCTTTCCCATGCAGCCTCTGAGATAGAGGCACTATAATCAAGGCTGTAAATGAAGATACGAGAGTTACCCAGTGTTAGGTAGATGGCAAATGCCAGAGCCAGGTCTCAGTGATGCAGTCCTGATGGCAGTTCTGCCTAATCACTCCTAGTGATGAAATGACTTCTCCCCACTTCCTTATGTGAAGAAAGCAGTCTTGTAAGGGGCTGTTTTGCTCTTGGGCTGTTGTATTCATCCCAACCAGTGATGTTTTGAAGTAAGTAAATGCTGTTTTAAGTGATACATTATGATCAGGACATCACATATAGGCTGGTGTTTAGGACTTAATAACATCACTTGAACTACATATTCATATTTACACCTTTCCTCACCCCACAAACACTTTAAAGTGATTTTGAATATATACATATATGTTTATATGTATACAGGCATGTATCTATTTATGTATTTGTGACATAATAAAGGTGAGTACTTTCATGGAAATAAAGACCTAGGAAAATAGTAGATGAGTTTAATAAAGAGAAATACAAATAACATAACATGTAAACACCTCCGAAACAAAACACAGAATTTGGTATCAGTGACAAAAAGTATATTATCATGTCAAAAGGAAAAATTATGTGCTCAGAGGAAACATGGCATATTTTGATATTGATTTGGAGGGGAAACTTCTCTCTGTATTACACAAATCAAGAAAACTTGGTTGGGCATGGCAGTTCAGGCCAATCTTAGCATTGGGTAAGTGGATGCTGGAAGATGGAGAGTTTCTGGCTTATCTGAGCTGTCTAGAGACCCTCAGGGAGAGAAAGAGAGAGAGAGACACTGAGACCCTTCATGATAAACCAAACCTAGTGAAACTCAAACAAACACCACTTAAAACATACACAAACAAACAAAACACTCCATAAAAAACCCAAACTATATGTGTGGAATGGGAAAATCACATGGATTGCATGAATAATTGTTGACTGGACAATATAGCAACTTGTGTTCCCCGAAGTAAAATTATTTTCCATGTTCAGTATGTTTACCAACAAAGATAATTTTAATTCTAATGCATATGGATTAGGAAACGGAAAAGGAGGAAACCATGTTTTTAAAAAGTGAAGGATTTTTTGTGTGGGAGTATTGGTAATGACAGAGGAATGGATGTATGTCTTGTCATGTAAGCCTGTTAGGAAGGGAGAGAGAGCAGACCCCTGGAGAAAGGGTCTCCCTTCAGTCCAAGGCAAGTCCTAGGGGGTAGAATGCCCAGGGTCACCTTAAATTAGGAAGGAACCAGTCAGGCTGACATGAGGACCAAAGAGATAATAAACATTATAATGTCAAGTCATGTTCAGGGTGATTCTTAGTATGCATATAAGTTAAAACCTGGAATAGTGAATTGATATGTGCATCCTTAAACTAAGAAAGAAAATGCTTTGGAAATACTTTTTCCAAGTATCATACACCTATTGAAAGTAAATACAACTTCAACTAATGCCATAAATATGAAATGTAATAATTACTTTTTAAAGTATGATGCTTGTATTGTTTTGCAACCAGTAAGATTTTGTCTAAGTTTATTAATATCACCTTTCCAAGTCCACCCTATAGCTAGCTTCCCTTTTAAGTAATTATTTTAATGTCTTTATTTCATAATTTTCCTACACTGTGGTTTTTCAATCCTACCTAAAGTAGTCCCCTTCAGTACTTAGGAAGTAAATTCACAGAATATGTTACATTTTTAAAAAAATGTTGAAGTTTCTAACATAGGCCAATTCATTATGATATAAGGTCAAATTTAAATAAGTAGTAAATCCAGCTAAACATTTTACTTGGGTGTACTCTTGCAAATCACACATCTTTTGCTGCATTCTGCAGGGGTTGAATTCTTAGTAATTACACAGTTTTAAACAAAAGAAAGAACTCTGGGCATAATAATGGCTGCAATTATATTTGTGACTTGTTAATGCCTTGTTTTGTGACTTTTCACATACCCATTAACTAAGGGCCCACAATCTTATTATTTGTAAACGAGACGCTGGGACACATGCATCCTTATAGTCTATTCAGATCTAATAGTGCATGATGCTCTTTAACAATATTGTAAAAAATGTGAACACCAACACATTTTTAAAGCAAAATAATGTAAAAGTGTAAAGATGTGCTATGTGTCATAACTTATATCCATTTTAGTAAAGCAGTCATAGGAATAAGAAGCATGTGATGTCATCAGTGGAGTTGTGGGTTTTTAGTTTTCTATAGAGAGTGGTGGTATTGCCTGCAAAGATGCTCAGGCTCTGATGTCTGTAAAGGCATTTGATTGATTTGACTGACCATCAGCTGGTAAATCTCCTTCCAGCTTTTACAGGTTATTTGGTAATGTCTAATAAAACTGATACATAAACTTTAATTCAGTAATTTCACTCTAGAGATATTCTTCTTCATCTTACATAAAAACAAATGTAATAAAATTCTTGGCACCAATATAACAAAGAAAAATAGGAAACAGTTATCTAAGGTCAGAAGAACAATAGAGTGTATTAATAATAAAATATGTAAGCTCTATATGTAATATGTAATGTTGATTGATAAAGGCAAGTTACATGTAATATATACAGTGTAAACCTTGGTTTATACAATGCTCATAGTATTTGTGCAATACATACGTATGGAAGTCTGGCTCTCAGGTACCAGCAAGGCCATACTTTGGTTTTTAGCCACTTAATTGGTTGTGACATTCTTTCCCATTGGTTGGTGCCATAATAATATTTGGCACCTCCCATTAGTGTGTAGTAAAGGCAATCAATCAGAATGTATGGGATTCATAAGCAGGATGTTTGCCAAAAGATTACCTTAGGGAGAACAAGATGGAGAACTATAAAGAAGAGCACACACGATGGACTTCAGTCATGTTATCAGTATCATAGTCATTAAATTAGGGTGCACATACTAGAATAATGGTATTGTTCTTTAGATGTTTCTGTAGATGTAAAAATACTGATTTAAAGGGCTAAGTAATTTAAATATCTTTTGTCTTTGTTTAGGCTGTCCTGGGGCTTAATCTATGTTGGCTTCATCTTCATTATTTCCATATTCATTGCAGCTATCATAGCATCTGCCCAAATTATAGTAATGACTGGTTTCCTTGTAATATTTACACTCTTTTTCTTATATGGATTATCTTTGGTAAGTGTATGAATTTATTATCTCCTTTTACACATTACATCTTAGCTGTGAGTAGCAAACATTAATTCTCAAGGAGATTAATAAAGCACTTTTTCAAGTCCGGTGTGTGTATGTGTGTGTGTGTGTGTGTGTGTGTGTGTGTGTGTGTGTGTGTATGTGTGTATGTGTGCGTGTGTGTTTAAGCATGTGGCTGCATGTATGTGTTTGCCTGAGAAAATTTCAATAGATAATTAGAAAATAATGTAAACTCAAGTAAATTGGACCTCTCATTTTTCACAGAAACCTTGTTCATCTGTAAATGAAATGGTGCATCAAAAATGCTTTATTCATGAAATCTTTTGAGATATTTCAAGATTTTAGTTGTGAAACTTTTAATTAACCTAAATGAGTAAAAATATCCTTTAATTTAATTTAATTTTTTCCATTATTTTTTTATTTAAATTAAAAACATACTTGCTTCACGTCAATCCCAGCTCCCTCTCCCACCCCTTCTCCCTTGCCCCTCCACTAGTCCTCCAAGCCCCTCACCCAATCCCCACACCGTTTCCTAGGGAGTATGAGTCTTTCCATGGGGGATCTTCAGAATCTGTCATTTCATCTGGGGTAGGACCTAGGCTCTTCCCCATGTGTCCAGGCTGAGAGAGCATCCCTCCATGTGGAATGACTCCCAGAGTTCATTCGTATGCCATGTTCAACACTGATCTACTAACCAAGGCCCCAGAGATTGTGGAGGCCTCCTCACTGACACTACATTCAGGGAGTCTGGATCAGTCCCCTGCTGGTCTCTCAGCTATTAGTCTGGGGTCCAAGAGCTCCCCCTTGTCAGGTTAGTTGTCTTTGTTGGTTTCACCAGCACGGTCTTGACCCCTTGGCTCATCGCTCCTCTCTCTCTGTCACTGGGTTCCAGGAGCTCAGTTCAGTGTTTAGCTGTGGGTATCTGTCTCTGCTTCCATCAGTCACTGGATGAACGTTCTAGGATGGCATATAAGGTAGTCCTCAATCTCATTATCAGGGAGGGGCTATTAATGTAGTCTCTCCACTATTGGTCAGTTTGCCAGTTGATGTCATCCTTGTAGCTCTCTGGAAATCTCACTAGTGTCAGCTCTCTCCTCAAACCTATAATGATTCCCTCTATTACGGTATCTTGCTAGGCAGCTAATACTACTACTCAAGTTTACTTTTTATTTTATCATGGAAACCAACTAAAACTGGTCTCATGGAGATGAATTTTAATTTTTATGTCACCATTGCCAGTAGATGTAAGTGAAGATAATACATTAATACCCAGAGCTCAGGAAAGAAAGAACAAAGGGAAGGAAGGCAGGCCAGTATACGATTAGTGTGAAGACTGGTTTGATTATGATCATTAGAGTAGCTCTCTCATTATGGGAAAAGGCCATTGTGAAGAAGCATTAAGCTTCACTGAGGTGCTCCTTCAGTTACCTTGTGTATCTCTAATATGAATTAGACATAAGCAAGGGTCTTCTATTTTCTATTTTATCAAAAACAGATTAGTTTCTCTTACAATATAACCTGATTATAGCTTCCCCTCTCTCCACTCCTCCCAGTTCCTCCCTACCTCCCCACTCCTCCAGATCCACTTCCTTTCAGTCTCCCATGAGGAAAAAAAACTGGCTTCTAAGAGATAACAAGGAAACATGACAAAATATAATAAGACAAAATAAACAAAGTTTTCATTTCAAAGTTTGATGTGGCAACCCAACAGGAGGAAAAGATCCCAAGAGCAGGCACATGAATCAGAGACACACTTATTCTCATACTCAGAATCCCATAAAAATACTAAGCCAAAAGCCATCATGAATATGCAGAGGACTTCGTGCAGAGCAATGTAATGTATGTAGTTCTTATACTTACTGCTTCAATCTCTGAGCTCATATGTGCCTTACTTAGTTGATTCAGAGGCCTTGTACTCCTTTTTTTGGGGTGGGGTGGGGTGAGGGTTCTGAGGCAGGGTTTCTCTGTAGCTTTGGAGGTGTCCTGGAACTAGTTCTTGTAGACTAGGCTGGTCTTGAACTCACAGAGATCCAACTGCCTCTGCCTCCCGAGTGCTTGGATTAAAGTCATGCGCCACCACCGCCCTGCAACTCTCCCAGGTGTCTTTCATCCCCTCTGGCTCTTACAATTTTTCAGTCTCTTCCAGGGGGTTCCCTAAGCTCTGAGGGGAGGGATTTAACGGAGACATCCCATTTAGACTATCTCTGAGTAATGTCTAGCTGTGGGTCTCTTCTTCCCCTCCCCTCTGCTGCAGGAGGAAGCTTCCCTGATAGTGATTGAATAAGGAACTGATCTATAGTATAGCAGAGGATCATTAGGAGTCATTTCATTTTATTCAATTTTTTTTAGACCAGTTGTATTTTGTTTTACCCAGAGTACTTAGGCTACCTAGTCTCTGGTTGTTGGTTACCTAAGCAGTGCTGGGTATGGGTTCCATTTCATGGAGAGGCCTTAAGTCAAATCAGACACAGGTTGGCTGCTACCACAAGTTCTTTACCATCATTTCTTTCCCAAGCATAGTTTGCAGGCAGGATAGATTTCAGGTCAAAGGTTTGGTAACTGGTTTGGTGTCCATGTTTCTTTTTTGGTAGCCTTCAGAGAACCTTCCCACACCAAAGTGACTAGAACACAGGGGAGAAGGCTCCATGTAGGCACCAACTCAGTTTCACCATGTTCAGTAAGTTGTGTAGGTATTGTCCTTGGCAATGGAGCCCTGTTGTCAGTTTCCGGAGAGCAACCCTTTGTCTTAGCATCAGCCTGGATGTTTGGGGATTTCCATGGAATCCCCTTAGCCAACAACTCCATTGAATGCAACCCAGTCCCAACACTGGAAGCCTTACCAGGTTACTAGAGATGACTATTTGAGACTCATATCCTTTATAACTAGGAGACCTCATTAGAATCACCTTCATATATTCCAGAAGTTTCCACTGTACTATGTTTCTCATGCCTCAAATGTCCTGCAGTTCTAAGCATCTAGTATCTGTAGTCTCTTAGATCCTGAAAGACATCTGTCCAGGCCCTTCTGGCTTCTCCATTCTAACAAGCCTGCTTTTAAACATTACTTGATCTTTTTCCCTTGCAGCTTTTAATTTTTCTATGTTCTGTATGTTTAGTGTTTTAATTATTATATGCTGGTGGGGCTTTCTTTTCTGTCCCAATCAATTTGGTTTCTGTAAGCTTCTTGTACCTTTATAGATATGTCCTTCTTTAGGTCAGGAAGATTTTCTTCTGTGATTTTATTGAAAACATTTTTCTAGGCCTTTGAGCTGTATTTCTTTTATTTCTTCTATGCCTATTATTCTTAGCTTTGGTCTTCTCATAGTGCCCCAAATATCTTGTATGTTTTTTAAAATAAGGAGTTTTTTTCAAATTTAACATTTTCTTTGACTGATGTATCCATTTTTTTTTCTGTCATACTTTCATTGCCTGAGATTCTCTCTTCTGTCTCTTGTGTTTTGTTGGTGAAGCTTGTTCTGTAGCTCCTGCTTGAATTCCTAAAATTTTTATTTCTAGAATTCCTTCAGTTTGCATTTTCTTTATTGACTCTATTTTGAATTTCAGGTTTTGAACAGTTTTCTTCATTTCTTTAAGCTGTTTGTGGTTTCCTGGAATTCTTTAAGGGATTTATTCATTTTTTCCTTTAAGGACCTCTATTATATCCATAATGGCTGCTTTAAGACCTTTTTCTTGTGCTTCAGCTTTGTTGGAATATGCATGGCTTTATGTGGTAGGAAACCTGGCCTCTAGTGGAAACATATTGCCCTGGCTGCTATTGATTGTGCTTTTCTGCTGGAGTCTAGGTATTTGGGCTTGGGATGGTTATAGATCTAGGTACTGATTTCTGGGTTTGTCTTTGTTGGGTTGGTGTTTTGTTACTTGATTTCTGTTTCTTCTCTTTAGTGTTGGATAGTGTGGTGGCTGTGTGTGGCCTGTTTTCCTAGCCTGCTCCCCTGTCGGTTCACAGAGAATATTGTGTTGGAGGCTACAATACTGAGATGAGTTGGGGGAAGCAGGGTTGGAGGAGGTCTTAGTGATCTATTGGGGATGGGAGACTGCAACATTTTTCTTGCTACAGAACTGGGGATGAGACTCTGGGGGATTGAGTCTCAAGAGCAGCAGGAGTGGGGTGGGTGTTGCCCCAGGAAGGAGTACCCCTAGGGTCTGGGACACACCAACAAAGAGTGGAAGGAAGGTTAGAAGAGGGAAATATGTGGTATCCACAGGAGATAGGAGCTGGTGGTGCGAGGTGGGAGACAGACAAAGTTGCCAAGGGTGTTTTGCTGTAGAGCTAGGGATGCGACTTGGGTACTGGATTTAGGGAAACACAGAGAAAGAAGAGCTCAAAAATTTTCTAAGTCTCAAAATACTCAAGGATTAAAGAAAAAAGTGCCACATATGATTTGAATGGTGTTTATTATAATTACTAACACATATTATTAAACAAATTAGTGAGATTCACTGTGACATTTCCATAGAGCCAGAGATCCTCTGCTATCTGATCTATTCTTGATGATCTCCACATAGCATCCTTCCCGGACTCTTGAGTTATCTCTATTTTCTGCCCCTTCCTCCTTCCCATTTCCTTTTCTCCATCCTTCTTTGAACGGTGGTTTTGGTATTTTCTCACCTTCTATGATGTTTTCTGCAGAAGTCATACAGATAATTGACCTCAGTACACTAACTTAGTTCTTCTTAATTCCCCAACATTGTGTTTTGAATCTATTCTTGGATTATCTTTCAGATTTCCCTATCTCTTCTGAGAAACAAAAGCCTAGCAAATGGGTAGGGCATGTAAGGATCTTAAAAGACAAAACAAAACAAAAAAAACCTTAGGGCAGAGCAGAGTTGGTATAACTTCACACTTCTTTCACTTTCTCCTTGGTATGAAGCAATGAGCCTGGTTTTGATTATGATCCTCAAAGGCTATGACCTGCAACAGCTAATGTCTTTTCTCTTTCAGATAGCTGTAGCTTTCCTGATGGCTGTTTTGTTACAGAAAGCTATCCTCACCAATCTAGTCATATTTCTCTTTACCCTCCTTTGGGGGTGTGTGGGGTTCACTGTACTTCATAAAGAACTCCCCACATCTCTGGAATGGATTCTGAGCATTTGCAGCCCTTTTGCCTTCACTTCTGGGATGGCTAAGGTAAAAACAAAGGTTATTGTTGATGATTTAAAAGGAATTAACACTCAATAACTCTTTATAGTCCACTCTGGCCTTAACCAAGAATTTTTGTTTTAAAACCAGAGTAACATTCCTGTGACAAAGCTAAATTTGCTACATTATAAAAAATTGCCATTAAATAAAAAATTACAATAAAAATTGCTAGTTTGTTAAAATTCTCTGTGAACCTGTTTTAAAACATTTTGTTGTGTAAATTATGAATCATTATGAAAAATCTTTGAAGATATAAGATTTGTAAAGTCCATCAGTATATTTATGAGCTTTTTAAGGATAGATTGCTGTGTTTGTTGTAAAGCACCTCTAAATATACCACCATTCAACAGGTAACCATTTTATGAAAATTACCTCCTTGCTGTTTACTACCAGTCAAGTTTTAGCTTTGAAATATAAATAACTTATTTCATCCATTTAAATATGTAAACAATGCTCACAAAATACATTAAAAATAACTTTTCCACTCAATATTATGTTATTAGGTGTCATACATAGTCTTGTATAGTATATAACTGCAGTATAGTGCTATAGTCCATTTTATTGTATGCCTACGCTATATTTCTTTTGTTAAATGAGTAGAATTCCAGGGTTTGATTGTTTTTTGATAAAGCTATTACAAATATTCTTTCATCTGTTTCTGTATAGCTAGGAGTAGGGTAATGGGACTAGTGTATACAAACCTTAATACTCATGGTTGTCATTAACTACTTTCTAAAATGGTTACTTTATTTGACTTATATAAAAAAGATGCTCGAATACTTCAGTTTTTCTCAGTCTTCACCAACACTTGTTATTGCTAAATTTTGAAAATTTAGCCATTCTGATGAACATGTGATTTATTACTGTGTTCATTCATTTGTGTTTTTCATACTTCAGATAAAATTGAATGTTTTGGGTAAAATTGGATGCCTTTTCATATAGTATCTTTTTGTGTTTTTCTTTTGCAAATTGTCTATTCAGATCTTTTCTTTGCATTTCCACTGTGTTCTTTATATTTTCCTTATTATTTATAACAATTTCTTACATATACTGTGTACCAGACTTTTCCCTCTAGTTATCTCTAGCTTTTCTTCTTTCTTATTGAGTCCTTTGATGAACAGATTTAAGCAAATGCTTATTTATTTTTATTCTATGTGTGTGCACCACGTGCATGCAGTACACACAGGAACAGAAGAGGGCTTCAGATCACCTGGAAGTGGAGTTACAGATGGTTGTGAGCCCCTTGACTTAACGCATAGCTCTGAACTCCTAGTACAACTCAAGCTGGGAATGCAAACAAAGGAAAACTTACAGCATTTTGCTATTAAGTATGACTTTTCAAGTAGACATCTCATCTTAGTTTATGAAGAAATCTCCTGCAGTATGGAAAACCAACTTTCTCAAGTGCTTTCTGTGCATGTCATGGGCCAGTTACATCTCTCCTCTTCATTCTGTTACATGTAGAATTATATTGATTTATTTTCAAATGTTGACTCAGCCTTGCATTCCTAGTAGCTTTATTTACTTGTAGACTGCTTATTATTTACTACACCTTTATTAAGATATTTCTTTAAAAAAGTTAACTTTCAAGCTAATAATCATTGGTGCCATGCCATCTTATTTATGAGTTTAGGAATTTATTATGATTTTTGTTTGAATTTTAGATTATCTCCTTGGATTATAACTTGAACGGTGTAGTATTTCCTGACCCTTCAGGAGAATCATATGTAATACTAGTGACATTTTCCATATTGGCTTTTGATGCCCTTATTTACTTGGTTCTGGCATTGTATTTTGACAAAATCTTGCTCTGTAAGTATTAATAGACTTTTCTTTGACCTTTCAGTTATTGATTACATAGACAAGTTTTTCTTATGGTTATATTAAAATAGCTGTAGAGGTGAGAATAAATGCCTAATCTTAGCCTGAATTTAGCTACATTTTAGAATAAATATTATTTATGCAATACTATTCTGATTTTAAAACAATAATATAATTATGTAAGTCAACTTCGGAATATAATTATATATTAATTAAGTTTTATTACTTTTTCAAGTATCCATAAAAGTGTTTTGAAAGAGTGACAGTAAGAATGGGAAGGTTTACACTCTGAGGAGTAGATGGGGTAAGGTGGGGAGAGCAGGAGGAAGAGGGGGATTTGGAACTGGGATTGGTATGTCAAATGAGAAAAGATTGTTTTAAAATTAAAATGTAATTATAAAAAATAAAAAATATATCAAACTTGACTAGAAAAAATAAAACTAGTAAGAATTATGTCAGAACAATCTGAAAAGTAAAAAGAGACATGAAAGTAGGAGCAGACTACTGGTCCTAAGATGAGGTCAACAGGTCTGGGTGGACAACAAGAATATACTAGAGGAGCTGAGTCTGAGAACAGTAAATAACATGTAAGTAAGAAACTAAAAAATTAAAAAGCATTTTAATAGAAAACCTCAAAAGCAGTATTTATTTCTTGCTGTGGTTTGGTTATTACTGAGCCATTAATTATACTATAGAAACACTTTCTAATAAATAATTGTTAGTCATTATTCTCAACATTTTCACATTTTGTTTATATTTGCAAATATATAACTAGTGCAGTTAATTTTCTTTATCTTGCCAATAACCAAAAAATGCACATAAGCCCAAAGTTCTTCCACATGTACTAGAATCAGAATGTTCATTTCCATGCATGTCTTTATTCAATCTTTTAATTTTTAATAGTTCCCCACTTTGTTAATAGCTATTGTTGTCTTATATATTTATATATTTTTATTTGTATGCCTATGATCCATTTTTCCAGGCTTATATATGAAGGTCCTTAATAATAAATAATATTTGACATATTTTATATTAAAATTATACAATATTGTAAATTTGTCTTGGAAAAATAACTTCTGAATGTGCTGTTTTTCATTCATGTACCTACATATGAATTTGTAGATTCCAGTATCATGTTCAATTGGCATGGTAAACTTATTTAAGTTTATAAGTATATCTATAATTTTTATGTACTACATTAATAGTTGTGTTTCTAAAATATTTTATTTCACCTATCCTTTTTTGTTTGTTTGTTTTTTGAGACAGGATTTCTCTGTGTAGCTTTGGAGCCTATTATTGCACTCGCTCTGTAGACCAAGCTGGCCTCAAACCCACAGAGATCTGCCTGCCTCTGCCTCCTGAGTGCTGGGATTAAAGGCCTGTGCCACCAACGTCCAGCCTATTTCACCTATCCTTACAGATATCTTTTAGATTACATTTTTCAATTATTTGTTTTATATTTTGTTGAAAGTTCTCATATATTAATTTTTGCAGTGTTTCATTGTTACTTTTCTCCTGAATAATAGGAAGTTTGAAGGAAAAAATTGTATGATGTTTGAAATTTCAAAAACTTTCTTCTTTATTAGCAAGGCTTCTTTGTATATTATACTGATCTGATATTTTATCATTCTTGACTAATTAGATGGGAGTGATCGCCGTTATTCTCCACTGTTTTTCTTGAATTCATCATCTTGTTTTCGACAAAAGAGTAGTAGTAACCAGGTCACTGAGAGAGGCATAGACCCTGAGCTTCCTTCCGATGATTATTTTGAGCCTGTGGCTCCAGAATACCAAGGAAAAGAAGCCATCAGGTAAATACATTTGTAGCTATCTGTAGGTGTGTGGTAGATATTGAAGGAGAAGGTAATGTGTTTATCAGCACCATTTTGAACCATTCACATTCCACTGCAATCACTTATCATTTCTCTTAAGTGCTTCTTGGAAGGGAAATTCCCTTTGATGACTTCTATGTGGTCTAACCTTGTATTATCTTGTATGACTTCCTGCTTCTATCCTTTGGGTTTGTTTTCAAACTTTTGTTGTTGTTTTGCTTTTGTTTTTTGAGACAGGGCCTTCTGATAGCTCAGGTTGGCCTCATACTATGTTTGATAATCAAAGATGACCTTGAACTTCTGTTTCTCTTTCCTCCACCACCCAAGTGCTGGCGATTGCACCCATGTGCTTCCATACCTACCTAATTGTCCTTTAAGATACAGAAATTGGATTTATAGAAGGCACTCAAAGAAAATGTCATGTGATAATAAGGGCAGAAGTTTGAACATTTCCAGAAAAAACATCAGAAAGTCTCCTAAATGCACATGATTCCTTTCAGCTCTGAAATCTGGAAAATATTAGTTCCTCCTAAGTGGGGGTTTCTTTATTAAAATGATAAAAAGAAATAAAAAGGGAAGGACATGACAGCTCCTAGATATGGTAGAGGAGAAAGTTTATTGTAGATATGTAGGAGAGCATAGTTAGAGAAAGACATCTGGGAGAGTCCAGAGTGGACAGGACCAGACTAAGCTGGGCCAGGCATATGGGGAGATGTGAGAGGAAAAGAGAGAGAGAGAGGGGAACCTGGTACAGCAGCCAAGTGGCCAAACACCAAAAAGGGAAGGGAAACCAAAATGTCTGTATTATATAGGGAAGTGCTTCTGGAGGAAGAGCAGCATAACCCGTGGGCTGGAGAGTTCAGGGTAGAGGGCAGGGCATGCAAGCCATACAAGCCATATGTTGTAATAGGTAGGGACTGAGGGGGAACCTGGGTTAGGTCCTGCTTTGATATGTTAAATAGGTACTACAGCCATTGTCCTGCATTTGAAACTTAACAAAGGCCGGCTTCAAAGGACAGGTAAGACCAATGGACATAGTTATACTACACAAAAAAGGCCTTAAATAAAATTTCTGATGACAAAGACCCCCTGAACGTGGGTATCAGTTAGGAGGCCTGGTCAATCTATGGGGCCTCTGGCAGTGAATCAGTATTTATCCCTAATATATGAATGGACTTTGGGAGTCCATTCCACATAGAGGGATACTCTCTTGGCAGACACATGGGCGGGGGTGGTGGGGGGTGGGGACCTAGGCCCTGCTCCACATGATATGACAGACTTTAAAGATTCCCCATGGAAAGCCTCACCCTCCCTGGGGAGCAGAAAGGGGATGGCATAGGGAGCCAGTGGGGGGGGGCAGGGGAGGAAGGGAGGCAGAAAGAACTGGGATTGACCTGTAAAACAAACTTGTTTCTAATTTAAATTAAAAAAAGGAAAAAAATTCTGATGAGACTTAATCTCTTTTAACTTTTATTACTCATTAATAGTCATATTGCTGTATTTGTTGCATAAATGTAATTATGAGACTAAAGCCAAATTACAGAGTCTGATACTGAAGTCTCAAGAATCTCATTTATTTTCTATTTCAGAACAAATAATTAATTGGAAATATTATTTGTGTCTCCGAGCAGTCAAGCTTTATCGTGTTATTTGCTGTAAAGTGCTTTCTACATCCACCATTATATCTGTCTGTGCTATTTTTACTTGTGTGTATTGGCTAATAAAGTGGCTCTTTGTTGTTTCAGAATAAGAAATATTAAAAAAGAATATAAAGGGAAGTCTGGAAAAGTGGAGGCTTTGAAAGGTAAAGAAAAGATTCCACTCTTTACTTGACTTAATTAATAATACCCAAACCTGGGAAACTTTCAGCATGAAAATGTAAATATACTGACAAAACAAAACAAGAGAAAGGAGCAAGAATTCAAGTGGCCTAACTCTACCATCTGAACACTAATAGTAATTCAGAATTTATTGTGAAATCCTTCCAGCTATTTCATGGATTTGTTAACTTACAAGAATGTGATCATACTGTAAAAAATATAACTTTATTTTGCTTTTTACAATGGTTGTCAAAAACACATTTTTATATTTGTAGTGTCAAGAAAGAATGCTGGATCCTGACAAAATTTTTAGATAGTCATAGAATTTACACAGTTCATATTAATAATGTGTTAGTTCACACAAATATTAACCAAAACAAGATTAATGAAACCTTTAACAACGAATTAAACTAACAAATCAATATCCTATGACAAATAATTTTTAATGTTATATGATGAAGCATATTATAATGAGAAATATTCTAACAATTTTATAACAAACATTGAGCAAGCATCAATTAATAGTCATATTTTGGGGGTTCAGGGGCTTTTATTAAAAAATTATTTTTAGGCTGGGTGTGGAGGCACCTTTTCTTTCTCCCCCCCTTTATCAAAAATACTCTTTTCCTCATATAATACATCCCGATTATAGTTTCCCTTTCCTCTGCTCTTCCAGTTCCTCTTCACCTTCTCTCCCATCTGCACCTACCTCCTTTTCATCTCTCATTAGGAAAGAATAGGCTTCTAAGAGATAACAACAAAACATAACCAAAATAAAATATAATACAAAAATCATCACATTGAAATTGGACAAGGCATACCAACTGAAGAAAAGAGCACAAGAATCAGAGACCCATTCATTCATACACTCAGGAGACACATAAAAATATTAAACTGAAAGCTATAATATATATGCAGAGGACATGACCCATGTCTGCTCTATGTTTGCTGCTTCAAATTCTGTGAGTTCATATGATTTTTGTTCAGTTGATTTAGAGAACCTTGTTTTGATGACCTCCATCCCCTCTTGCTCTTACACTGTTTCCACCTCCTCTACTTCTTGGGGTTTCCTGAGCTTTGAGGGAAAGGATTTGATGGAGACATCCATTTAGAGCTGCGTATTCCAAGGTCTCTCTCTACATTATGCCTGGCTTTGGGTCTCTATGTGTGTTCCCATCTGCTGAAGGCAGAAGCTTCTCTGATGATGGCTGAATAAGGCACTGATCTATGAATATAAAAGAATATCATCAGAAGCCATTGTATTGTTGCATTTACTTTTTCTAGTCCAGTATTATTTTGTTTTACCCTAGGTCGCTGGGCTACCTAGTCTCTAGTTCTTGGTCACCCAAACAGTGTTGGGTACAGGCTCCATTTCATGGAGTGTGCCTTAAGTCAAATCAGATATTGGTGGGTTTCTCCCTCAAGCTTTGTGTCACCATCGTGCTAACATATTATGCAGGCAGGGAATATTGCAGACCAAAAGTTTTGTGGCTGGGTTGGTGTTTATATTTCTCTTTTTGTAGCCTGCAGAGTACATTCCCATACCAAGGACACTGGACCATAGAGGTGAAGGTTCTATGTAGGCACCAGCTTCATCTCTCCTTGTTTGAGTGGTGTTGGTGTTGTCTTCAGCAATGGGGCCTTGCTGTCAGTTTGTAGAGAGCAACTAAGAGTCTTACCAACAGCCTGGGTTGTGTGGAGACTTCCTTGGGACTCCTGTGACCCAACTCAATTGGATATAACCTAGTCCCACTACTGAAAGCTTTGTTTGGTGACAAGAGATGACCAGTTGGGACTCTGTCTCCCCCTTTGTTTGGAGACTTCATTAGGATCACCTTTATATATTTTAGGAAGTTTCCGCTGCATTAGGTTTCTATTTTACCCCTCTAATGCTCCTCAAGTCTAGCTGGCTTTCTCCACATTCTCTTCCTTAACCTGATCTCCCCCTCCCTCCACACCTGATCTTTATATAATTTGGATATTAGTCCTATATTTTATGTGGGGTTGGCAAAAGTCTTTTCCCATTCTGTAGGTGCCACTTTGTTCAAGTGACACGTCCTTTGTTTAGCACACACCTTTAATTTGGGAGGCAGGGGCCATAGGATCTCTGTGAGTTTAAAATCAGCTTCATCTTCCTTGAGAATTCTGGACCAGCCAGGGCTACATAGTGAGACCCTGTCTAAAATAAATATATAAGGGAATAAAATAAGATATGTGTTTCACAAAAGATTGAGTCTTCAAAAGCTAAAATGAATGGATCATAAACCCCACTTAAGATCGAGAGTTCTCTGTTTGCATTGTGTTTATTTTCTAACAACTGGGCACCTCTTAGCTCAATATTTTTTATTCCTTTGAGATCGTGTCTTAGAAGAGTTAGTGTATATGTGAACAACTTTATTCTATCTTGATTTTTTCATTAAACAGCATCCAAATCTGCCACTTCCTTCTTTAAGTTTGGCTCAAGATATATTGAAGTAACTTTAAACTCAATTTAAAATATCAGAGCACATTATAAACTACCTTGGAACTTACCAGAGTCACAACCTTTGCATCTTTAAATGTCTTCTAATTTCTCTTCTGTTTTCAGAATTAGTAGCACTTAAAAACATTGGGTGTCAAGACATAAAAAAGTACAAATGTTTCAGTTGGAGTATTTCCATGTAAAGTTGCCCCCTGTGAATCCAGGAACTGGTTGCTCTCTCTAGGCCTCTCTTCTTGCAGCTGCTCCTTGTGGCCACTTGGATCACCTTTGAGAACTTGGTTTTACAATCTCTTTGGCTACTAATATTGCATTGCATGAGTAATGGGATGAGTACCACTACCACACCAATATCTGACATCCAGTTTGTTTCTAAGTCTTCACTGTCCTAAAAATACTAAAATGAATATTTGTTCATTTTCTGTTGAGGTCACTTTCTCCTATAGAGGGGTTTATATGAGCAGAATAACTGAAAAGATTCGTATTTTAAAGATTCCTGATTCATATTTTAAAACACTTATTTCCAAAGTTTTGGAAACCCATGCTTATAAGCTATACATATTTAAAACAACAATAAACACTTAGTGTATATTGATAATTATGATAAGAGATTTACGTGAAGAATTTTATATTTAATTTTATGAAAAGTCAAATTATTTCTCTCATACTTTGCTGATTAGGAAACTGAGTTTTATATTTAGTTATTGCTGTGATAAGGATCAGTTCCAGGGTAGCCAACATTACTTTCTTCTTGTCCTTGAAAATGCTATGTGTCATTATTTTATTATATTTAATTTATCTCTTAATTAATTAGTTAGTGTGTGTGCTTTCATGTGCATTTATTGGGGGCAGAGTGCATGGACCAGAGTATTAATGTGGCTATGAGAGGATAACTTTCTAGAGTTGGTTCTCTCTTCTACTTTTACTTGGCTTCTGGAGATAAAATTCAGGTTGCCAGGATTCTTCAACAGCCTCTACCTACTGATCATCTCATTGACCCATACTATGTATTTTTAAATTTAAAAACAACAAATATTCCTGGTCAGCCGGGGCTACACAGCTACATGTTGTCTCAAAATGTTTAAATAAAAACCAAACACAAATATAAAAGTTGCTAATATACATTTTTAGTTGGGCAGCATCATAGTTTTCCTTGTTTGTTTTGTTTGAGACAATGTCTCTTTTTGTAGCTCTGGATGTCCAGGTGAGCCTAAAACTCTTAGAGATCCTCCTTTCTTCTCTGCTTCCTAAATGCTGGGATTAAAGGCATACTCCACCACATCCAAAGAACACTGGTTTTTTTCTTTTTGAGTATTTCATTTTTACAGAAAATTATTAATTTGAAAGGTAATTTATTAATCTTTATTTTATAAATATTTGGTCCATTCCAGACTTCTGCTAGTCTCTGGATCTTAAACTAATATCATGTTGTTGTGTGCATTTTGCTGACAACAGTGTGTCAGTAGCATTATTTATGTTACCAAAGTTCTTCAGTGTGTTACGTAAAGTTTTGATGAATTCAACATGAAATTCAGTTGTCTTCTTCTATATTTAGGAATAGTCCTGTCTGATACTCTGTTATTGATAATGTCAATATCTTATACTAAAAAACAGGATTGTTCTTTGATATATATGAAAATCAAATAACAGCAATCCTGGGCCACAGTGGAGCAGGAAAATCTTCATTGCTAAATATCCTCAATGGATTATATGTTCCAACATCAGGTAAGCAAAAAGCAATACCTCAAAGACAAGATATTTGATAAGAGAACAGGGATATGCCTGCCATTTTAAATTATGTAGCCTGATGGAAATAATCTTTATCAAAAGTTGCTTTCTAGAACTGTATGATTTTTAATATCCTTCCCACTTTCCAGATTTCATGGGAATCACTAATATCTCATTGTGTGTTATCTCAGAGAAAATGTATTGCACACTGTGAGCATGTACTTACGCCAAGAATAGTAATTGTTAACAACATTGTAATATTATATATTTATGTGCTTAATCTACAATTTTATTAACCTTAAAATATTTTGTTAACCTTAAAATACTTTAACTTCTACTTTTTAGGGTTAGTGACTGTCTACAATAAAAGCCTCTCTGAAATGCAAGACTTGAAGGAAGTCAGAAAGATAACTGGTGTTTGTCCTCAGCATAATGTTCAATTTGAGGCACTCACTGTGAAGGAAAACCTCACCCTCTTTGCTAAAATAAAAGGGATTCTTCCACAGAACGTCAAACAAGAGGTAGACGGTGTGCTTGCATTATCTGAGCTCCCAACCATTCACTGTGCTCAATCACGATCACAGAATTCTCTCCATCACTTATCTACCTTTGTATCAATGAGATTAAGCATAGAAATTGTTGAAAATTGCCATTTTTAATCGGAAGTTATATTTGTAAAATGTGGATCATTTTGTGTTTTGGACTTTGTATATTTCTAACACAGGTACAACAAATTATATTGGAATTGGACATGCAAAATATTCAGGATAACCTTGCTGAACATTTAAGTGAAGGACAGAAAAGAAAGCTCACCTTTGGGATTGCCACGTTAGGAGATCCTCAAGTAAGTAAGATTCTGCAGGGAAGAAAGGAGACTTTCAGTAAGAGCTATGCTCTTCTGCTACTAATGGTGCCAGAGCTCTGAATGTAGTATATCAGGCAAGTACCTGCTGTGCTTGGTTACACAAAGATATATTACAATTATACTTATTTTTCATGCGATTATCTGGAAATAGTTAACTTGGAAGAGTCATATTTTCAATATCTTTATCCTCTATCTTTTTTTAGATTTTGCTTTTAGATGAGCCTACTGTTGGATTAGATCCCTTATCGAGGCAGCGGGTGTGGAATTTCCTGAAGGAACGCAAGGCAAATCATGTAATCCTCTTCAGTACTCAGTTCATGGATGAGGCAGACATCCTTGCAGGTAACTCACCATTATATTTCAGGGTTATGACGAAAACTTTGGGAAATTTGTATGCCATATTTATTGTGAGGGCAAGAACCCTATGCTCATTACCTCAACTCTAGAGCAGTCTAGAGGGTATGAGACTCCAGTCCTGTTCTGGAGTCCCTCCCTGGCTGTACATTTGTTGTATTGTGGCCAGTAATGGCATCTCGTGGTGATGTTTTTCAGATCATCTGTCTGTTTACTTAAACTCCCAAGTCCTTAATGTATGTTTACATGAAAAATAACTACCTGTTCCTTGTCATCCAGATAAAGGCTATATTCATATGTAACCTGAAGTGATAGCTGTTTTCCTGTGTAGGAGGTGCAGAAGGGAGCTTAAAATGACTGGGAGCCCCAATACGTCAGTTTTAAGATGTGTTTCAACTTTCCAAGTGTCCAGCAGGCATGGTTGTTTCTCATAGAGCACTTCTTTGGAATTCTGAGCTTTCATTTCTCACCTCGCTTTGCTAGAGAGAAAAGAAGTGACTGCTAATGTTCTTTCACATCTGTTTCCTTTTACTCAGACAGAAAAGTCATAATGTCCAATGGGAGTCTAAAATGCACAGGCTCTTCTGTGTTTCTGAAGAGAAAATGGGGTCTTGGATATCACTTAAGGTAAAGAATTTTGGAGAAAAGACTAAATAGATACTTTTAAAAGGTTCTGCTTATTTTACTTGTGTCTGTATGCCACGTGTGGCAGTGTGTGAAGAAGGCCAGAAGAAGATATTGGGTTGCCTAGGCCTGGAGCTGCAAGCAAGTGTGAGCCATCAGACTTAGGTGCTAGAAATGGAGTCTGGTCCTCTGGAAGGGTCTCAGGTTCTGACAACCACTGAGACATCTTTTCAGCCCAGCATGTATGTTTTAATAGTGGAATACCAGGGATGGACATTTCTAAGAGTGAATAGGCTCCAAGTTTTATCTCTGACAAAATGGATCAAGAACTGTTTGGTAAATAATTTGTCTAATTTCTTGGCATCCTATAATCTGTACTAATGTTAACTCTAGCAAAATTTCTACGTTATATACTAAAGCTGTCTGTTCAATGTGGGTTATCATTTTCCAGTTTGCTGTTCTCTGCAGCCTAAACTTTGACCTTTTTGTTCATCATTTTCCTCATTGAATATACATAACACTGCTGTATTTTCGTTCTTTCTTAAGAATTCAAGGCAGTACTTTCAGAAACCAGTATTTTTAGGAAGTGAATATGGTTCCAAAGAATTGTGACAGCTGTATCTAAAAAGAAACTAAGTGTAGGCTAAAATAACTCTAAAAGATAAAATCCTCACAGAAAAGCAAAACAGGAATGTCTTAATTACACACTAATTTCTGATAGTTCACTGCCAGGTGCACTAATCAATTTCCCTATGAAATCTCTTGTATAACCTCACCCCTCTGCCTGCTCATCTTTATTCTATATATGTGGCATTAACTACAAGAATGAATTGGAAAGCAGCTATGCTCACCCTATACCATCAACACTACTCTGAGCATGTGTTTGTGAATTTGTAGTTCTGAGTTAGTACATATTCTGTGTTTAAATGGCAAGGATTTCAAGTTGGTGTGTTAATGTTCTTATTATTCATGTTGTTTATTTAATAAAGTTAAAAGTAATAGTCAAAAACTTTTTGTGCGGCAGCAGTACAAAAATATAACTATTTGTCATTTTTTTGGATACATTAGTTTGTTTATGGATGAAACATGTGATTCAGAGCAGATAACATCCTTCATCAATCATCACATCCCTGATGCTAAATTAAAAGCAAAAACCAAAGAAAAGCTTGTATACATTTTGCCATTGGAAAGGACAAGCAAGTTTCCAGGTAACATGTCTGACTGTGATGGAATAAATTTAGAGAAAAACTTGGAGTTTCATTATAATTTTTGTTATTTAATGAAGCTAAGTTTTATCTTAGTCTTTATTATTCAATATAACTTAGAGATGGAGATTTGAGTGCACTGTTTTTATTTGGTAATGATCAATGGAAGCACCAGCAGGAATGTAAGATGGAAGAGAAAAAGATCAGGTTACCATGGTAGGCAATTGAAGTATAGCACCACTGGGGGGGGGGATGAGAGTCAGTGTCCTTATAGTTACATCAATGGAGAGGTGTGGAGAAACTACTTGTTTATTTCCCCCATCTGTCAGGCACACCCAGGAATATTGGCTACCTGTTTGGCTTGCTTTGAAAATTAACTTGGCATACCTTAGGGCAAAAAAAAAATCTCATTCAGGTAGACATCAAGGTCTCTGCCTCAAGTATTTTTTATTTTCATTTTATTTTACATGTGTTTATTTTGCAAGGAAAAACATAGCTTACTTAGTTAGCATGGTGTCTAAGTCTGCTGTGTAGCAGCAGCAAGCTGTTTCTTTTTGGTAAGTAATCCTAAAAAGCACAAACTAAGTAAAATAAACTGTGTCAGGTACTGTCTTCCTCTCTCTCTCTCTCTCTCTCTCCCCCCCCGTGTGTGTGTGTGTGTGTGTGTGTGTGTGTGTGCATTGTTGATGCTAGGGATTAAGCTAAACAAAGGGTTTCATGCATGCTAACCAGGTACTCTAGTGCTGGAGTTTATATAGAGTAGGGTCAAAGGCCACAAAATCAAATGCAGTTGAAATTGAAGGCAAACAGGGTAACTGAAGGAAATAAAGAGACTGAGCAGAGCGTGGGTAGGGATGGGTAAAGTTGTGTGCAGATAAATGGTTCATGGAGCTGAAGAGGCTTTGATTATTTGATTATTGACATTGATTTTTATTTCAAGCACATTGAAAAGCCACTAAGTGGCATTAAACAGGATGCAGAGCTAATGTATGACTTGTGTTTTCATTCTTGGCATAAAGAAGATCACTGCAGATACAGGTGAACAAGAGCAGACCCCAAGAGACTAGCTATGGAGCTAATTTAGAGGCCCAGAAGTTCTCTGGTCTACCACAGTGCTGGTAAAGATGGAGGAGAGTAGGTGTCTGTAAAACAATCTTGATGATGAAGCTGAAAGGTCTGTCTTATGGGATGCATGTAGGGCGTGACCTGGAGATTTTGACTTCAATTATTGAGTAGAAAACCATGGTATTTGTTATAAAGTAGTACATAGAGTAGTTAAATCACAATGAGATGAAAGTATCAGTGCCCTATTTTGGAATTTAACCAGGGAGTGTGTTTTGATTTAACAAAGAGAGTTCCAGTTTATAGCTATACAGCATGGGACAAAGTGAGGCATGAACTGAGGAACTGCAGTATGGACTAGGAACTGGATTTGTGTGTGGGAGTTGCAAGAAGGTTGTTTAGAACTGAAACTTGGAGAGAAAGCAAAGGAGAAGTCATGAAGGATGTAGGAACTGAAAGTTCTGCAACTAGCTAGATGGAAATGGGACGTGATTAGTAACTTTTTTTTTTTCTGAGCTGTATCCACAGCACAAGTAAACTGCTTTGTTAAAGACCAAAAGAAAAGAAGAAAGAACAATGAATAAAGGAAGAAGGAATACAAGGAAAAAAGACGAATTTAAGACTAAATTAAAAAATGGGATATGGTGGGGTGGGGGGGTTGGGGAGCCAGGTTAGGGAAGAATGGACCAGAATATGGAAATACCTTGCATGCATGTATAATTTTCAAAGAATAAATGAAAATATTATATTTGAAAATAATATAAGAGAAATAAAGATTTGTTCATCAAATTTAAATTATGAAGGTCACCTAAGATAGAGCAGCTTTTGTGGAGGGAAATGACAACATGTGGACCTGAGCTGTTTGTAAACTGTGACAGATTAAATGTGGACAAACTTTTGGAGACAAACATGTATACAGAGAGGGTTGGGAAGCTATTATTTGTCTTTGTTTGGTGGATATAGTAGCATTCTGTGTGACCCAGCAGGTAAAGAAGAAAATTATGATGGAAGAGAGAGGAGATCACCTTGGGAGGCCCTTGGGGGATAAAATTCAGAGCATAAGTAAAAGGGGTAGCCTTTGTAGGAGCAGTTGCAAGTGTTACACACATGCAAAAATAAGCCCAGATATGGGCAGAGTCTTACACAGGGTTTCTTGTATGATGGTCATAGTCTTTATGACTGCTTGTATTTCCTCTAAGACTATAAGAGTGAAACACCTTGAAGATAAAGTTTGGCATAATAGTTTCTGAGGGTGGTTTTTCCCTTTAAATTATGATTATATTCAAAAGATATGAAATTTCTGAATATTATTAAATATAATATTTAAGACAAATACTAATTTACTAGGGAAAATATATTTATATTGTTTTAAAATTTTATAAATTCCTTCTTTTGACTTAGACTTCTTCAGGGATCTTGATAAATATTCTGGCCAGGGCTTGATGAATTACGAAGTTTCCATGCCAACTCTGAATGAAGTCTTCATGAACATGGAAGGAGAATCAACTACCAAACAAAGTAAAATGATTTGTATAAGTCACAGAATCAATTAGTAAATGGTCATGTATCAATCTAGCTTTTATGACTTTTCAAGGAGTGTGAGACACTGTAAATTTGGCTCTATTGTCTGACTTTGGCTGTTAGGTTGCCTGATATCCTCAGTACAGCTAGCCACAGGCCCATTCTTAGTGCTGATTTGAACTACATGGTATGGCAGCAGTGCTGTTTCCTGGACACTTTGAAATTGTGAACATCACTTCTTACAAAAATTGTTTCTTGCTTGTTAAGAGAAAGGCCTGAATGGAGAGAATTCTTACCTACTTCCAGGTAGTTTAATGGGATATAATAGCTGTTATTTTGGAGCTCTTCCTTTTACAGGTAGTTTAAACAATGTGGATGTAGATTGGGATATACCCATATATCCTTCCTGTCGTAATTCTTCCAACAAATGTAGTAGACAACGTTTTACAAGATGAGGATTTCTGATTTAAGAACAGTTAGATGATTCTTCCCAAGCCATGCTGTCTATAGCTCACACACAGGTCTGGATAGCATAGATATGTTAAGAATTTTCAGAGCTATCTTTTCCTTACAAGTCCAAATTATCGATGCCTTCATAGTAAGTATTTAAGCATTAACAACTGCTGATCCCTATAAAGAGGATTATTTTTAACTCCTTCAGAATAGTATTACAATTGAATGTCTGCTCTTTCTAAGTTCCTCTTTTGGTATATATTTAGCAGATATTCTCAGACACTGTATAGAGTTTTTATATCATTCTATTATTAATTTTTAAATTTTCATTGTGTGGGAAGTTATAAAATGTAACTATAAAAAGAAAATAGTGAAGCCAGTGATGGTATATAAGCTTCATGAGATATTGTAAATGTTATTTAAATAACTACTTTGAATGAAAGTATAAAGATAAGATCAGACATAAACTAATTTAAAATTTTTATGAAGACAAGTCCATTATGCCTTAGTATAATTTTGTTGTGTGTATGTCCATATAGACTTTGAGAAAAGAGAAACAATAAGAGACACAGAAAGCTTCCATGAAATGGAGCCAGCTTATCCTTCTCTTTCTGAAGTACAGAGAACTGTGAGCCCAATGAGACTCTGGGGAATGCAGGTCTGTGCAATGGCGCGACTTCGCATCCTCAAACTAAAACGAGAGAGAAAAGCATTTTTGACCTTGTGAGTATCAGAGTAATGTAATTTCTTTTAAGATAAAAATTTTTAAGGGTTTAAACTACAAGGACATTTAAAAGTAAAACATAGTACCTAGCATTCCTGCTAGACAAGAAATAAATGCATTGTTGATTTTACTGACAATGGAATTGTGTGTATATTAATTCTTGATTGGGATATGGATATATGCTGTTTAATTTTCATAGTGAGATTAAATAACATTTATATAACAATGCCTTTTAGTGCTGTGACATGTTGAGATACTACTTTTAGAATGTTAGCACTTAAAATTGTGGTTGGTATAAAGTAGAATTAATATCTAACAAATACTGTAGAATATATTACTGAGGAAAAATTGCTATCGAATCCTATGGTAACTTTTATTTATTGTTTAGTCTATTTATTCTTGGAATTGCACTGTTCCCATTGATTACGGAAAAAATGGCTAATGCTGTGATAGAGCAAAAAAACAACTGGGAATTTAAAACAGAATTGTATTTCCTATCCCCTGGACAACTCCCTGAGGGTCTGCGAACGAGTCTATTGGTCATCAATAACACAGGTGAACAGCATTTTAATGCAGAAATAAGTCTTTAACTGTTAAACAGTACATGAGGGGGCAAAAAATCTTGACAGAAGAAAATAATGTGCACTTATAGAATGACTCATGAGAAACAGTGCAGTTTCTCTGATTTTAGAGAGGACAAAGCTGGTAGGAACAAGGGACAAGGAACTTGTCACTGTCCCATCTGGCCTCCCTCCTTTATAACCTGACAGCCATAGGTGTTCTGACAGAGAGAAATAACCCTTTATCATAGCCGAAGACTCTCTTTAGATCTCTATTACTATCTATAGAGCTCTCTGTTACCATGACTTTGTTACTTACCCTATATCATGTATATAATACACAGTGATTGACATGCAGAGATGGCATGTCTACACTTCATGCTTTTGGATGGAAACTTATTTATTATATCAAAGCATGGATATTTGTCACTGTTTTGTTTGATTTTTTTTTTTTGGTTTTCTGAGACAGGGTTTCTCTGTTTAACAGCCCTAGCTGTTCTGAAACTCACTTTGTGTACCAAGTTGTCCTTAGCTCATGGAGACCCTTCTACCTCCTGAGTTCTGGGGCTAAAGTGTGCACCACCACACCTAGTGGGGAGGAACTGTTTTATAACTCTTTAAGTAACTATGAAGGAAAGATTTTATGTTTCTTCTGAAGGTGTTAAAACATTCATAGTAGTCATCATTTCTTGAATTCCAGCTTTCACAGGCATTTTTGATTCAAGGTTGTAGAGTGTCTTCATTTTTATTCTTCATTCTTTTCCGTTTCAGGTCTGGGAAGTAAATTTTCCTGTTTCTGTAAAGTATTGAGTTGTACATGATTTCCTGACATTTAGTATTGTCCTTTACCTATCAGATTGTTGCCCTCTCAGAGTGTATTCTCCATCCAACCCAAGGACAATACACTTGTATTCACTTAGTTCCCCCTCCTTGTCCTTAGTTGTCAAGTATTTTGGAAATTTATTCTGTCATATTTCTTCTTCCTCTAAGCTTGATGTGATTGTTATCCATGATTAATCTTTTCGTATGAGAAAAGATTGACAAACTTTGGCTGTGTATGAATGTGAGTTACCATTATTGTGCCCTTACTTGGAATGAGGTTGTGATGTGTGACTGCCCCAGGGGACACGGAAACATCATATTCTATGTGTGTCCCATCTCATCTTGGAGGAGCTCAGATTTGTCTGAAGTTTGATCCTATTTTTCCACTTCTAAAGCTCTATGCAGAAGAAAGGGCCTCTTGAGTTCTCCATTCTGCCTTTCTTTGATTGTTGCTTGGTGTTACTCCAAGTCTTGCCCCGCAGTTTTTGTTAGACACCATCTCTTAGAAATGAGGACTCTTCCCAGAGATGACTATAGCAACTGTTGTTGTGTGGAGCATGGAGGGTCTCTGACTGCTCATCTTGTTTCAAGTCTAGCTGGATAATAAGGACCCTGGCTGTGACATCAAGCATGATGCTTTGATAATTCAGTTATCCCCTTGAGTTTTGGTATTGTGGAAACTGGTTTACTATTATATCTTTTTCTCCCATGTGCACCAGGCTGCAGGTTTTTTCTCAGTTTTTATTTCTCTCTCTAGTAATTTCACCCATTTTCTTCTTTGAGAATACATATAAATATTTTGATTTTACAGTGGTACCCTTTTAATTTCCCAATAAAGTTATATTATACAATATATATGCAAATGTGGAAACATTAATTGCATATGCATTCTTATATTTAATTTTTTAAGAATAGGGGAAAGAGAAAAATGTTATAAGACTGAATAATCTATAGTATTTCTCATTAATTTTCCAAAAATTATACATTTATACACATATTAAAGGAAAAATTATAAAATAGAATTACATAGTTTTATATATCACATATTAACTTATATTAGTTATGTAGTATAAGATATACAAAATAGAAGTTGGATGAGTGAGTGATTTATCTTTTTAGACCAATAGTATTATTATGTTACTCATAAAGTACACCTCTTATGTAATTCTAGGAATGTTAACTTTGTAGGGCTCATAAAAATTTTGCTTGCTTTTATATTGCCTTCTCTTATTGAAATCATACTAGGATCAAATATTGAAGATTTTATACAGTCACTGAAGCATCAAAACATAGTTTTGGAAGTAGATGACTTTGAAAACAGAAATGGTACTGAAAGCCTCTCATACAATGGAGCTATTATAGTTTCTGGAAGACAAAAGGTATGCTTTCCTCTTGGTTTTTGCCTTTATGACAGCACATACTCAAGCACAATATCAAAGGGCTACATTTTAATTGTATTAATGACTCAACTCAGCAAAATATATGAGTCCCTATTGAATAAACTATGATATTTTGGTGAAACAATTTCTATCTTTGTTTTAAATTAAATAATTTTGTATTAAAAGGGAATGGGTGCATTGACAAAACTAAATTATTTTTTATCACAGAATTGTTAATGTAATTATGAATTTAATTAATCTTATTCATCAGTCAGGTGAATGATATTTTATATATTGAAAAAATACATTATATTCTGAAATTGAAAAGTATTTTCCATGTGCTACCTCCATGTATTTCAAACTGAGTATAAGCCATTAGGGAAATTTATCAAGGGGCACATCTGTTGCAAATACATCCTAATTATAAGAAAAAACTTGAGTCTCATTTGTATTTCAGTAAAGAGACAAAACTAATCAAAAGTATGCCTTTCTTTCCTGCTACAAGTAATACAAAACTAAAGTAGAAACCTTAAAAAGTTTACCACTGAGCTCAGGCTTAATATATTGTGAAAAATGTCATCATTTTATGTCAACTTGGGGAAACTATTTGACAGCTACTTGGTGTATCTTGTCTATTTACTACACAAACTATTGATAGTATTAGTACAATATAAACAATACTGACCTATATGATGATTATATGATTGTTTTCATAAACATTACATAGTAGTATTTTTTTTAGAAATTGTAAACATTCTATGGCAATGTAGCCATGACAATCTCTGTCTCTCTTTCTTTGGTTTTTAAGACCGGGATTCTCTCTGTAGCTTTGAAGCTTGTCCTGGCTCTCACTGTGTAGACCATGCTGGCCTCTAACTTACAGAGATCCTCTGCCTCCCAAGTGCTGGGATTAAAGACTATTAGAATCTCTTTTATTCCATGTTTATTTCCTATCTGTTTCCTCACCATAAGCTCAGTTTCTCCTTGTGAGGGCAGATTTGAACCTCACATGTTGAAGTTTCTTCCTCAGGAAAATAGGGATGAAGTGATACAACACTGGTTTCACTAGTAAAATGTAGTATTACGTGGATTCTGGTTCTGTCCCATCAACTGTATAAGGATCCAATATATAGTCTCACTTAAACCATGCGCGAACCCATTTGTAAGCCTCTTTCATAGATAAGAAAATGAAGGCTTAGATAAACTGGTTCGCTGGAAGATCAACACATAGCTAAAATGTGACTGCTAGACCTTCACGTGTGTGCCTATACATGCACATGCACTCACACATGCTCATGCAGTATCTATTTCCAAGGATTTTATCTTACTTGTTTGTTTTGATTTGTTTGAAGGATTATAGGTTTTCAGTTGTATGTAATACCAAGAGGCTACACTGCTTTCCTGTCCTAATGAATGTCCTCAGTAACGGGATCCTTCATATGTTGAATCATACACAGTATATTAGAATTGAGGAAGCTGCATTTTCATCAGTAAGTATTACATTTGTTTATCCCAAACAATTAAAAAATTGGCAGTGAGCCTACATTGTTCATATTTAATTGTTTATTCTAAGTATTTTTATTGTGTTCTCATAGTTTGTATGTCATCTGACTCATGCCTTCAACTACTCAGCATTACCAGAGTGATAGATATAGACTGTCTTTTTGCAATCCTGACGAAGTGTATAGAAGGGAAGTGTTGATGAGAAATAGAAGAACAGAGAAAACCCTACAGCGCTTTATAGTTACAATACTTACTTTCTTTGTCATTCCATTCCAGAAGTGACCGTAACTTCCCATTTCTTTTTTTTCAGAAAATTTCAATTTACTTTGATAATTTCATTTATGTGTAGGCTGCATTGTGGTTGTATTCACTTTAATTACCCTCTGTTGACTCCCTTTTCCTCAGTACTCTCAACACCCTACCCCATATGTAGAAGCTTTTCAGAGAGCTACAGCTACTTTATGTTTGTGATTGCAGTGGCCTTATGATTCACCTGGAGACAGAATTTCATAGCACTTCTCTCTGTTCTGACTGCTAGTCTCTCTACCCCCCTCTTCTATGATTGTTCCCTTGGTCTGGGATGGGATGATATAGATGCGTTCTTTAGGGAGTATTCAGTAGTCACTTATTGTTGGTCAGCAATTTGAACAGTTGTGAGCCTCTGCAGAAATGTCTCCTGCAAAAAAGAAACTTCTCTGACCCTAGCTGAGAGCAGAATTAGTCTATGGGTATAAACGTAATGTTTAGAAGGCATTATGACAAAGCATCAGTAGTTTTACATTCATTTTCCCATAGGTACTGTGACCTCCACAGTTAGGTTTTTGACCAAATTTATGGTAACAGTCACTTAATTTCCTTCCATGGAGAAGCTCTCAAATCTAGTGGCAAAGTCATTAGTACTTCCTTAATAGTCTTGCTACTATTACATGAGTGGTTCTATCTTCTAACATGGTCTATTGATGACTTTTCTTCCATAGTAACCTACATAACTTTTTCTGCTGTTAGGTCTAGAGTTGTTTGGATAATTCTATAGGATTGGTATGTCTGGGTCATGTAGTAGCTTTACTTTTCACTTTTTGAGAAACCTCCACACTGTTATCTATAGTAGCCTCACCAGTTTAAACTCCCACCAACAGTGAATAAAGATGCCTGTCTCCCATTTCCTTTCCACCACTTGTTCTTTGTTTTCTTAAAAGTAGCTATTCTAACCGTGGTGAAATCCAAACTCCAAGTAGTTTTAGTTTATATTCTTCATCAAGGACTAACAGGAGCCTGTAGAGTCCAGCTCTGTAAATTTCCTTCAGGGTTCAGGTCAGAAGCTCCAATTTATCAAAGGGAACTTCGTATCTGGGAAATATAGAATGAACTCACACACACATACAGATCAAGTTATATTCTTTATTTTTCTCCAGTTTTAAAAGTCTATAGTTTTTATACAATACTTTGGCAATGGAAATGTTGCAGACAGATAAGAGTCACACAAAGTAATAACTTGTTAGCTATCTTTATGGATGGTGCAACTGTGACCATAAAAAGTTCTGGCTATGTCTTAAAGGGGAAGTGGCCACAGAAACAGGGAAGAAACTAAATCAAAGAGAAGTTTTAAGGAGGAGGCAAAGAATTCATGTACTAGTCTACATATTTTAAGTGTGGCTAAATATATAAGCTAAAAGTTTGTGTAGAGTGTTAATTGCTAAGGAATTTAGTAGAGAGGGGCCAATGGCTTGTGTTCTCAGCCAAGCTTAGAGAAGCTGACATAGTGTTTTAGGATGCTTTGTGTTAATAACCTTGTTTGGAATTTGCAACTCTGACCTTGTGCATATCTGTAAAGTTTTTAACTTATGATTCATATACAGAAACATTTAGTCCAGTTTGAACTTGCTCTGAGGTAAAAAGGAGCTAATTGTGTGTAGCTTTTCTTAGACTGGGAAGAAATTGTTTTCTTATCTTGGTCTTAGTAAAAGGAACAAAGCAGGCTATTAAGTGTCTTACAGACATTGTGAGACAATAGATCTAGTTATGAAACATATCCTTGTATATTTTCTATACATCAATACATACATAATTCATATAATTAATATGTCATCTCCCTGGCCATCCACAGATATATATGCTCATAAGATTGAGATTAATCATGAGATTACATATACAAATCCTATGAGATTACACAGTACAGTGAAGATATTGGGGAATTACCATAGCTGTCTTTGCACATGTGAGCTTACAGACAGTAGCTTTCAGTATTTATGGGCAATATTTTCATAAGCCCTGCTTATGAATTTCCTCCATCAGATTAGTTGATCTGGTTGATCGGTTATCATCTGCTATAATTGTGTCATGGCCCACAACAGCTCATGACAAAGGATGGAAGAATTTATAGATGCCTATGTTATACCAAAATGACATAAATAATTTAAATGTATCTATTACAAACAATAAAATTGAAGGAGTAACAAAAACCTTATGGCTAAAAAGAGTCTAGTTCTCAGTGGAGAATTCTACAAGATCTTTGAAGAAGAATTAAAGCCAAAGCTTATCAGATTATCCAAAAACAGAAGAGATGAGAAAGCTGCTTCCAGTCTCTTTTTATGAAGCCACCATTATGCCAGTACCAAAACCACATAGAGAAAGAACAACAAAATAAGAAAACCATAGATGAATAATCTCTTTGATGAGCATACATGTAGAAATTCTCAATAAAGTATTCACAAAACAAATTCAGAAACAGATTTAAAGGATTATGATCAATGTGACTTCATTTCAGAGATTCAGGGATGGTCAAAGATATGAATAAAATTAATAATATAAGTGGCCTCAAGAATAGAAGTTACACAATCATCTTAATAGTTGCAGAAAATGAAATGTCTTTGACAAACTCTAACATCTTCCATTATGAGCTGAATAAAGACAATATCAGTAGATGTGCTAACATGGGTGGGGTGGGTGGGGAGCTCAACCCTACACAGAGAAATACAGACAACTAAGGAATGTTGAGAGCAGGAGAAATAGTCTTCCCCAGGTAAGAGCACACCAGTTGATTATCCAATACCAAACTCTCAACTCTGAAAACATATGTATACAATTAATAGTATGTAGATTGAGTGGGTTTTATTTATGTATTTAGAAATACATATGTGCACGCACACACACATATATGTACATACCAACAATTATGAAAGAGAGGCCACAAATTTGAAAGAGAGCAAGGAGGGATATTATGGAAGGATTTGGAGGCAGGAAAGGGAAGGGGTAAATAATATAATTATGTTAGAATGTCAAAAAATAAAAGGAATAATTGTGAAAATGCTAGAGAGATTAGGAACATAGGCAACATATCTCTATATAATAAGGTGTATTTATGACGAACCTACAGCCAACATCATGTTAAAAGGAGATGAATTCAAAGTATTTTCATTTAAGTCAGCAACAAGACAAGGGTGTGCCCACTTTTTCCACTCTTACCCAATATAATACTTCAAGTTGTAGCTAGAGCACTAAAGCAGTTGAAACAAGTAAGTGATGCAAATAAGGAAGGAAGAAGTCAGTTTTCTTATTTAAAGATGATTTGATTTTGCATATAAGAGACCCTAAAGACTTCATCATCTTGCCAGAGACATGGCAAAAGCTTTGCAATGAAAACTTGGTGGCATGAGTTTAACCCTTAGAATTTACATAAAGGCGAAAGGAGAGAACTGACTCCATGAAGTTGTCCTCTGCTGATGTGGCTTACACTCATTCATGCAGATAGACCACATACAAATACCACCACCACCACCACCACTACCACCACTACTACTATTATTGCTAATAATAATGGAATTAAGGAAAATAATCCCACTCATAGTAGTCTCAAAACCATGAAATGAGGGCTGGAGAGATGGATCAGTGGTTAAGGGCACTGACTGCTCTTCCAGAGAACCTGGGTTCAATTCCCAGCACCCACATGGCATCTTACAACTTCCTATATTGGGGTCTGATGTTCTCTTCTGTTGTGTAGGTTTACATAAGGAAAGGACCCATAGATATAAAATATATAAATAAATAATTCTTTTAAAAATACTTCTGTTTTGATTTTCAAGACAGGGTTTTTCTTTGTAACCCTGGCTGTCATGGAACTTACTCTATAGGCCAGGCTGACCTCAACCTCATAGAGATCTGTCTACTTCTGCCCTCTGATTGCTGGGATTAAAGTTATGTGCTACCACTGCCCATCTAATAATTCTTAAAAAACATAAAATGGAGTAAACCTAGCCAAAGAAGTGAAAAACCTCTATAATAAAAATTTTACACATTGAACAAAGTATGTTTTATCCAGTGGGAAATTCCCTGATTGGCCAGCCTTAAACACATGCACATAGGAACAGCACTAAATGCTTAATGTACTCAGTAGGTTTTATGTATATATTTTGTGTGTGTGTGTGTGTGTGTGTGTGTATGTGTGTGGTGTAACCATAATAATTAGAGAGGAGGTAACAGATTTGAGGTGAAATCAGAGGGACATGGGAGGAGTTGGAGATGTAGAGTGAGCAGTGGAAATGAGGCAAAAGCCGTACTTAGTATGAAATTCTCTACCCTCAGTTTCATTTAAAATGAACTAAGGAAGACATTAGAAAATGGGAAGTATTCCCTGCCCATAGGTTTACTTGAAGAATTAATAATGAATATAGCCATCCTACCAAAAGTAATCTTGAGGTTCAATTCAATCTCAGCTAAATTCCTTGCCCCCTCTTAACAGAAACAGTGCAATGGTGTTAAAAATCAGATAGAAACACAAAGACCCCACATAGGCAAAGCCATTATGAGTAAAATTAACACTGCCAGGGGTTCCATTATACGTGATTCAAGTTACACTGCAGAGCCTTAGTAATAACAACAGCATGGTGTTAGCATGATAACAGACATTCAGATCAGTGGATAGAAGAACTGGAGACAAATTGATACAACCTCAGCCATCTCATCTTGACAAAAATAACAAGAATTCACACTGTAGAAAAGAGCATTTTCAACAAATGTTGATGAAAAACAGCATATCTGCACGGAGAAGAATGAAACTAATCTCTCATTCTGCACTAAAATCAACACCAAATGGATGTATGATCTCAACATAAAACCCAAAGCCATGAAACTTCTATAGGAAAAGGTATGGAGAGCACTGCACGATATCAACATAGGTAGGGTCTTTCTATGGAGGACTCGGCTGTACTGGAAATAAGGCTAACAACTGACAAAGAACATCTCAAAAATGCAAAGCTATCTGTACAGTGTTTTCCCATTTCATCATTTTGTTGCACAGTCATCACCTATGTAACCACTTGATGATTGTCTCCTCTCTATTTTAAGTATTTATGGTGGTTATCATTTTCTGTTTGGCTACAAGAGAGACGTTTAAAACTGACTCAAAGCTGGGCGTTGGTGGGGCATGCCTTTAATCCCAGCACTCGGGAGGCAGAGGTAGGCGGATCTCTGTAAGTTCAAGGCCAGCCTGATCTCCATAGTGAGTTCCAGGACAGCCTCCAAAACAATACAGAGAAACCATGTCTCGAAAACAAACAAACAAACAAAAAACTCACTCAAGATGTTTCATATCAGAAACAAGATTAATAATGCACCAGCTACCGGTAACCTTGGTTTATGAAAAATGTGTCAAATTGGCTTCCACTGAATCAGCAGTGCTGGGAGTACATGCTAGTGTGGATTTTCTGCAGATAATGGAAAAATGGGATGGAATTTACTTGATAGGTCAATAATGAATATATACATATATATGCATATATATGTGTGTCATACCTATGAACTAAAATATTATACTCATGGCCATATGATCAAGGAGTATACGGATGATTCAAGAAATGGAGATTTAAGGGGACTCTTTGAAGATTAAAACCAGGGCCTGGGGAATGTAGCTTGGAGTTATTTTTAGCATGTTTAGGGTCCTGCTGGGGTTGATCACCAGCCTCCCAAGGGGCAAAAGAAAACATGGACAGATGAAGCAGTTCTTAACAATGTCTTGATTTTTTTCACTTTAAAAAACCATGTGCACGAGTGTTTTGCTTACAGGTATATCTGTGTGCTAGATGCATACATCAGAGGGCATCAGATCCCAGGAAACTGTAGTTATAGACAGTTGTAAGGCCCATGATTGTGGGGAGCTGAACATGGGTTTTCTGTAAGAGCAACATGTGCTCTTTAGCTGCTGAGCATCTCTCTAGCCACCCCCACCCTTTGTGTCCTCTTTTACAGTTTTTATTTCCAGTTTTCTCAGAATCAGAATGGACAGATACACTTTGTGGCACCCTGTGCCACCTCCAGTGGCACTCATCTTCATTCCTATAATGACACTGGGAAACACATTTTCTTACTAGAGAAACATTGGAACCTGTAGACATAGACACCAAAACCATAGTTTGAGAACTGTAGAACTATTGAAAGACAGGCCCGTGTTTTCTGCTATTATTTCCATGGGATAGTTCTATTTTGGGGCATATTTAGGAGTAATGGTTTATATTTTATCTCCAAGGTAGGTTGAGTGACGTCAAGTTTCTTTTACAGTTCTGAGTTACTGAAGATATACACCCAGTTACTGAGGTCTATCTTCCTGTCTGAGTTACTGAAGATATACACCCAGTTACTGAGGTCTATCTTCCTGTCTGAGTTACTGAAGATATACACCCAGTTACTGAGGTCTATCTTCCTGTCTGAGTTACTGAAGATATACACCCAGTTACTGAGGTCTATCTTCCTGTCTGAGTTACTGAAGATATACACCCAGTTACTGAGGTCTATCTTCCTGTCTGAGTTACTGAAGATATACACCCAGTTACTGAGGTCTATCTTCCTGTCAACCTCTAGTTTGCTGAAAAAGACATAACATAGCTGTTAACCAAGGTTCACAATTCCTGAGTTGCTATAACTGTTCAGCATCATTTGAAACACATAACATAAAACAGAACATCTTAAATTGATTTTAAGTATATCCATACTGCTGTGAACTTGATATCCAGAATTTTTTCATCCAAGAAGGGTGAACCTCTGTATCTAAATAGCAATTTAATTTTTACTACCTCTTAATTCTTCTCTCAGCTCCTCTCCACCTTCTTGCTTTCTGTTTCTAGAAATGTGACTACTTTAGGTATATCGTATAATGAAAATACACAATATTTGAACTTTTTGTCTGGTATATTTCATTTAATACTATATTTTCCAAGCAGATTTATCTTGAAATATTTGACAAGATTTTCTTCCCTTTAAAGTTGAACAGGATTCGCTATGCATATTTGTGCTTATTTAGTTTTGTTTCCTCAGACATCTACTAACAGCATTTGAGTTATTTTAACCTCTTGGTTATTTTAATGATGCTATATTAATATGACTATGCAGGTATCTCTTCCAAGTCTCCTCTGCTTGTTTTTTGTTTTATTTTTGCTTTTGATATATACTCTACCAAGTAGGTCCTGAAATAATCCTTGCTTCTTTTGTTCTTTGAGTTGAAGTCTCATGATAAATAATGAATATAGTTTTCACTTTAATAGATGATACTTTGATTTTACACTAAAGTTCTGTTTGTATTTGCAGGACCTCATAATACTCTGGTTTGGGATACTGGAAGGTGTCCTGTTCCTATTGCTTGTTGCATGCAGCATTTCACCACATATCGCCATGAGTAGTGTCAGTGATTACAAAGTAAGAAAGGGTGGGTAGGGGACTTTAAGAATTCTGTCATTGTATTTTTAATGCTGTAAGTGCAAAAATATTTTTCCTCTGGGGTAGGGAGAAGCACTGAAACATACCATTACATTGTAACCCACCAATTCAGAAAACTTACTTTTAAAATGCAGAATGATTTTACTTCAAAGTTACTTGGAAAGTACAATGGTTTTCAGAGTATAACATTACTTTAAATCTTCTTCAAAGTAGAATATTATATATCTTTTGGATGAATTGTTTCCTAATTGAAAGAAAATAATTCATCCAAAAATGTCATAATACCTCCTTTTCACACTCCGAGGCTTATATATGAATGAATGTATGTATATATAATAGGTACAAACTGTTGAGTCCACTTAGTGTTGCCCATATGTGTATGTGTTTAGCATTGACCACTTGGGATTGGATAATCTATGGAGGGCTAATCCCTGGGGAAGATTGATTCTCCCTCTCCCAGTAAATGAATTGCCTCTAGCTCTTCATCTTAGGGTGCAGCCTTGTGAGATTTCCCCTCTTCTGTTGGCATGTCAACTCATATGTCATTGCTCAGGTCTTGTTTAAGCAAGTATACTTCTGTCGTATATAGAAGACACAGTTTTGCATCACACTTCTTTGGTCCGCTGACTCTTTAAAATCTTTCCTTGTGCTTCTATTCATTCTTTTAGACCTGCTATTTACCTTTGTACAGTGTATTCTCTGTCGTGGTCCCCTTTTACAATTTTATTTTTTACAAAAATTAAAAATGTAGATTAAATCTAAAGATCCAAAGTCTAGAATCTAAAATTTTCAAAAGCTGACACAATTCCATTCCTGGATAGTCCAACACCTGACTTCCTGTAATAAGAACTAGAAAGTATGTAGACTTCTTTTCATTATTCATGGATTAAAGTGATATGGCATATCAATGTACCAAATAAATCACCATTAGAGAACTGGATCTGTAGGTCTCAGGTTTTCAAACACTTTGTACATATCATTTTAAAGAAAATAATATTAATATTTTCAATAAAATAAAATATTAATTTACTTTAAAATTCTTGCATTTTCACACAACTTCACACATGTACACATAACAACACATAAGCCAGTCAACATTAGCAGTACACTTTGAAAGATGAGCTAATAAAGTGAATTTATACCTTCATTTTGGAAAGAGCCACTGGCCTAGCACTTGGTACACATGAAGAAGTCCGTCATTTCTCCTTGTAATGAATTTAAGTTGAATGTTGATATCACTTTATGTCATATGTATCAAAGAGAAGATTAACATTTTATGGACTTTGCATACATTGACTATCCTCACTTTCTGTCTCATAATAGCAAGTTCTTGAGGAAATAATCCAATATCTCATAAGAACATTCCCAGGGAGCAGGAACTATTGGGAGGATAACAAACACACAACAATGATTCCCACAAGGGATAGGCCTGTTCCTAAAGCAAGAATGCAGGTGTGTGTGGACTAGATATATCAAACCAGCACTATGAGATAGTTTGCTCTCTGAAGTACTAGGAACACAGGACTGGCAGGAAAAGAGATAGTCTTGAAACATCTATATCCCTTCCTTAGTTGGTTAGATAATTAAAATAAGAATATCCAAAGAATTAAACTTTCAACAGAAACCTGATGTTGGAAGAAGGAAAGGCTGCAGCTTGATGCCAAACAAAACGATCTCGTCCTCCCAGACAGAAATTTCACACAGTTCTTACATCACAGGAGAGAGGAGCTGAGATGATGATGGGTCAATAATGGCCCACATCTTGACCATGCCTGCTTAGTTATGCATACCACTTGCCCTCTGTGGAGACCTAAACCTCATGTCAGTATCCCAGACTAGACCCTGCCCATTTTCCTGTCTTCCCAGTGTAACTGCACTGAGCAAACATTTCTTTTCTACTTTTCAGTATTCTTTGTCTCTTTAGTTGGCACATGGGGTGGGCTGATAGCCCTAGCTTATTAGGGCTGCCAGAGCCCAGCCTCCGACCCTAAAATGTTCAGTAATGACTCTGACATTTCTGAAGGTGAACCCTCATGTCATGATGTAAGATGACAGAATTCTAACAATCACACCACAGTTTGACAGCACACTGAAGGAAGGACAAAGATAAAAGGCATGGGGAGCTTGTTGGTTATTGCCTAAGATACTTAGCTGGAAGAGCTGTTTAAGTCTCACCAGCTCTCAGAATGGGAGAGAGTAGTTTCTCAAAAATAATTTTGGGGTATCATCTTTTTTCCCTTTCCTTTTTTATTTAAATTAGAAACAAGATTGTTTTACATGTCAATCCCAGTTCCCTCTCCTTCCCCTCCTCCCCTGCCCCCCACCAGGCCCTTATCCGATCCCCTTTCTGCTCCCCAGGGAGGGTGAGGCCTTCCATGGGGAATCTTCAAAGTCTGTCATGTCTTTTGGAGCAGGGCCTAGACCCTCTCCCATGTGTCTAGACTGAGAGAGTATCCCTCCATGTGGAGTGGGCTCCCAAAGTCCATTTGTGTACTAGGAATAAATAATGATCCACTACCAGAGGCCCCATAGATTAATCAGACCTCCAAACTGGCATTCACGTTCAGCTCAGTGTTTAGCTGTGGGTGTCTGCTTCTGCTTCCATCAGTTACTGGATGAAGGCTGTAGGATGGCATATAAGGTAGTCATCAGTTTCATTTTTGGAGAAGGGGATTTAAGGTAGCCCCTCGATTATTGCTTAAATTGTTAGTTGCGGTCAACCTTGTAGATTTCTGGATATTTCCCTAGTGCCAGATTTCTTTTTAAACCCCTAATGGCTACCTCTATTATGGTATCTTTTTTCTTGCTCTCCTCTGTTCTTCCCCTGACTTGATCTTCCTGCTCTCCCATGTCCTCCTCTCTCCTCCTCTTCTCCCTTTATCTTTCTCCTAACTCCCTCTCCCCTCTTCCCATACTCCCAATTAGCTCCTTCTTGGGGAACAATGTATGCCTCTCTTAGGGTCCTCCTTGTTTCCTAGCTTCTCTGGCAGTGTTAATTGTAGGCTGGTAATCCTTTGCTCTATGTCTAAAATTCATATATGAGTGAGTACATACCATGTTCATCTTTTTGTGACTGGGTTACCTCACTCAGGATGGTTTCTTCTAGTTCCATCCATTTGCCTGAGAATTTCAAGATTCCATTATTTGTTTGTTTGTTTGTTTGTTTGTTCATTTTCTGCTGAGTAGTACTCCATTGTGTAAATGTACTACAGTTTCTGCATCCATTCCCCAGTTGAGGGACATCTAGGTTGCTTCCAGATTCTAGCTATTACAAATAATGCTGCTATGAACATGGTTGAACTGATGTCCTTGTTGTATGAATGTGCATCTTTTGAATATATGCCTAAGAGTTGGAATTGCTGAATCTTGTGGTAGACTGATTCCCATTTTCCTGAGGAAACACCATACTGATTTCCAAAGTAGGTGTGTTGGTCCATATCAGGGTTTTCAATTCGATTCCATTGGTCTACCTGTCTATTTTTGTGTCAATACCAAACTTTTTTCAGGACTATAGCTCTATAATAGAGCTTGAAGTCAGGAATGGTGATGCCTCCAGAAGTTCCTTTATTGTACAGGGTTGTTTTTGCTATCCTGGGTCTGTTTTTTTCCATATAAAGTTGAGAATTGTTCTTTCAAGGTCTGTGAAGAATTGTGCTGGAATTTTCATGGGGATTGTATTGAAACTCTAGATTGCTTTTGGCAAGATTACATTTTTACTACATTGATCCTACCTATCCAAGAGCATAGGAGATCTTTCCATTTTCTGGTATCTTCTTTAATTTCTTTCTTTAAAGACCCAAAGTTCTTGTTATACAGATCTTTCACTTGTTTGGTTAGTGTTATCCCAAGGTATTTTATGTTGTTTGTGGCACTTGTAAAGGGTGATGTTTCTCTGATTCCTTTCTCAGCCCACTTATCTTCTGTATATAGTAGGACTACTGATTTTTTTGAGTTAATCTTATATCCTGTCACTTTGCTGAAGGTGTTTATCAGCTGTAGGAGTTCCCTGGTAGAGTTTTTTTGGGTCACTTATATAAATTATCATACCATCTGCAAATAGTGAAGGTTTGACTTCTTTCCCAATTTGTATCTCCTTGATCTCCTTTTGTTGTTCACTCTCTGCTGTTTGGTAAGTTTGGATAAAGGTTTGACTATTTTGTTGATTTTCTTGAAGAACCAACTCTTCATTACATTGATTCTTTGTATTGTTTTCCTAGTTTCTACTTTATTTATTTCAGTCCTTGGTTTATTTTTTCCTGGCATCTGCTCCTCCATGCTGAGTTTGGTTCTTTCTGTTCTAGAGCTTTCAGGTGTTCTGTTAATTCTCTAGTGTGACTATTCTCCAGTTTCTTCATGTGGGCACTTATTGCTATGAATTTGCCTCATAGCACTACTTTCAAAGTGTTCCGTAAGTTTGGGTATGTTGTGTTTTCATTCTTATTGAATTCTAGAAGTCTTTAATTTCTTCCTTCATCCAGGAATGGTGCAATTGCTCAATGTTCAGTTTCCATGAGTTTGTAGGTTTTCTGCAATTTGTGTTGTTGTTGAATTCTAACTTTAAAGCATGGTGGTCTGATAAGAAACAGGTGCTTATTATAATTTTTTTGTACTTGTTGATGTTTGCTAAGTGGCGGAGTATGTGGTTGATTTTAGAGAAGGTTCCATGTGGTGCTGAAAAGAAAGTATATTCTTTTGTGTTTGGATGGAAAGTTCTATAAATGCCTGTTAAACCCAATTGGGTCATAACTTCTATTAGTTCCTTTGCTAAGTTTTTGTCTGCTGGTCCTGTCTAGTGGTGAGAGTGGGGTGTTAAAGTCTCCCACTATAAGTGTGTGAGGTTTTATGTGTGATTAGAGTTTTAGTAATGTTTCTTTTATGAATGTGAATACCTTTGTACTTGGGGTTTAGATGTTCAGAATTGAGACTTCATCTTGATGTATTTCTTCTGTCATGAATATGAAATGACCTCCTTCATCTCTTTTGATTGATTTTAGTTTAAAGTCTAATTTGTTAGACATTAAGATTGTTATCCCCGCTTTTTTTTTAGTCCATTTGATTGGAAAAATCTTTTCCCAACCCTTAACTCTGAAGTACCATCTGTCTTTGAAGTTGAGGTGTGTTTCTTGTATGCTTAAGAAGGATGGATTCTGTCTTCATGTCCTTTCTGTTATCCTGTGTCTTTTTTTTTTTTTTTTTTGGTTTTTATGAGACAGGGTTTTTCTGTATTGTTTCGGAGGCTATCGGTCCAGCCCGGCCTCGAACTCACAGAGATCCGCCTGCCTCTGTCCCCCGAGTTCTGGGATTAAAGGCGTGCACCATCACTGCCCGGCCTACCCTGTGTCTTTTTATAGGTGAGTTAAGACCATTAATATTGAGGGATATTAATGCCGGGCGGTGGTGGCGCACGCCTTTAATCCCAGCACTCGGGAAGCAGAGGCAGGCGGATCTCTGTGAGTTCGAGGCTGGGCTGGACCGACAGCCTCCAAAACAATACAGAGAAACCCTGTCTTGTAAAACAAAACAAAAAAATATTGAGGGATATTAATGACCATTGATTGTTCATTCTTGGGATTTGTTGTTGTTGGAATTCCGCCCTTTTTTTTTCTTGTGGCTGTTGGTAAAATGAGATTATCTATTGCCTGTGTTTTCCTGGTTGTAGTTAACTTCCTTGGGTTGGAGTTTTTCTCCCAGAAATTTCTGTAGGTCTGGATTAGTGGATATGTATTGTTTAAATCTCATTTTTTCTTGAAATTCTTGTTTTCTCCATCTATAGTGATTGAAAGCTTTTCTGGGTATAGTAGTCTGGGCTGGAGTCTGTGGTGTCTTAGTCTTGGTAGAATATCTATCCAGGACCTTCTGGCTTTCAGAGTTTCCATGGAGAAGTCAGGTGTAATTCTGATAGGTATGCCTTTATATGTTACTTGGACTTTTTCCTTAGCTGTTCTTAATACTCTTTCTTTATTCTGTATATTTGGGGTTTTGATTATTATGTGGCAAGGCAACCTTGTACCTTCATTGGCATGTCTTTCTTTAGGTTGGGAAAGTTTTCTTCTATGATTTTGTTGAATGTGTTTTCTGCACTTTTGAGGTGGGTTTTTTCACCTTCTTCCATACCTATTATTCTTAGATTTGGTCTTTTTACAGTATCCCACGTTTCCTTGATATTTTGTTTTAGAGATTTGTTGGACTTAATATTTGGTTGATGAATCTATTTCTCCTAGTGTATCTTCAACACCTGAGATTCTCTCTCCCATCTGTTGCATTCTGTTAGCTATACTTGCAGCTATAGTTTCTGATCATTTACTCAGCTTTTCTATTTCCACCATTCCCTTCATTTGTGTGTTTTTTATTGTCTGTATTCCAGTTTTCATGTCTTGAAATGGTTCCTTCATCTGTTTGATGTTTCTCTTGGCTTTTTAAAAGAGATTTGTTGATTTCTTGTATTTTTTGTTTGTTTTTTTTTCTCTTCCATTTCTTTAAGGAATTTTCTCATATCATCTTTGGTGGCCTCTATCATTTTCATGAAGTTGTTTTTAAGGTCATTCTCTTCTGCTTTATCTCCATTGGAATGTTCAGGTCTTGCTGGTGTAGTGTCTCTAGACTCTGGTAGTATCATATTGGTTTTTCTGTTGTTCAATGTGTTTTTATATTGTCTTTTTCCCATCCTTGCTTCCAGTAAGTGCAGAAAGAGTCTCTTCCCTTCCTGGTGGATACGGGTCCAAAGTTCCCTTCTGGTGGGTGCAAGCAGGTCCAATACTCTGATGGCTCTCCTCTTCCTGGGGGTCAAGTTGGGAGTAGTACCAGGGCCTTGGAAGTAACTGCATGTGCTGGACCACCAGGATGCATTCCCCAGTGCACAGTCCCTGGGCCTCAGGTGGCTCCAAGTAGGTGACCAGAAGGCAGGCAGGAAACAGGCCCACACTTACCTCTTCCTGTGAGTGGAGAAAGGGCATTGGGGTAACATCTTATCTTTAAAGATAGCAAATGCATACTAAAGACACATGTCTAGTATGTAGACATTTGGCACAGCATGGGATTTGACTTGATTTTCCAAGATTCAGATTCAAGTACTTCCTAGCACAATGCCTGGGAGTGGAGCTAACAATAAAACCAACCTCACAGGCTTGACATGAGTACTAAACTATATAGTATACTTAAAAACATAAAGCATAACTCTCCAAGTAGGAATGTTGAAAGTTTGAAAAAAACCCTATTCCAAAGGATATTACAGGCTCTGTCAAATCAGATCGCAAGAATCCTGTCATCGTATTCATCACAGAACTAGAAAAGCAGTACTAAAGTTCATATAGAAGCACAAAAGTATCTGAGTAGCCATAGCAACCCTCCGCAGAGAGGCTAGGTACAACCAAGCTTGTGTAGATCCCTGGATTTGATCCTCATCACTGATAAACCAGGCTAGTTTTCACATCCCTATAATCCTAGCACTTCGGAGATGCAAACAAGAAGGCCAGAATTCAAGGTCATCCTTAATGCATAGTACCAAGCTAGCCTCAACTACAGAAAAGTCTGAATCTTTTTTTATTGCATTTTAATGTAACTGATATACTGTCTGTTTTCTCATCAGAAGAAAGCTGACTCCCAGCTGTGGATTTCTGGCCTCTACCCTTCTGCCTACTGGTGTGGGCAGGCAGTGGTGGATGTTATTCTCTTCAGTGTAGTTCTTCTCTCAAGCTACTTCACATTATATGCGACAAAACTGATGCACATTTACCTGACAAGTGAGGTTGTACTATCTATAGTAAGTAATATGACATCAACCTAATTCTATATAGTAACTAAAAATAAAAAGCAATGTTAGTTGTTTAAATATTTGATAAACCTAACCATAAGCATATTACCCCTTAAAATATTTTTTAAAAGATGTATTTATTTATTATTCTTACAGTGGTCTGCCTGCATATATGCCTGCAGACCAGAAGAGGGCACCAGATCTCATTGTAGATGGCTGTGAGCCTCTATGTGGTTGCTAGGAATTGAACTCAGGACTTCTGGAAGAGCAGCCAGTGCTATTAAACTCTGAGCCATCTCTCCAATTCCAGTTAAAATATTTGTAAATGTATGTAATTTAAAATTTCCCTCAGATGTCTCATTTCTAACTGACGTTATCTGTATTATCTTCAGGTAGTTCTTTCGTTTGGTTGTGCAGCTTCTCTGGTCTTCTTGACATACGTGATATCATTTGTTTTTGGCAAAAAGAGAAAAAATAGTGGCCTCTGGTCAATTTTCTTCTTTACTGTAAGTATGATAAGTATTAAATACATTTTGTCTTGATCGGTGGGAAAATTTAAAATGTGGATTTAACTTAAAGATTCAAATCCTTTGCCCAAAATTTTGAGAGCTGACGCAATACCACAATACCCGACTTAACGCGATGGTTCCCTGTCAACATGCAGGAGTACAACGGAATTTATTCACCATTACCAGTGGACCATTTAGAGTTATGTATGTAAAGTACACATGAAGCATCACTTAATTTTGTGTTAAGATTTGAATTTGATCCCAAAGTCCAGTAAAATATGAACTTCAAGTTATTATTTTTTCTCAAACATTTCAGATTAAAATTCCCAGTAGAAAGGACCTGGAAATGTAACTTGTGTTGTTGAGTTAGTTATATTTATGAAGATTACTGGTACAGGTCTTTGAATAGAGTTCAATGAGAACTTCATAAAAGACCCAAAGTTTAAAATGTACCAGAACTGGCTTCTGAAGCAGTTCTATATAGCATGGGTGTCCAATTTTAGGCATTGTCATATGCTCTTGTCATCTGCAAATGTGTTGGACTGCATTCATAGGTATCTTGGGATGCATGTTGCCTGCATGCTACACTTTGAGTATTCCTGATCCAGAAACTCTTGTCTTAAAAAAAACAGCTGTGAGAATTTCAGATATCATATTTTGATTCCCATGTCAAATAATTTATTATGTTTCTTATCTCAACACATGAAAATAGAGAGCTTGTCTGGTATTATGAGAAACTTTGCTATGAATATTTACCCAAGCAATGAAGATCCAGAATGTTTTTCAAGCTGCCTTTAAGCTGATATTCCTAAGACATGATTGAATGTCTATCAGTATCATAGCTCTAAATTTTTGGGAGTCCTGAAGTTGTGAAAGACCTCAGCCCAATACCAGCTGTGGGAAAATATACTTCTCTGATACCTCCCACTGACTCTACAGGAAATGGGTGAACACAGCTGACTGCTGTATTAGTATACAGCACTTGTATTTTATGTCTTCAGATTGAATTTGGTTGTATTCATCAGTGGCATTTATTACTCTTACCTTCATCTTCACAATCCATCCTAAGAAAGAAGCTACATAAAGTACTACAGAGTACTTCATTTGAAAGATTACCTTTTCAAAATGGCTGTACAAGTTTGCAATCCCACCAGCAGTGAAGGAGTGTTCCCTTGACTAAATATTCTCTCCAACATAGATGTCCTCAGTATTTTTTATCTTAACCATTTTGACAATTGTAAGATGGTATTTCAGAGTCATTTTTGATTTGTATTTCCCTGATGATTAAGGATCTTGAGCATTTCCTTAAATGTCTTTTAGTCTTTTGAGACTCTTTTGATGAGAATTCTCTGTTTAGATTTGTATCATTTTTAATTGGATTATTTTATATTTTGATGTCTAGTTTCTTGAGGTCTTTATATATTTTGGAGGTCATCCCCTTGTCAGATGTGGTTTTCCTATTTTGTAGGCAATCTTTTTGTCTTATTTGCTAAGTTCTTTGTTTTACAGAAACTTTTCAGTTTCGGGAGATCCCATTTATTGATTTTTGCTCTCAGCGTCTGTGATACTGGTGTTATATTTAGGAGGTGGGCTCCTGTGCCAATGCGTTTAAGGCTGCTTCCCACTTTCTCTACTATCAGGTTCAATGTAACTGGATATATGTTGAGGTCCTTGATGTGCTTGAACTTGAGTTGTGTGTGGCGATAGACATGGATCTATTTGCAGTCTTCTACATGTTGACACCCAGTTATGCCAGCACCATCTGCTAAAGATTCTTTCCTTTTTCCATTGTACCTTTTTGGCTTCTTTGTCAAAAACCAGGTGTTCATAGTGTGTGGATTAATGTCAGGGTCTTCAATTTGATTCCATTGGTCCACTTGTCTATTTGTATGCCAATACTAAGCTATTTTCATTACTGTAGCTCTATAGTAGAGTTTGAAGTCAGGAATGGTGATGCCCTCAGAAGTTCCTTTATTGTACATGATTGTTTTAGCCATTTTATTCTGTTTTTTTGGTTTTCCATGTGAACTTGAAAATTGTTCTTTCAAGTCTATGAATAATTGTGTTAGAATTTTGATGGGGATTGCATTGAATCTGTATACTGCTTTTAGTGTAGATGGCCATTTTTATTATGTTGATCATACTATCCAAGAGCATGGGAGATCTTTCCATTTTCTGACTAGCCATGAGAATCTATGCATCAAATCACTTGAGAACATTTTTGATTGTCTAGCAGGATTACTGTGCTGAAATTATACAGTGTATTCCCAATACTGACTCTGATAAATAGCTGTCATTGGAAGATAATCTTACTATAACTCACCTGATTTTTATTTCAACCAATACTCTTTTATATGTCTAGTAAAGGTGAATAAAGCAATTATGCCTTGCTGTTTCCTTAGGTTTGCCAGTAATTTCAACTCTGCATGAATTATTTCTTGGCACACTGGTCAGAGGTGCTTGCCAGTGCTATAATAAATGTTTAGCATGTATGAGGATCTGTGTTCATTGTTCAGAATCCTTTATCAAAAGAAAGAATGTCATACTGAACACGCAACACATGTAATTAACATGTTGTTAAATACTAATTTTATATTGGGGAGATAACACTTCTGTATACTCTTATTAACAAAACCATTTCCCTTTTTGTCTCCAAAAGGGAAATTGTTATGACCATTGTTTGTATCTTTATATGGGAAATTGTGGAATTTGTCATTTGACGTGGTACTCTTGGACTCACCCTGTAGGTCTTAACCATTATGTTCAAGATCCTTTTGACTGAGTTCTTCGTTGAAACACTGCTTATTACCATCATGGTATTAGTTCCTTCATTTTCACTTATTGCATTCCTGATTTTTTTGGAAATGGTAAGAAATGTCATAAAATGTTCCATAAAAATTTAATATGTAGGCTGTTTGCTGTGCATAGATCTACAGAGATAGAAAGTGGGTTAGCAGACTTGGGGCCTGAAAGCAGACATGAGGGATTGCTTTGTGGTGATTAGAGTGCTCTGAAGTTGAATTGTGGTGGTGCTTACACAAGTTATTAAAAAAAAAGTCCTGAGTCTGCAGACTTAGAGTAGGTAGAATTTATGACATGAAAATAAACCTCAATAAAAACTTTAAAAAGCTGTACCTTAGGTACTTTGCAAAATGTAGGCATGGTTGAATGCTATTAGAAGATAAAGAAGGTAAAGCCAGATTGTAAAAGAACTTCCTGCTTCAATGGATGTTTATTAATTACCGAGGATAAGTTCATACACAATACTCTTCAACTACTTAAAGGCATATGCCAAAAGCCATTCTGTGCTAGTCACTGTGCTAGTAATTAGGGACACCTGATGAGCAAAATAGCACAATTCTTCCTTCACAGAGCTCAGCAGAAACAAAGACAGATCAACCTCAAGCAGATCACCATAGTGATCTTAAAGGTTACAATGGCAATGGGCAAAGTATTGAGGGAGATCATACAAAACATAGTCAGTACACTTAGGAGTAAGAGGATTCTGGGGACATGATGTTCCTAAATAATAAATAAGAATTGTTGAGAGTGTAAGATAAGAAATAAGCATGTCCTGCAGAGAAAAATCAAAGGCCTCAAGAGAGGAAAGACCATGGACTATCAGAGAAGCCGAGTATTACATAAATGAACAGACATTTAGTTGAGATCATACTTTTTGGTAATCTTCAATACTCTAGATGAAATGACTTTAAGTATAACATAGAAAATTTCATTAATTGTCTTCTAGAGGAAAGTGGGGAAACCTGTCTACAAAATACTTTCTTTGTTGACAAAGCAGTGACTGGAAGTTATGATCATAACTCTTCCTTTTGCTTAGTATTTTCTTCCTAAGACATAAGTAGGTGACATACATAAATCTAGATTTGTCACAGGGGATTCAAAAGTAATGACTTGATTTCTGCATAATTGGTTGAGGATAAAATAATAATGTCAAGAACTACTTGTTGTGATTGCAAAAACAGCCATCATTGAGATAAGAAGGGAGCCTGTGAGTAGGCTTATGTGGGAAACTCATAAATATCTTAACTCTTAATATTTTCATAATGTCAGCATCTCCCCCTGATTTACTTTCAGCAAATGTCTTTAAACCAAATGATTTTTTTAAATTAAAGAGATATAGGTTAGCTGCCTATTGAGAAGGGATATTTAGTAAGGGGTTCCTCCTCTGTAGGGAATATGTTGTCAGTGCAGACAGAACCAAGTTTAAAGAAGAAAATACTCAATATGCAAAGTGTATATTATTTAAATGCAAATTGTGAAGAAATTATATTTAGCCTTTTTTTCTATTTTCAGAGAGCCTTCCAGTACTACAGTGAATCTGAAGAAACCAAATATGTTTTATCTGGGGTTGATCTTCTATTATGTCTAATAGTAAGACTTTTTCCTCACTACATATCGCTGTATGGTGTTGTCTGATGCTTTCTATCTCTTAAAGTGTTTTAAACATAATTTTAGGTAAAGCAATGACTTTCAGTCATAGACTTTCTCTTATAATAAGTTTTTGTGTGCATATATATGATAAGTTAACAATTCAGTATAGTATCCATTTTGGTTTGTTTAGTCTCTTCACCATCCTTCCTCTAAATGTGAAAGTGTAAAGACATCAGATGCAATATAAATTTTCTGAATTATGAATATATGGAAAAATTGAATATGAGTGAGTGGGAAAATTATTATTTTAGATTTAACGATGATGAAAGCTACTGTCTTTCCATACTATCTGCTCTTAGCAAACCAGTAAACACAAAGTCCCTGCCCTCATGGGGCTTATTTTCTAGAAGAGGTATCTAGATAAGCTAAATAACAGTAAATACTGTGTCAGTTGGAGAAGTGTCTTAGTCATTTTCTATTTCTGTGAAGAGACACCATGACCAAAGCAAATTCTAGAAGAATGCATTTAATGGAGGCTTACAGTTTCAGAGGGCGAGTCCATCACCATCATGGCAGGGAGCATGGCAAACTGTGGGCATGCATGGCACTGGAGCAATAGCTGAGAGCTACATCAGATCCACAAGCACAAGGAAGAGAAAAAAGAGTTAACTGGGAATGATGTCGGCTTGTAGGATTTTGTGACCTCAAAGTCCACCTTCAATGACACACCTCCTCCAATAAGTCTACACCTCCTACTCCTTCCCAAATAGTTCCACTGGGGACTGAGCGATCATTTAAAACTATGAGCCTAGGCAGCCATTCCCATTCCAACCACATTCTAGTAAGTAGTAGCGAGAGTGACCCTATCTTGTTTCAGGATCATCTAGGAGAAAGGAAGTTTAATCAGATAGAAGATCATCAAGTAATTTGGTAAAGTGCAAGATAAGCATAATGGGATCTGCATGGTATTCTAGGTAACTCCAAGGATTTTGATGTAAAATTTTAGTAGTTAAGGACTCTTAGGATAGTTTTAATCAAAGCACAGTGATCAAACATAGCTATAGAAGGCATAACTTCAGTTTTTATGATGAGAGTATATATGTAGGACAAGAGGAATAGAGGGAAACCATGTGGGAATGCATTGCAAGCTGAGAAAGAACAATGGCATGCATATGGATGGGCATAACACAGCAGAGAGAACTAGTTGCATCATGGGTCATTTTAAAAACAAAACAGAATTCGTTGATCTTTAAAATATGGGTTATGAATAGTAGAAACTAGACAGGATAAACTGTTGGGTTGTGCTTTCTTCCCCAACTTATAAGCATTTACTATCAAATTACTTATAAACACAGAGACAACAGTTAAGTAATTTAATTAACTTTTGTCTAAACAAAACTTTTCCTTTACTCCTAGCCTTACTTTCATACTTTGCTGTTCATTTTTGTTCTGAGATGCCTGGAACTTAAATGTGGAAAGAATGTCATGCGGAAGGATCCCATTTTCAGGTTAGAATAACATTCAGTTTCATTTATAAATAAGATCATAGCTTAACATTCCTATTGTGGTAGTTGCACTTCCAATTTGTTGATAGAGATTTCTATTTGCAATGCAAGCAATGTAATTGTTGGCATTATAGTCAATAGATTTCTGGCTTACTGTCAAGAAATAAAACCTGCCACTAAGCAGTATAGAGATGCTTCAATTTCTCAAAAATATAAAGATTTTCCAAGAATACCATCCATTCTCCCATATATGGTGATATTCATCTTTGCATAGGAGGGATAGAAAGAAGAGATATTAATTAATAATAACTGACTTGATGGAGTTTTACACATGGACTGTAGAAAGTATGAGCGGTGAAAGATGCTGAAACAAATATCTGATGTGACTATGTGGGGCTGTAGTGACCAGTGACTTGAATTTTAGAAGGGCAGGGACAGTATTTGATGATATTGCTGTTAAATACTGGCTTTAAAGGTCAAGGATTCTGGAAGGACAACAACGATACCAAGAGAGGGATTCTAAAATAGTCAGTGGGATGAGAGTTCTACATAAGGCTGAAGCCACATGAATAATGACAATCAACCACCAGTCTAATAGAAAAAAAAAGAAAACTGGTAAAATCACCAGGAAACTAAGTTTTGACAACTAGAAAACAATGTGAAACTAAATTGTTTTCCACAGGATATCTCCACGAAGTCTAAAGGTTCAACCAAATCCAGTAGAACATATAGGTGAAGATGAAGATGAAGATGTCCAAGCGGAAAGAATAAGGACATCAGCTGCCTTGAATACTTCAAATTTAAATGAGGTTTGAAAGTATAGACGGTACTGAAAGCATACAAGAATTGTTCAGAACAAAGCTTGATATATTGGTTTTAACTTTGAAAGTGTGAAGTTTGGTACATCCTAAATAAGCAGTCACCCTAGAAGGTCTTGGAAACTAAAAGAACATAAAACACAATGATTTTGCTGGGCTGTGGTCCCACACATCTTTAATCCCAGTATTTACCAGCGGGAGGAAGTGTTGCGGGGGGCAGAGGCAGGAGTATCTCTGTACATTTGAGGACAGCCTGATCTACAGCGCTAGTCCCAGAACAACCAGGGCTACACAGAGAAACCCTGTCTCAAAAGAACAAGCAAACAAACAAAACTCAAGACAAAAAAACCAATGATTTTATTCTTCTTTTGAGAAAAATGAGTTTTAACAACTAGAATAATAATTTTAGAACAAAATGAGACCTTATGAGTTGAAGAATATAATATTTGGGGCAAAATGCTTAATGGAGACCAGGAGATTCAACCATGCTTCCTGCATGCCAGGCAGATGCTCTTCTACTAGGACTCCATTGTATTCCCAGGCACAGGTTTTTCTTTCTATCAGACTTAGATGCTATATTCTCCCACAATGTAGTCAATTCCCTTCTGCCAAGACAGTGAGTTGTATTCCATGGTGCTCTGATATTTTCCTAGTGTTTTTAGAAACCAGTTACCCTGTAAACTAATGAATGTGTCTTATATTGCTAACAATAGTAATGATTACTCTCAACTCAGAATATGGCTTGATTTATGGTAAACATCATGAGAATGTAAGAACATAAAACCTCTCAAATTTAGAGGAAAACCTCATTTCTATCTCTTCTAGAGACCAGTCATTATTGCCAACAGTCTTCACAAAGAGTACACAGGTCAGAAGAAAAGTTGCTTTTCAAAGAGGACAAAGAAAGTGGCAGCAAGAAACATCTCTTTTTGTGTTAATAAAGGTGTGGAACAACCACTTCTCAAATTTACTGTTTAAGTTTTTTTTAACTAATTAATTTTTGTGGTATTAGAGGATAGAACCCAGAGCCTGATTTGTGCTAGGCAACTATTGTACCACTGTTAGTGTTCTCAGTTCTCCCTTTACTTCTTGTTTTGAGGCAGAGTCTCACTAAGTTGCCAAGGATGGCATTTTGAACCTACCCTGTAGTTCAGTTAGTCTTAAACTTGTGATTCCTGTGCCTTAGCCTTTTGAATAGATGGGAGTACAGGTCTGAACATACCAAACCATTAACTGTTATTTTTAGGAATGAACGTCTATACAAAAGGCATAATTTCATTTCCTGCAGCTTTAATTCCTTCATTTGATATATATATATATATATATATATATATATATATATATATATATATACTGTTTTGGGAAAAATACAGGAAACTCCCTGCCTTTGTGGAGTTTGCATTCTAAGGAGTTCATAAAATAATTTATCAATAAAATATCAGTTATTGCATATTAATGCTATGTATAGCATTGAAACTTGTGAAACAATGTGAGTGACATGGAACTGTATTTTATTAGGACAAGGAAAAGCTTTACTTGAACAGTGACATTTAAGCCAATATCTATGTGACAAGAAGATGGGGATATCAATGGCAAGGATTTAGATACAGTGACACATTTGGAGTGGCTAAGTTTAAAGCAAAGAGATCAGCAGATGCATCTGTGTGTAGGACAGATAAGTCAAGCTGGGTTTGACTTGGTACACTTCTTTAGAACAAGATGGTGCAGTTTACATCATGCTAGTAGAATGTTATTAGAGGGTGTTTTAGCAGAAAGGTCACATTTTGTAGAGATTACATACTGATATTTGTGTATGAATTTGAGAAGGAGCAATTTACATCAGTTCAGATGAAAAATCATGGTAGTTTGTGGCTTATTTTTGATATAAGAATAGTATTCCAACTTTCTAAGTTTTAGAAATCATTTGCATGGGCATACAGGTACACACACACACTCATACAAAGTGCATTGACAATCTACTGTGGAAAATAATTGAAATAGGAATTCTTGGGGGGTGATATATCAATGTGAAATTAATAAGCTTTTAATGAAATATTAATGAGGAGAATTAAATAATATGTTTTCATAACATATATTGTATATATTTTATATTAGAATTACTCTGAGGATTCTAAAGATCTTTCAAGATTTTACTAAAAAACTATGAATCTATATTTATTGATCATCTTATTCTTATTCTTTCTTTCAGGTGAAATTCTGGGATTGTTAGGCCCCAACGGAGCTGGTAAAACTTCTTCTGTTAGGATGATAGCTGGGATCACAAAGCCAGCAGCTGGAGAGGTAGCAAGCAAAGCAGAAATCATTTCCATTTCAAAAAATTATCATTGTAATAAATATAAGTTGTATATTTGTGAGACTTTTATTGTGTTTTTGGATATATATTTTTTCCTCTTATTGTTTTTTTAAAGGTTTATTTATTTATTATGTTTACTACATTCTATCTCCATGTAAGCCTGCAGGCCAGAAGAGGGCACCAGATCCCATTATGGATGGTTGTGAGCCACCATGTGGTTGCTGGGAATTGAACTCAGGACCTCTGGAAGAGCAGCCAGTGTTCTTAAACTCTGAGCCATCTCTCCAGCCCTCATTTATTGCTTTGGATGGTATTTAAAAGTTTATAATAGGAATTGGAACACTACCAGGAGCCAAGGACCTGTTGTGCACCACAGGTGCTTAGGTACCGCCTGAATTTGTACATCTTTTCCACCCCACTCACATGCGAAATTCTGCTCGTCGGTTGAAGATTTCATTATTTTCTGTGATAAATGTGGGTCAGTTTCAGCGACGTGTTCTTGTTGTTTTAATAGTTCAGGTTATGTGCCAGCTCTATGGCAGTTTCTAGGTTGTGTGGTGAACAGGCCTTACAGACCATCAGTAAAGCTGCTTATCCTTGTAGGTGGAACTGAAAGGATGTAGCTCAGCTGTGGGTTACCAGGATGATGGCACAGTCAAGTTTGGATACTGTCCTCAGGAGAACGTGCTGTGGCCCATCCTGACAGTGAAGGAACATCTGGAGCTGTATGCCGCTGTAAAAGGGCTGAGGAAGGAGGATGCTGCCATTGCCATTTCAAGGTAAAGCAGAGGGGGTGTGTCTCCCCTTTTTCTCAAGAGGTGGGGAGGAACTACCCACAGGAATTTACTAAGGAGGAACAGTAGCAGAAAGGCATTTCCACCTTTTCGGAGCATTGGTGGTAGACTAGAAACGAGAGACCACACTGGACTCCCCACATAACTCAGTGTGGGAGCTTAAAAAATATTCAATAAAATAGGTGACAAAGAATGAGTAAGTCTATACTCATAAATAGTCACTGTTTATAGGTTTCTAATGAGAAAATGGAAATAGAGTAAATATCAGTTTGGTTTCTCATTCAGAATTATGAAAAAACCATTTGAGGCAAAAAATGAAACAACTTTTTATCACGATTTAAACTTTTAAACAATACTGCTATGCTTCCCTCCAATGTTCTTATAATTATGGGTGATCTCATTTTCCCAAAGTTCTCTCTTAGTGTGATATTTGCATCTTATTTTTCTATCAGATTAGTGAATGCTTTTAAACTACACGACCAGCTGAATGTCCTAGTGCAGAAACTAGCTGCGGGAGCCACTAGGAAGGTATGTGTGGTATCCAGTGCTCTTCTGGGGGCTTATGTCGTATGGGAGCAAACAGGGAACATTTTCTTCCTTCATTGCAGCTGTGTTTTGTGCTGAGCATCCTGGGAGACTCATCTGTCCTGATTCTGGATGAACCATCTACAGGCTTAGATGTGTCTGAGCGGCAACAAGTGTGGTGAGCATTCTTCTAGGTCCCAGACCCGCAGGGATAAACATGTAAAATGGCAGGAAATCCACGCGTTCCCAATTTAGCTTGGGTGGTAAATGTTCCTTTAAGGCCCATGTGTTATAAAGGTTTGCTTCCCAGCCGTTGGTGCTGCCAAGAAGTGCTAGCTAGCAAAGATGACCTTGAAGAAGACACTGGCCCTCTGGTCCTGAAGAAAGCAGCCATACTTCCCTGAGGCATTCACCATCATGGTGAGCCTTGCCACAGTCTCAAAGCAGTGAGTTTAATCAACCGTGGCTTAGAATAGCTGAAATATTAATTCAAAACAAACTTCTCCTTTGGGATTGATTATCCCAGGCATTTTAACACTGTGAAACAAATCTGATATGTACTGACAGCATATCAATGGCTATTTTAGCAAATATTTCAGGTGAGCAGCTTACAAAGAGGAAAGATTTGCTTGGGCTTGAAGTTTTGGGGTCTTTAAGTCCATATTCTGTTGACTTCATTGCTCTGGGGCTGTGGTAAAGTAGCATGCCAAGGCGGGAATACGTGATAGCTCTGGTCACTTTATACATCGTGAGCAAAGAGAACGAGGAAAACAGTGAGGTGTCATAATCCCCCAAGAGGCTCTGATGTCCTAGATCTCAACTCTTAAAGATTCCATCACTTCCTAATGGCACTGTCTGGGGTCCAAGCCTCTAGTACATGGACATTCAAGACACAAACTCTAGCTACAGAGATGGTTCATGTTATTAGGAAAGCAAATATTTAACACGTAGATGATCCAAAATGCTCCATATTCTGCAGTTTGGGGATTAATAATAAATAATTTTAATTTTGTATTTTAATTATTGAAAATTCTGTAACAATTTATTTTACTGCTTAGACTGTTTTCCTAAAGAAATTAGTTTACTAACATAATTTTCTTAATCTGTCAAATTTACTTATATAACTTATATTATTTTAATTTTTCCCTATTCTTACCCGTGAATCACCCTTTTGACTAGCAAACCCCTGATTTAATGTGATGATCTCATATTCTCTCCAATTTAAAATATTTTTTGTTGTCATTGTTTAATACAACTATTGAAAGAATTATTTATGAGTATGTTATACCTATCACTCAGTTGCAATCATTGTCACCAGAAGATCAACTTTCTTTTCATCTATTTCTCAACCCATTTCCTCTTGCACCTTCTGTTATTTTAAAGGAATATGAAGTGACATGTCCTTTTATTCATCATTATTCAGTTAACATTTTCAAAAAACAAGGAAACTTCTCTTTAAAGTTCAAATGCTATGAACACACCTAAAGTATTAAAAAATTCCCTTTATTTAAAAATAATTAGTCAGCATTGATTTATCTGGTGTTTTTGAGTACATGAATGTGATTTGTAAACTATTCTATCTATACATTTCCTTCTATTTTTATCCTTCCTATTGTTCTTTACTGTTGGTTTTAAATTCTATTGATTTTTACTCATTTCAGGCAGGCAATCCAGGCAGCTGTTAAAGACAATGAGAGGGGTGTCCTCTTGACTACCCATGACCTGGCTGAAGCTGAGGCTCTGTGTGACCGAGTTGCCATCATGGTGTCTGGAAGGCTGAGGTGGGTATCTCTTCAGAGCCTGATCCGGGATTGCCTGTAGAAAGAGCAAGTCACTGCTAGCAGCTAATCCCTTCCTTTTGCCTTCCACACTGATACCCTTTCCACTATCTCTGATTTAAGAATAACCAAGCTTCAATGACAATGTTTTTCCCCCATCTTGTTCTTCCTACTCATAGATGCATTGGTTCAATTCAACACCTGAAAAGGAAGTTTGGCAAGGATTACATTCTAGAACTAAAAGTGAATGGAACTTCTCAAGTGCCATTAGTCCACAGGGAGATTGTGAAGCTGTTCCCACAGGCCGCACGCCAGGAAAGGTGAAGAGAGCTGTTTGTGGTGGAGAACGGATGTAGCTTTAAATACTCTGGTTTCTGTCAGCTCTGTGCCAACACTGGTGATTAGGCTTCACAGTAATAATTAGGGATCTCGGAAGAAGGTATGCTGGACCTTCCAGGTTATAAGAGATTTGCAGATTATACAGGAGCTTGTGTCTCTTCCTCTGGGAAATATCAACAAAGATGAAGGGTCTTTCTTTAATAGAATGTTCTTGTTTCAAAATGGAGACTATAAAGGAGTGTATGTGTGTGCACATGTGTATGTACACTTGTCGTGTGTGTGTTTGTGTGTGTGTGTATGTGTATAACTATGTATTATTAGGAGCAGGACAAGAAGATAGAGCAGCAACTAAATTTAAAATTAGAGGGATAAACACATCAAAAAAAAAACAGGACACAAAACTGTTATTATGCTCGCCTTCACACAGTGTAAATGCCTAAGGTATATTCCAAAACCTGCTGTTACTCTTAAACCTTCAGTATCTCTAGTTAAAGATATATGTATGTATGTGTATGTATATGGTAAATATGGGAATATAATGAACAATAAGAAAGGAAGAGGGTGGTCTGGTCTGAAGACATCCAGCCCCGGAGGTCTGGTCAGTCTTTCTGCCACTGAGGAACACTGCACTGTTAATCTGGGAGTGAACTCAGGTAACAGCAAAGGTTGCTGTCAGTGCCAGAAGGAAAATGCCATACATCAGTCTGTCCCTTAGAGGCTCAAGGGCTTTTAAGTCCCCACAACTGGCCTGCTGCTCTCCCCAGCCTTGGATCTCTCTGATCATGAGTTAGCTTATGGTGACAATACTGAACTCCCTAGAAGCTTTTTTTCAGCCTAGTTTGGAATGTTCTAAGGATGTAGGTTAGAATTTCTGATTTTAACAGAAAAACAGTTTGAGTTAACTGGGCTATGTAACAATATTCTGCCATTACTAGAGATGTCTATAACAGCCAATTCCCTTCAAACATTTTGAAAGTTTTTATTGGTAAATAATTTGGTTTCATGTTTAACCTATATAATCTTGTACCAATTTTATTTTTTTAAAAGTGGTTGATGATACAAAGATTTATTCTGATGTTTATCATCCCCACCTCGAAACACGGGTTGAATATAATATGTTCCTATTGCCAGGTATTTCTCCATGTTGACCTATCAGCTACCCATAACAGATGTTTATCCTCTGTCTCAGGCATTTCACAAGTTAGAAGCAGGTAAGAACAAACTTTTAAAGGACTTAGAGAATAATTTAATGAAAGGTGAACATGCAGTAATTTTGAAAATAGGCCCTGTAGGGTGTTGATTTTAAGAATTCTAAATCCTGGCTCTTCTTAATTGTTGTCAGTCAAACATGCTCTTACCCTGGTACTCTGAGCTTGCTCATCCTTCTTTTTTTATTTTTATTTTAAATGTTTTTTTCATTTTACATACCAATCCAGTTCCCCCTCCCTCCCCTTCTCCCACTCCCCTACAACTCCCCTTCCCACCCACCATACACTCTTGGGAGTGGGTAGAAGGGAGGAGATGGGAGATGGGAACATGAGGGATCGAGAAGGCCAAGTTGGGGGAAGGACGGAGGGGGAGAGTAGTGAGAGATATATCTTGATAGAGAGAACCACTATGGGGTCAGCTCGTTCTTCTTTTTGAAATTGTGTTCCCTAAATATTTAGGTTGTTGTTTTTTCACTTTTTTATGATTCTTCTCAACTATCAAATTATTACTATAACTTCCTCAATAGTCCTCTAAGTGTGCAATAAGTTTTTGTTTTGACTGGTTTCACCTTTCTCCATAGTTTCACTTATTATTTTATTATACATTTAAATATAATTTCTCCTGCTAAAAGACGCAGATGAAGACAAGGGTTTTGTCTCTTCCACTCACTGTTCTGTTAATGGCACTTAAGAGTGCCTCTCACACAGGGAATTCCTACTGTGTAAGTGATGAACTTCAAACAAGTGAGTATCTGGATCTAGTGACAACTGTCATGTAGGTCTACTGATATCCCCAGTGGAGACCTGATAAAGTAGATGATCACTGAAAGAGAATATTGATTTGGTCCTCTGAGATAATATGCAGTGAAATCTTTCATATATGTAAAAATATTTTGATCAATGGTGTGGTTCCTCAAGGAAAATATATATCTCTCAAAGACATACACACTAAATAGCAAAGATTAGAAAATATAGTATGAGCAAATCACAGTGCTAAGATGGATTTGGTATACGTTCATATTAACTTTTTGTTGCTGCAGTCATTATTTGAGAAAATTTACTAAAATCCTTCAAATTCAGCACTTAATCTGTAGAAACTCCATGACTCCTCCTATGTGAACTCCATTTATACTTCATGACATTGTTCTGTCCAGCAGTTATTTATTGCATTTAACTTTTATTTGTTTTAATAATTTTATTTTGGAGTATAGGACTTTGAAAATATTCTTGACAATAAACTGTAAGTCTATGCTCATTGTCTTTTATTGATTAATGTCTTTTTCAGTGAAGCACAGCTTTAACCTGGAAGAATACAGCCTCTCTCAGTGCACACTGGACAAAGTAAGTCAGCTTGTTGACTTTGTGTCATCACTGTAAATTTCATGAAAGGGGCATGCATGTAAATTTCATGAAAGGGGCATGCATGTATTTTCCCTGGTCAGCTCAGTAACCATTTTCCTGCTTCGTCTCCTGTGTAGGTGTTTTTAGATCTTTCAAAGGACCAGGAGCTGGAAACTGTTCATGAAGAAGCTGATACAACTGTGAGATGGAAACTCCTTCCTCGCTTAGATGAACTGTAAAATCTCAGACATAATCGTTCTGTTATCCTACAAACTTATGTCCTATATAGTAATTATCAGGATTAATAATCTCAGATGTTTTTATGTCAGTGCTATGCATATTTTATCTGCTCAGTCAACCACAAAACAAGATTTATAGTAGTCCATGTCCTAAAGCTTAGAGGCTATAAGAATATATAAAATACTAGTAAAACTACAAACTCAATTTTAAAAACTATTAATTTGTAACAATTATCAGAGCATTTACTTGCTGGAATAGATGAGTATGTTTAGTAGCAGTTAGCTGCATGGGAACTTCGTGGAGGTTAATAAATATAAACTTTATGAATTTTCTTTTATATAAAGTATGAGCAATTATTTTTCCTAAATCCTTTCAAGGAATTATTTCAACAGCAGTGCAAGTTACAAGGCTCTGGACTCAGAAATAAATATGTACACATCTTGAAAGCAGTTCAAATACAACATTTGAAAACAAAAGGAGTCACAGCAATAATTGTTTTTTAAAATTTAAATACTAATATCATGTTATTTTGTTTGTTTGTTTTTCAAGACAGGGTTTCTCTATATTGGTTTGGAGCCTGTCCTGGAAATCACTCTGTAGACCAGACTGGTCTTGAACTCACAGAATCCCCCTGCCTCTGCCTCCCCAGTGATGGGATAAAAGGCATGCGCCACCAATGCCCTCCCTAATATCATGTTCTTAGGATTTCCTTCATCTCTTCATCAACAGTGTTCTGTGCATTTGACACTGATTTAAGTCCATTTTCTACTTATATCAGTTTATGTACATATGTGTACACTGTATTCAGGTTTCTCATATGTCAACTTTACATATTATTTTAATTTTCCCTTGAAATTCCTATGTAATCCTGGATGTTACCAGAAAATATTTCAAGGCCAGGCTGTATTCCTACTCTAATTTTATAATATTTTGTATATCTTAAATATAAGGTTTTCTATTCACTAAATAATTTTTGGTAGGTTCAGGAGAGATAGCTCAGTAGTTAAGAGTGCTTATGCTGTTGCCAGGAACCTGGGTTTTGTTTCCAGCACTCATATGGCGGCTTATAACTGTGTGTAATTCTAAGTCAGAGAATCTGATGTGCTCTTTTGTCACACATGGGATCCTGCACACATGTGGTACATAGGCAATACACTCAGGTACCACATATACAGAAAATAATTAGTATTTTTTTTACAAAGAATATTTGTATAGTGGGGAAAACACAGAAATTAAATAAAATTTAATAAAAGAGCCCCTTTAGTTCTTTCATAAAACTTCAATTGTTTACTTTCTTTAATCCATTTTTATAGAGTTGTATACACATTTCCTAACTACATACTTGTATTTACTAATGTAACATTGGAATTCTTACCTGTTTGCAAACTTATATAAATGTTGAAGCACTATATGTTTGCATTGGAATTTGTGTTAGCTATATTCTTCACTCATTTGCTTTTGTGCTTTAATCTTTTCACTACACGCTTACAGGATTCATATGTAATGAACTAGGTTAGCTATGTATTCCTCCCAAGGCAGATGAACACCACTGTCCAAGGGCCAAACATTTTAAGTGCTTACTTGTCAGAGGTGAAAGAATTAAAATTTAAGTATTATGGATTTTAAATTAATGAGAAACTTATGTTTAAATCCCTACCTGGGGCTAATATATAACATATTGGACAGGTGAATTCCAAAGTTAATCAGCATTTTCGCCTCATCTTCAACTGTAAGGTTTGTAGAAGCTGTGATCATGCTTTTCTCCTCTAAATAACATTTTTTTGTACTTTAGCTTACCATTGTGCTTACTATTCTCCAATAAATTAGTCATTATATCATTATTCTGTACATCAGTATTCATTTCACTTACAAATGGATTTATAAATTTTGAGCATGAATCTACTTCCCCTCAGGGGAAATTGTAAGTAGCTCCTTCAGAGATAACCATAAAAGACAAAAATCTCAGTTATTTGTGTGTATGTGTGTGTGTGTGTGTGTGTGTGTGTATGTGTGCATGTGTGTGTGTGTGAAGATAGCTCACTCTACTCTTATGCAATGAGTTATACCTAATGATGGAGTATCAATCAACATTTGTACTTGCCTTTCATTGTTTATCAGTTTCAGTAGTTAATATTCCTGTCAATTCACTAATTTCAGTCAGCTAATGAGCTCTTTATTGATTAACTTTTAAGGATTTCGTCCATGTGTATATTGTACATAGACTATGTTTATTATCATTACCTTCTCTTGACTACCTCCCATCCCACTGTACTATTCCTGCTTCCCACCTAATTACCAACTATTGTGTGTATGTGTGTGTGTGTGCACTCACACATACACATGCACATGTGAGTGCCACTCTGAATTTAATTAGGATTACATAAATGGGCAAAGATGGGGCTATTTACCACAGCATGGGCAATTTATCAGTGGCTGCACGGAAAAAATTTCTTGCCCTCTGTTCTGATTGAGATTTGTTTGTTTTTGTTTTTGTTATTTTTTGTCAATTGGACACTAGCAATGGTCATTAGGGAAGTGGGAACATACTTAAGATTGTCCTGCATGCAAATCTGTGGGGGCATTTTCTTCTTTAGTGATTAATATGGAAGGCTCAACCCACTGTGGGAGGTGTCACCTCTGAGAAGGTGTTCCTGGATGGTATAAGAAAGCAGGCTGTGAAAGCCATGGTACACAAGCAAGTAAGCAGCATTCTTCCATGGTCTCTGCTTCAGTTTCTGTATCCAGGATCCTGCCTTGAGTTGCTGCCCAATCTTCTCTCAGTGATGGAATGGGACTTGAGAATTGTAAAAGGAAATAAAAACCTTTCCTTCCAAGTTCATTTGGTCATAATATTTTATCACAGCAATAGAAACCCAAACTAAGACACCTTTCTCCAGCAACTATAACTGCCAGTAGCTCCCCAGTGAGGGGCAAAGACCTTCAAGAGTGCATCTTCCATTCAGATTTGTTAATATATATTGTTTTGAAGCATCAATTCAGAGATAAATTTCGCTTTCATGCTAAATAACATCACCTACATCAGGATTTCTTTACAAGTGAGAGCTCTTATCATAAGTAAATAATTTTCAAATCTCTTTAATGCTTATTTCTCAATTGTTTACATCTATTTTAAAAATTTTCTCTTTTACACACAGAAGTCTTTAACTGAAATTTTTCTTCTTATTTAAACATTTTGTCATTTTAAACTTTTTTATAAAATTATCATACATTTGTTCCCATTCATTCCCTCCTCCAATACTTACCTAATTTTATATTCTTTCTCTTAAAAAACTCAAAACCAAACCCAAACAAATCTCTCCTTCCCTCCCTCCCTCCTTCCCTCCCTCCCTCTTTCTCCCTCCCTCCCTCCTTCTCTCTCTGTCTCTGTCTCTCCCTTCCTCCCTCTCTCCCTCCCTCCCTCCCTGCCTCCCTCCCTCCCTCCTTCCCTCCCTCCCTCCCTCCCTCTCTCTCCCTCTCCCTCTCTCTCTCTATCACACACACACACACACACACACACACACACACACACACACCAAGACAAAACAAAACATGGAGTCCTTTACGTGTTGGACTACTATCCTCAGCATGCAGCCTGCCCTGGGATGTGTTAGATATACCCCCTGCCTCTCTGAAGACAGAGGCTTCCTGTCCCACCTGGTCACACAGCCATTTAGCCCCAAATAAACACACAGAGGCTTATATTAATTATAAGATATTTGGCTGATGGCTTAAGCTTCTTACTGGCGAGCTCTTTCTTAATTATTAACCCACAACTATTAAACTATGTACCTCCATGTAGTCTTGGCTTACCAGAGAATGCACGGACATGTTACTCATTTGGCAGCTACAGGGCATCTCTCTCACTGCTCACCCTCCGCATCCTCTCCCCACTCAAGAGAAGAAAACTAATTCTCCCTCTCCAACTGCAAATAGCTTCTTGGTCAGAGGCTGTACTTTGTGCCCACTTCCCCTTATCTGTGTTGTAATTTTGTGTGATTAGAACTTGTACACATCTTGTCACATTATCTGAGTCTATTGTTCATCAGTTCTATTGTGTCTAGAAAATGCAGTTTCCTTGGAGTTGCTCATCACCTTTGCTCTTAGATTCTTTCTTCCTCTTCTGCATGGTTTTCCCAGCATTAAGGAGAGAGATGTGGTATAGACATTGAGAGATATGTTCAAAATGTTTCCGTCTGTGCAGTGTCCATTTATATGTCTCTATGTTAATTATCATCAACTGAAAGAAGAAGCTTCTCTGTTAACACTTGAACAATGTACTTAGTTATAGGTATAGCAATATATCATTAGGACTCATCCAAGAGAGACCAAGTGGAGAGTTGGAGTGTAACACGAATTAATAAAAGACCCAGAGACAGATATTGGGGTTCCAGCTGAAGATCAGCGAAGCAAAGCAGCCAAGCTACCAGAGAGCTCTTACTTCCTTTTTTTTTGATTATGAAATATTAGGCATTTTATTTTTTATTTATTTATTTATTTTAATTTTTTAAAATTTATTTTTCAGTTTAAATTTAGATAAGAAACAAGGTTGCTTCACAAGTCAGTTCCAGGTCCCTCTCCCTTTCCTTCCCCTCCTCCCGTGCTCTCCCCCAACCCACCCCCATTATCCCCTCATTTCCCCAGGGAGGGTGAGGCCCTCCATGGGGGTGTCCATTGTCTGCCATTTCATATAGGGCAGGGCCTAGACCCTTCCCCAAGGGTTCAGGGTGAGAGTGCACCTCACATTGTTGGATTGGAGTCCAAAGTCCGTGTGTATACTCGGGATGGGTACTGATCTGCTGCCCAAGGCTCAATAGATCACCTAGGCCTCCTCACTGGAGAGCTCTTACTTCTAACAAGGCTGGGGCATTCCTATTCTCACCATGGCTGGAGAACTAAGACCTTGCTTCCTACTGAGACTTTGCTCCTATCTTATATACCTTCTTAATGCTGGGATTAAAGCATATGATCCCAAGTGCTGAGATCATCTTTGTGTGTGCTGTTTCTCTTTAGGACTGGATCAATCTTGTGTAGATCTGGGTGGCCTTGGGCTCACAGAGGTCTGGCTGACTCTTAATCCTGAGTCCTAGGATTAAAGGTGTGTACCACCAACTCCTAGATTCTGGTTGCTGGGATTAAAGGTGTGTGCCTGGCTTCTATGATTTGTGACTGACTTTTCTTTCTGAATTCTCACACAAGCGTTAATAAATCATAAATAATACATCACTACATTGGAGTTAAGTCTGGCAAAGAAAGGAGGTGAATAGAAAATGGCACAGTCACATCCCAGTATGATTGAAGTTGTAGACAAGTCAAAACCAGATGGCAGAAAAGCTTGTGTGTTTTCATCATAGGCAGGTCATCATCAAGGCATTCCTGAGAGGAATGTGGCAAAAAGCGTGTCTTCAAGATTGTTTATTTGGTGTGGAAGAGGATTGTATTCTTATTTCTAAGAGGAAAATAGGCAAAAGATAGAGATGTTTATCTCTACTGCCTAATAAATTTCCAGGAAAGAAGATTAGAAAAGATTTGACAAAGGGATTTAATTGAAAGTTTCCCAGAACTTCAAAAATCAATTCAAACTTCAAGACCTTTGTAAATGACTACAAAGTTCCATACAAGACAAAACAAAACCTACACTTGAACACGTGGTGATATTTCATACCATTATTGTGAAAGAGAAAAAAATTAATTTCCTGGTAAAAAAAGTATTCCACAAGAGTGCAGGGAACTGAACTTGAATCCTCTGCAAAGGCAACAAGCACTCTTAAATTCCAAGACATCTCTCCACACTTATATATGCATTCTTATCAGCAAAACTTCAGAAGACAAGAAAATTGCATTATTTTTAGCATGGAGAAGACACTATAACCAAAACCCAACAAGAGCAACATTTGATACTTTTTTTCTTTTCACCACCTTATTCCTCAAATCCCAAAGATATTTCTAATTTTTAAAATATTTTTCCTCAATATATGTTTTTATTTAAATTAGAAACATGCTTGCTTCACATGTCGATCCCACCTTCCTCTCTTACCCCTCCTCCCTTGCCCCTCTACTAGCCCTCTCCCAACCCTCCACCCAATCCCCACACCATTCTTCATGGAGGGTGAGGCCCTCCATGGGGAATGTCCAGAGTCTGTCACTTCATCTGGGGCAGGGCATAGGCCCTCCCCCATGTGCCCAGGCTGAGAGAGGTTCTCTTCATGTGGAACAGGCTCTCAAGGTTCATTCGTAAACACTGATCTGCTACCCAAGGCCCCAGAGATGGCTGAGGCCTCCTCATTGATACCACATTCAGAGGGGTCTGGATCAGTCCCATGCTGGCCTCTCAGCCATCAGTCTTGGGTCCAAGAGCTCCCCCTTGTCAGGTCTGCTGTCTCTGTGGGTTTTGCCCGCACAGTCTTGACCCCTTGGCTCATCACTTCTCCATCTCTGTCACTGGGTTCCAGGAGTTCAGTTCAGTATTTAGATGCGGGTATCTGCCTCTGCTTCCATAGGTTCCTGGATGAAGGTTCTAGGATGGCATATAAGGTAGTCATCAATCTCATTATCAGGGAGGGGAAATTTAGGTAGTCTCTCCACTATTGCTTAGTTTGCCTGTTGGTGTCATCCTTGTAGATCTCTGGAAATCCCACTAGTGTTAGCTCTCTCCTCAAACATATACTGACTCCCTCTAATATAGGTTCTCTCATCCTGGTTTCTCCATTCTTTACAGACTCAACCTTATGTGCATGGTTGTTCTACCTGCATGTATGTCTGTACACCATGTATGTGACTGTTGCCTGTGGCCAGAAGAGGACACTGGTGCCCCTGGCACTGGAGTTACAGATGGTTCTGAGTCACCATGTGGGTGCTGGAAATCAGATTCAGGTCCTTGGGAAGGAGCAACCAGTGCTCTTAGCTGATAGGCCATCGCTACAGACCCAGATCCCAAAGATTAAATTCGAAAATGATCCCTATATGGATATCCTCGTGCGTGCTCTGATCTCATAAATGTGGAGACTCAGGCTTTTAGGGCAAATTCTTTTCTCAGCATGGCACGATGAATAAAGTGTACAGGTGAAGTTTCAGGCTCAAATATGTTTAATATGCAGGGAGCTGGAAGGATGAAGAAAAAACTGAATGCAGACAGAGGCTGAATTTTTATATCACTAGAGTAGCAGAAGTTCAAATATGTTTGCTAACATTTAGAGATAATCATCAGTAGATCAAAATTAATATCCAGCACTTTCTAGACATTACATGGCATAAAGGGATCCACAGAAAGGAACAGAGAAAACACAGTCTCTGCAGAAATGAAAAACTGGAAAGCAGCAGGAAAAAATTAAAATAAAAGAGTGGAGGAAATTGATTCACCATTTTAAAGACTTGCGTTTCTTTTATAAAAGCAGAATTTAATAATCAAATACAAAGAAACATCTAATTATGCTACTTAACAAGGAATCTTACATACAAAATAATGGTGTTTGATCAAAATATACGTAAGAAATAAAAGTTGAAGTGGAGGGCTAGAGTACATCTCTAAAAGGATATTCCAGGGGAAAAGCACATAAAATAGGATCAAGTACAATTTACTTAATGTATGTTTATAAAGATTGACTTGTTTTCATTTTATGTGCGTGGGTGTTTTACCTGAATCACTGCTTCTCAACCTGTGCGTCGCAACTTCTGGGGGTCACACGGTCCTTTTGCAGTAGTCATCCAAGGCCATATGCATGCCAGATATTTACATTGTGGTTCATAACAGTAGAAAAATCACAGTTATGAAGTAACAACGAAAATAATTTTATGGTTGGGGGTACCACAACATGAGGAGTTGTATTAAGTGGGTCATAACATTAGTAAGGTTGAGAATATTGGCCAAAATATGTCTTTACTTCACATGCAGGTGATATATACAGAGGCCAGGAGAGAGCATCAGATCTCTCTGGAACTGTCATGTGAGTGCTGGGAACCTAAGCAGTACTCTGAAAGAACAGAAAGTGATATTACTACTGAGCTATCTATCTAGTCCCTCACATATTTTGTTTTTTAAAAAATAATATATATTTAAGGAGGATATCAGACAAAACCTACATATATGCAGTTCAACTAGGTTTGAGGAAAGAGGACACATATTCATTTCTAAGAAATAAGGCATTTTCTAAAGTATAGTCTCTGTGTACAGAATGTTAGCAGTGTTATTGAATGTGCTAATGTGTGCTCTACAGAAGGCAGCAGACATACAGAAACAATCAGAAGACTTGTTCTCACCAATTATGAGTTCAATCTGGTTGTATGGACTTTGCAGAGCAGTTTCTGGATCAAATATGATTAGTAAACAAGGAAATATGCTTGAATGAATATTGAAGGAATATTGCATTTCTATGTGATGCTTTGTCTTCCATGCACACAAGATGTTCATGATAATGTAGCCATTGCCTACAGCAAACATTTAACAACTGAAAAACAATGGTTGTCTACATAGAAATTTGTTTCCTGGGACCTGATGTTAATGTACCAATCAATCCCTTCTTCTCTTCCCCCCCCCCCCTCTCTCTCTCTCACTCTGTGTGTGTGTGTGTGTGTGTGTGTGTGTGTGTGTGTGTGTGTGTGTGTTGGGGGTATATCACATATGTATACGCACTCAGATAATTCAGACAAAGGCCAGAAGACAACCTTAGCTATCATTCTTAGAAACACTGCCCACCTCCTTTGAGACAAGGTCTCCCATTTTAACCAGGACAGACCTCACTAATTAGGCTAGACAAGCTAGCCAGCAAGCCCCAGAGATCTTCCTGTCTCCCTACCTCACCCCAGATACCAGCATTGTAAATTTACCTCAAGCCGACACCCCTGACATTTTTATTGGGCTTCTGGGAATCAAACTTAGTTCCTTATGCTTGCAAGGCAAGCACTTTTACTAAGTGAGCTATCTCCCCAGCCTGTGAACACAACATCTCTCTAAATATTCTCCTTTCTGCCACAAGAGTGATGGTACAAATAGAATACACAAAATGCTACCGAGATGTAGTGAAAATTCGGATTTACCGTGAAAACACTGCTTCATTGTCATTGTATAGACTTTGAGATATCTCCTTTTTTTGTTTTTTGAACATATCTGAAATATGATGTTTGATGAGTTTTGACATTTGTATACCTAAAAACTAGGCCTGTAAACAAGATAAAAAATACGTCCATCCCCCTTTCCTCATCACCCCCTTGCACAGCATGAAGTTCCCAATGTTCTCCACTCATTTTTCCTTCAGTCTTTTTTCCCCATTTTTTTATTTAAAATAGAAACAAGTTTCCTCTCCCTCCCCTCCTCCCCTGCCCCCCACTAACTCCCCTACCCCACTTCCCAGGGAGGGGGAGGCTTCCATGGGGGATCTTCAAAGTCTGTCATATCCTTTGGAGCAGGGCCTAGGCCCTCCCCCATGTGTCTAGGCTGAAAGAGTATCCTTTTATGTGGAATGAGCCCCCAAAGTCCATTTGTGTGCTAGGGATAAATACTGATCTACTACCAGAGGCCCCATAGATTGCCTAGGCCTCCTCACTGACACTCATGTTCATGGTGTCTGGATCAGTTTTATGCTGGTTTCTCAACTATCAGTCTGGGGTCCATGAACTCCTCCTTGTTCAGGTCAGCTGTTTCTGTGGATTTCACCAGCCTGGTCTGGACCACTTTGCTCATCACTCCTCCCTCTCTGCAACTGGATTCCAGGAGTTCAGTTCAGTGTTTAGCTGTGGGTGTCTGCCTCTGCTTCCATCAGCTACTAAATGAAGGCACTAGGATGGCATATAAGGTAGTCATCAATCTCATTATTGGGAAGGGCATTTAGGATAGCCTCTCCACTATTGCTTAGATTATTAGTTGGGGTCACCATTGTAGATCTCTGGACATTTCCCTAGTGCCAAATATCCAATGTGTGTATTTATTCCTGTAATAGGAAATTCTTTTCTGCTTTGCTGTGAGCTGGCCTTTTATTGATTTTGTTTAAAGAACTGTTGAGAGTCAGATCTCCTATTGGAGTCTAATCTGAAAGAAATAAAAACGTTTAAAAAGCCTAGCTTCCTCCTGGTTTGATAGTTGCTAACATTCCACTATGTCCAGCCAACCATCTGCAACCACAAATTCCCTGCTGAGGAACTGGCGGGAGGCAGAGGAAGAAAAAGCAGCTCAGGAGTTACTATGTGAGCAGAGCTCTGGCAGCCAGTCTGCATTTAGCGAGGAATTCTCCTCAGAAACCGGAGTAAAACAGAACCGTTCCCAGTAAGCAAAATGAAAACCAAGATGTAGCAGTGCTCCGAATGAAGAAATGTGAATTCTCCTCCAGGACAAAGATCTGTGGATGAACTTTTTGAAAATTCCTGCTTGAGCTTCCCTCAGTAAGTTAACTTCTGAACTGTGGCTACTAGCACTTAAATGTAATGGACAAGAAAAGGCAGCAAACCCATGTTAAAGAACCGGTGGGAGTCATTAACTGTAGGGAGTTACTAGCAAGTTATTTTGATTTTTCAAACCTTTGAGTATTTTATACTGTATGGCTGAATAGCAGTTGGAAAACTAAGATTTTTCCATTTTTACCCATGACTAAAGCATTTTGCATAAACAGCGCGTATAATGGAACAGGCAAGTGGGTAAGTGGAAAGGAATGCAACTTGTTTGCCTCTTGCTGTTTTCAAAGCCATTTGGATTGCTTATTCCTTTTTTTGTGTGCAGCGGTTTGCGGTTTTACTGCCAGAGGAATGTAAACAGCAGGATGCAAGATTTTACGAGTTTTGAGTTGTTTTTAAACTGACTTGAGAGTTATTTAATGAAGAAAACTTAGGAAATACTCTGCTGACACTGTGTATCATACTAAATATGTAAAATGATTTGACTTGTGCAATGGGTGTAGTCCCCGAGTAGCAGTAATACTGTCCAACTGGCAAATTACTGGCTTTTAACAACCCATTTCTTTTTAAACTACACAATTACTATTCAGAACAATTTAAGCTAACTTAGTATTTTTTTCTTCTAGGGCAAACCGCATTTTTGCATGAATATGTACAATGAAATAATTAAGTCTTAACAGCCAGGAACAAATAACTTAATTCATGATGGTTAGATTACACAATTGCTCTTATTTATGAGTATTTTCTTCATATATATTAATTATATAAGAAAAAAGAGTTGGCACTTGGATGCTTTGGATACCAAGGCTTGTCACAGCATTGATTTCTAATTGAAAATGTAGTTTAGTATTAATTCTAGTTTCCAACTGTCGTAACCTATTGATGACATTATTACTTGGAGATTGTTTATATAGCTGGAAAATCCAAACACTGTAAGCAATATGAAATTGTCTAGAATGTCCATTTGTCTTCTCTGGACTTAGATGCTATTGACCTGTAAGGTTTTTTTTAAAAGTGGTTTTCACAAGAGTTTTTCAGACTTCAATTATGAAAGGTCAATAAGGGGTTGAGTTAATCATTGTCTTGAGTTCATGACATACAAAATGCCTATCTTTTCTTTTTGTTTATTTATTTCCTTTGGCTCAGAAGTTCCATTTCATACCTGACCTCTATCCCTATTTCCCACTACGTAAGATAATTTTTTAAAATTGTTTTCAGACGATCTCTTAGCCATAGGATCTATTTAGTAATATGTATTGCTCATGGCATGAATCCATATAAACTAGATTTTTATATAAGTTAACCTTTCCTTTTTTATAAAAAGGTTTAGTTGGCACCTTATTATTTAAGATTTCTTACGTTGAGCTGCGGGTATCAACCCATTGCTTTGGATTCCTGCAGAATTGTGTTTGAATAGTATTTGTAAAAGTATGTTCTACGACACCTGGCCACAGTGGTCTATATCTGGAAGACTCTTGAGTACAGGTCTCTTGTGAACCCATGTCATGGGATTCAGACCCAGGAGCAGAACTGACTGGTAGTGATGTTCTACCGAGTAGCAAGTAGTAATTAGCAATAACTACTAGTAATTAGTACTAACTGACTAACTGGCAGGGTAACACAAGACCTCCACCAGCCTATGTAAAGCGTGGACAGCTTAGCTGCCAACTTTCATGGGGACAGAGGCATGTGACACTATTAGTCTCTGAAAAGTCATTCCACTGAAGAAAAGGCTCTCTCATAACTGTTTTCTTTAAATTTTTTTTCCAATAGATTTTGCCATCTCATATTTTCTTTGCTCTGTTTTCTATGTTTGGCGCCCTTCTTCTCTAGGCATATAATTGGAAACAGCTGTTCAAATGTTTCTTGTTGGTTTGATTGCACAATGCTTTCTGTTTCAGACGTCCACATTTACTTCCTTTACATCCTTTACAAAAAGAAACAAGTGGAAATGAGGAAGAGACACTTAAGGGTGGGTCAGCAAATGTGGGCTCTTTTCTGCAAGAACTGGCTCAAGAAATGCAGGATGAGAAGAGAAACGGCGATGGTATGGTTCAGAATCTATGTGCTCTTATATTTAGAAAAGGAAAAAGTATTTTCTCAGTGATATCAGCTCAGTAATTAATCATTGATTTTTTATATATCCCAGATATAATTAACTGGCTACAATTGTTTTCAAGTCCTGGATTTGCTAGTATTTTTTTGCAAATAAAATTTTAAATATGTAACATTGAATACCTTTCTTGAGACATTTTATAAATAACTCATATTCAGAAATGCCCCATAAAATGAAGTTGTTCCTTATACTACAGAGATAATAATTAACATCTGCATTAATTTGGGTGTCATGAAGGCATAGACACTGAAGTTCAGGGCATCATCAAAGAAACAAATTTTAATCCATATTTACTTCGGAGTGTAACCTAAGATTAAACAAATGGAAAAACGCCTCTCACAAAGAACTACCACTGGCACTCTCTCTTTTCTCTGCATGTCCATTCCCAAAAGAATTCTCAGAACTATCTGTGATATCTACAGGACAAAAACAATTCACTCACTGAGGTTTACACCGGTGTGCATTCTCAAGCACTGGAGAAAACAAACTTAATGTTTAGATATTAACATGGATAAATGTCTCATGAAAAAGAGATTTTAAGGAAGGAATTTTAAGTTAAATATATACAGTACTGCAGGAGTGTGAAATGCAGTGGATACTTTAAAAATATTTATTGCATATTACTATTAATACATGAAAGAATGGTGATCTATACAAAATGAAAGACTGTGACAATTTATAAATAATAATATAGGTTACAATGATATACATGGTGTAGTTAGCAAAGTGTGCACATAGTTGTGTGCAATAATATAATACTGTTTTTCTTCATATTTTGAAAAGATTCAATCAATGTGATTTCATCAAAAAGTGACATAAAAGTAATATATAATTAGCCTTGTTTAACCATTCTACAATGCATATATGTATTGAAATATGTTGTACATATAAATGAATATAATTTTTGCCATTTAAAATCAAACACATACATAATTTAAAATACCATAAAAATTTAATATGATTTTTGTAAAGATAATGGTGTTTGCTGGGAAAAAATACCAACCACAAAGAAATTATAAAACTGTGGAACAGTACCCATGTGGTTATCATGTTCTTCTCTACAATTACACTGGTAGCTACAAGGTCAGCCTGAAAGCAATGATGTACTTATAAATAAACAGAAACAAAATGGTATTTGGGCCTTTATTTTTATTGTACTAGTACTCATTTTGTTTTAACAATGATTAGATATGTTTTCCTTAGGATTCATAATAAACACAAATTATAGTTACTCATTAAGAGAATTAGCAAATTAATATCCCATTCTATGAATAATGTGTGTATTCAGCTAAGAAATATTTGATGAATTTTTAGATTGTCAATGAATAAAATATGCAAGGCCTTTAAGCATACAGCAATGTTCATATGAATATCAATATAGAAGCTGAGAACCTGCTTTAAGAAATTGTTATACTTCCAAACATTTATTCTTTTAAACTCTGTGTATGCCTACACATATATACATACATGCAGCTAAAATCGTGTATGAGGAATGTGGTATACCATGAGAAAAGAATAAATAAATAAATACAGTTTCATGCATTTGTATAATGATTTTAGTTACTGTTAATCATTATCCTCTTTCACTAGAATCCTTTATGTCACAAGTGCCCATTCTGCTTTTATGCTTGTGTGTGTGAGAAAGACACTGAGTTTAATTAGAGTTCCGTCTTTGAATTCAAACTAAGATGGTAAAATGAATTCTTTTGCACTGGGCTTCAAATATGTCCTGTTGCATTTACAGTTCTAGAATGCAGTGACTATAATAAAGAACTTTAAAGTTCTTTTGATGAGCGTCACTTTGCTGCTGCTTCTGTGTGTAGGCAGCTGGAGAGCAAAATAGGCCTTGCCTCCATTGATGGAAGTACTTAACTACTCCATGCTACCTTCCTTTTCAAACACAAACTCCTGGTCCCCTCCTGTGGCCCTGTGGTAGCTGAAGAGTCTGAAGAGACTTCTGTTAGAGTTGACAAGTATCTGGCCTTGCATTGATGAACAAGAGAATATTTTCAGTTATAACTGGAACTGCTGTTATAACTCTGTCTTGGTGAACTATGTACGTGTTACAAAATGTGCAGATGAAAGGACAAAAGGAGGACCTGGAGGTCTGCCTCCGTGGTTATGAGCACTGGCTGATGTGCCGGGCGGTGGTGGCGCACGCCTTTAATCCCAGCATTCGGGAGGCAGAGGCAGGCGGATCTCTGTGAGTTCGAGGCCGGGCTGGACCGACAGCCTCCAAAACAATACAGAGAAACCCTGTCTCGTAAAACCAAAAAGAGCACTGGCTGGGCTGCTCTTGCAGAGGACCTGGACCTGGTTTGGATTCCCAGCACTACCTGCTAACTCTAGTTCTAGGGGCTCTGATGCCATCTCCGGTCCACCGCACATAAATGAAATGGATCTTTAGAGAATGAAGGTAAAGTCAACTATGCTAAAATGGGAGAGAACATATGGAATGGGAGCAGTATATCAGGATGGCGTTGTTTCAGTTGTTTGTGGTAGACAACCTAATGTTCCTTTTCTCTTGTTCCTGTGTAGGAATGGTTTTTCTCGTTTCTTCTAATATTTCTTGCATACCGATTATCCTCCAATTTACATCAAGTTCATGATGCTCCTCAAATTCCTGAAATGGATCTGGGACGTGTCGATAATTTTAATGATTCTAATTATATTATTGCCTTTGCTCCTGAGTCTAAAACTATCTACGACATAATGAGCATAGTGGCATCAACTCCATTCATGAAAGGTATGTTCTATGGTAGTTCATGGAAAAATTCCCTTACTTTCAACATGCATATATTTATTTTAAGATTTTCTTGAAAAACAATTGTGTTAAATGTTGGCATTTCTAGAGTTGATTAACAACCTTGATGGATATTGTTTTCTGATATCAAGAAGGATATCTGATTCCAGGAACATCTTTGAGGAGCTGTACTTCAAAGAGGGTTAATTTTCCTTATAAAGCATATAAAAATGAGATAAGTCCTGGGTTATTTAGAGATTCTGGAGATATCCAATGGTGGTGGCAGGATGCCTTTTTAGTACATCCAAATATGCTAAAATCAAGGGAGGAAGAGAGTAGTGGTGTCAGAACCCATCGGCAGTATTTACAACAAAAGCAGATGCTAGGGTTGTTCTCTATTTCACAATGTAACTGATGGCAGGAGAAGCTCTTAATGCCTCCACAGTGGCATGGCATCTTCCCTTGGGGTCAGCACAATAGCAAAGACGCCATGGGATACCTGGAGATTCTGAGGAGACCCCCCTCTTTGAGCTAATACATATGCACAGTACAGCAACTAAAACAGCATTTTAGTAATTGTACTGGTAGGAGAGTCTGAGAATACAGCTCTAAGTTGGAGATGTGAAGTAGGAGAGATCAAATGGATACCCAAATAGATACCCAGAGAATAGTCTCATTCTCTCACCCATGTCTTTGAAATCAGCAAGTCCTAGTGTGGCAGAAAGGAGAGGCAACGGTCTAGGTTAGGAAGTTTATGGGGTGAGAGTTCTTATCACTCCAGATAGCTCACAAACCACTGGAACTAATAGGTGAAAAGCAACTTGGCATAAATTTGGCTTCTACTTATATGATGATCCAGATCTCAACAAATAGATATTTTAAGTCCATATTTTTAGGAAGAAGTGGGAAGAAATATTTAACCATTTTTTATTAGAAGGTAATAAAAAATGTGCCAGGCGTTGGTGGCACATGCCTTTAATCCCAGCACTCAGGAGGCAGAGGCAGGCGGATCTCTGTGAGTTTGGGGCCAGCCTGGTCTACAGAGTGAGTTCCAGGACAACCTCCAAAACAATATACAGAAACCCTGTCTTGAAACACCAAAAAAAAACCCCAGTAATAATAAAAATGAGCTCTTATAATGAAAACTTTTGAGGAAATAGAAGCATGAACACTATGCGACCTATGCTGTTATTACACAACCAAATAGACTCTATCGTTTTATAAATGTTTTCTTCTAGTAATTAAAAAGATCATATAAATAGGACATCCCAATTTTAAAACTGTGAGCCCAGGTTAGTTGTTTTTGTGGGTTTCCTCGTTCATTGTGGCTTAAATTGTTGGCTCAATTCTTTGAAGAGGCATGAAATATTTTCAATACGGGAGTCTGTCAGGGGCCGGATAGATGGTTCAGTGGTAAATAGCACTTGTTGCTCTTATAGAGGTGCTGGGCTTGATTACCAGCCACCCCTCGTGGCTCACAACCATCCATAACTTCAGTTCCAGCGATTTTGAAGCCTTCTGATTTCCTCTGGCACCAGGCACACATATGGTACATATCCATGCATGCATGCAGGCAAACCATTTATACGCAAGATCAATAAATCTAAAAGGAGAGTATCTGCCACAGAATATTTTCAGTTTGATTAGAACGTTAGAAATATCTCACTTCATTCTAAGTGCGAGTGTATTAGGGAAGAAATAACATGAACATAAAGACCTCTATGTGCTTGAATCTGGTGTGCTGTCATTGGACCACATAGGAATCTTACTGAACTACTCCTTTTTTCCCCATGGCAGGAAGAAGAATCGTGGCATGTCCTGATGAAAAAAGTATGGACGAACTAGATTTAAATTACTCAATGGATGCGGTGAGAATCATCTTTAAGGACACATTCTCATATCATTTGAAATTTTCTTGGGGTCATAGGATCCCTCCAATAAAAGAACACAAAGACCATTCAGGTAACTTCTCCAGTAGGAAAAATGTATTAATGTAGACATCACTGTTTATGTCATTAGACCCAAGGGGCACATACAGAAGAAAAGCAATGAATGATACACTCCCCTGTGTTAATTTCCAAGCATGAATGGATTGATCCTTATTAAAAGCCTATATTGTTTAAAAATATAATTTGATTGGTATATATTCCTTGCATATAGTGATGGATTTAATAAAAACATATTTAATCAAGTATGCTGTGCACTTGGGCCACATTTACCGCCATCCCTTTCCCTTTATCCTCTCCCCCTCAGTTCCCATTCAGTCTTGCTTCTACAATCATATCATTAGCATATATGTATATATGGTTTTATATATTTATATAAAATCTAGATACTATAACCTGGAGAAAATGTGATAATTTGTCCTCAGTTTGACTAGTTTTGTTTAATATGATGACATCCTATGGTATCTATTTTCCTGAAAACTGCATCAATCATTTTTTCTCTATGGCTGCATAAAACTTTGTTGTATATAGGCGTGTCCACTCATCTCTTGATAGAGGCCTAGGCAGGCTCCATACCTGACTAGTGTGAATAGTGCTGCAGCAAACATAGATGTTCATGCATCTCTGTGGTATGTAGATCCAGAGTCCTGGCATAACCTCCAGATAGACAGATTTTATGTACAACACCTCCACTTTTAGTATTTTTAGGAGCCTCCATGCTTATCTGAAAGTTATACTTTTAAGTTCATTGTTCCCCCTAAGAACTTACAGCCTTGCCGTGATTCCAAGACCGGCATGAGCTATAGAATGAGATCCTGTTTCAAAAAACCCTGAAAGTTACATGTTATTATTTATGTTCTTTGGTTATTAAAAGCTTCAAGAAATCTCCTTCTCAGTCATTCCCACTCATTTAAAAATAGCTCAGTGTTTTCTATGTTAGTGAGCTTATTCATTTTTTGGGCACAAACAATAGAAGGAAGCAGCTGAAACAAAGATTTTAAAATTGGAATAATTATAAAATAGCATGAAAAAATTGAGAGCTCATCTTAAAGAATCTGGACAAAGCAATTTTGGTATGTCCTTTTTGGTATGTCCTCTACAATCTGAACCAATATGCCTTACCATATACTGTCATGTTATAGATTTTAAACTCACTTTGGAGAATTACAGATTTTTATTTATCCTATAGCTAAGACTATCTAGTCACATAATAGTGGTTGTGTCTTCTTTTCTTGAAGCTCCTTGTGAAATAGTGAACAACAAAACAACTTGTAGAAATTCAGTCTTCTGGGAGAAAGGTTTTGTAGCCTTTCAAGCAGCCATTAATGCTGGCATCATAGAGGTGAGTACTAAGTTTAAGGAAGCGAAGTGCATTGTATACTGAAATTTGGTAGGTAAGCCATGGATTGTCTTATTTTGTAATTCATTTGCTTTTAGCCACGAAGCCAAACAACTTCTGTGTTCAGTTGTAGTGTTAAGGTACTGGTGACTTGAAAATATACATAGTGTAGTCACTTTTAAGCAGAGATCCTGATAATACAGAGATTAAAAATTATAGCTCTGTGCAGTCATTGTAAGGGTACAGGATCGACTATGGGGTAGTAAATTGAGTTCTGGAGAAACAATCAAACAGGAGCTACTCTGATTAGAAATTCCAGAGAAGATCTAGTTTGAAGTGTTACTCTAGTTAGTTTTTAAAAACAAGAGTACATTTCTTTTTTTACTGAAGGACTTAAAGTAGAATCTTGAACATTCCAAGAACTACAAGCTAATGTCTTCTTACAGATTTAAGAAAAGTGCCCAAGGTTGCAATTAGACTAATGATAATAAGTTGTTCATTGGTGTCTTTCTTTAGATCACAACAAATCATTCAGTGATGGAGGAACTGATGTCAATTATTGGTTCAAATATGAAGATACTACCTTTTATTGCCCAAGGAGGAGTTACAACTGATTTTTTAATTTTCTTCTGTGTTATATCCTTTTCTTCATTTATATACTATTTATCAGTCAACATTACCCAAGAAAGGCAATACATTACAATACTAATGACAACGATGGGACTTCGAGAGTCTGCTTTCTGGTAAATTGCTTGCCAATAATACACCAATCAATATCTGTAAACAGAATAACTTAACTATGGAGGCTCCTTAGGCTTGTTTATGTCATACTTAGAGTGGGTGCTTTAGTAAACTAGGGCATGTAAGAATGTTTGAAATACATGGACTCACATACTTGGTAACTAGTATTTTCTGTATTTCTTTGACTTAAGGAAATCCTAAGGTGTTTCCTATCTTCAGGGAGCTAACAACATGTAGTTCTTGAGGACCCCAGTTTGCTTTCCAGCATTCCAGTCTGAGAGCTTACAACTACCTATAGCTCAGGTCCAGGGGATTTTATAACTGCCTGTAACTACAGGTCCAGGGGATTTTACAACTGCCTGTAGCTACAGGTCCAGGGGATTTTACAACTGCCTGTAACTACAGGTCCAGGGGATTTTACAACTGCCTGTAGCTACAGGTCCAGGGGATTTTACAACTGCCTGTAACTACAGGTCCAGGGGATGTTGCAGCGACCTGTGACTACATCTTCAGGGGATTTTACAGCTGCTTCTAACTACAGGTTGGGGGAGCTTCCAGCTGCCTGTGACTACAGGTCAGGGTGGCTGATGTTTCTGGTCTCCACAGGCACAAACACACATGTGCACATACTCTCCCCCACACCCACCCACAGAGATGCACATATACATAATATAAAATAAATCTTTAAAAAGAGGTGGCAGGTTTGATATAATGCAAGTTTTTATTTTTACTTTTGTCCCTTCATGCATTAAAATTATGTCCATGATAGTGAAGAGAATGTCTTCACTGTATTTTAAAAGATGTTGAAAACTATGAAGAGCCAGTGGAAGGTAATATATTTTTAAAAAATCTAGTGAGTGGGAATTTAAAAATATTAGGGCTTTTTCCCCTTGGAGGAAAGACTGACATTTTATTTGAATGAAATTAAGAAGTTTATAGAAGGCAGATGGATGAATAGTTTCAGGTAATTGCAGGAGAAATAAGACTTCCTGAACTTGATGGGATTTTGTCCTGTAAATGAAAGGAAACCAGCTGTCCATTGTAGACCTATCACTATATTATATACCCAAAATACCCAACTAATTTAATTCTTTGATCTTTTCCTAGAGAGGAAATTGTAAGGAAATTAAACAATTGCTTTTTAACATATTTAGTTATAAAGTAACAGAAAATTTGAACCCAAGTCTGCGACATTACTGGACCCCGTGCAGAGCCTCCTTCTGTCTTTGGCATTAGTAGTAAATACACCTTCTTCATAGCCACCTACTTGGTTGTATTCTCCTTGGAGATGCTCTGGGTATTCTAGAATTGAGTCATCTGTGTCGCAACTGGCAAACTACTTTTATGCAGGTTGTGAAGGAGGCATGGCTTCTTCACTGGAAGCCAGGAAGAAACTAAAAAGAGCAGTGATTGCTTAGGGAGCTTATAAAAATCTATCGGAAACTCAAATGTCATTGCTTACAAATGTATTCTCATTGGGATATAGCCATACATTGGGCATAGATTGACTGTGATATCTCTTGTGCTGTAAAGGCAGCAAACCTATTTGGCTTGCAAAGCCTAGAACGTGGGCAGCACACCTCTTTAATGCCCGGGTTGTTTCCATGATTTCCTTATGAAAGAAGTTGGACAGAACTGAAAAAGCAACACAGATTCTTCCTTTAACTCTCCCTAAAAATCTTTCTTCATCATATTTATCTTATTTTCCTGTTCATGTCCTTCTCAGTTTGCACACTTAAGCTACTGTTTTAGTTTCATTCTGTTGCTGTGATAAGCAACAAGCTACCTGGGGGAGGAAAGGATTTACTTGGATTCGACTTCCCTAGTCAGAGTCCATCATCCAGGGAAGACAGGGCCAGAACTCACGATGGGTACCCAGAGGCAGGAACCATGGAAGAATGCTGCTTTCTGGCTCCTTCTTTGGCTTGCTCTCTGATTTGTGCTTAACTAGCTTTTTTATACAGGACCCCCGTCTGAGGAATGTTGCCATCCACAGTGGACTGGGTCCTTCTGCATTATTCAACAAGTCCATGCCTCACGGACATCTCTACAGACCAAGCTGATCGAGGCAATTCCACAACTGTGGCTTCTTCCACTGGATGTCTCTAGGCTTTATTGAATTGACAATGTTAATTAGGATAGCTATTTATTGTTCACATTTACTTTTTTGTTAATCTACTTTTCTCTATAGAATACAAGTGTTAAGATAAGGGAATTTTCTGATTTGTCAATAATTACCCTTTTAAAAGACACTCTTGAAAAATCACACACTTTTAAAACCATTTGCTTAGTAAGTAAATGAATGGAGTAACTGAGTCATAGCATTTGCACTAATCCCCTGTTTCTTGGCCAGGTTTTCCTGGGGTTTGATGTATGCTGGCTTTATCTTTGTCGTGGCTACTTTGATGTCTCTGATTCTGAAATCTGCCCAAATTGTCGTCTTAACTGGTTTCATGGTGGTGTTCCTTCTTTTTCTCCTGTATGGCCTGTCTTTGGTAAGTTGGTGAATTCTCCCCCTTCCTTTCCATAAATCATGCATCACTTTTCTACACAGTATTTGCACGAGGCACTACCCTTATAATATCCAATCAAAAATTGATGAGATATACTTTCCAAATACTGTGCTGGTTATCTTTCAGTCCCTATAACAAATGCCTGAGACATTCAGTCAACAATAAGAAAAAGGTTTTGTTTTTTCTCCTATAACTAAAATAAGAAAAAGGTTTTGTTTTTTTCCCCATAATTTGGAGCTCTCAGTCCAAGGTCAGTTGACTCTGTTGCTTTGGCCTGTCTCTGGGCAGCACAGCAAGTCAGCAGTTCGTGGTAGATCAAAGTTGCTCATGTCAAGGCCAGTATGTCAGCAAGAGGAAGAGGTGGGGCTTTCATAATCTCTTTTAAGGATAAGAATCCAATGACAGGAAAACTTCCCATCTGTCCCACTTCTTAAAGATTCTACCTCCTGTCGGTAGTGCTTCAAGCTGGTGACTTTAACACAGGCATCTTTGGATTACGCTTATCCAATATGAAATTCCCTTTAGTATGCTAGTGATGGGCCTCAGACCACCATATCAGTTAATTTTTTTCTCCCCTCAGATCACTTTAGCTTTCCTCATGAGTGTGTTGTTGAAGAAACCCTTTCTCACTGGTTTGGCTGTCTTCCTCCTTACTGTCTTTTGGGGAAGTCTAGGATTTACAGCATTGTACAAACATCTTCCTGCCTTTATGGAATGGACCTTGTGTTTTCTTAGCCCCTTTGCCTTTACTGCTGGAATGGCCCAGGTAAGAATTAAAGTAATTGCTTTGTTTCATGCTATTAAAGTTTGTTTTTATGTATTTGTATGTGTGTATGTCCACATGCACAGGCATGCTGTGACACTAGAGGTCAGAAGACAGCTTGGCCGATGTCAGTTCTCTTCCTTCCACCACGTGGATTGTGGGAACCAAACTCAGGCACTTTTACCAACTGAGATGTCCTTGCTGTCCCAGGATTTTGTTTTTGTACACAGCCTTCAAAACACATTTCTTCTATGATGTATGCAATATGCATCTATTGCTTGTAACGTGCTTTCTTCCTGCAAGCCACCTGGGTCCCATTGCCACTTTAACCCCCAAATAACACACAAAACACTCTATCAATTATGAAGCTGTTGGCCATTTGCTATTGTTTCTCATTGCCTAGCTCTGACTTAATTATTGACCCATAATTACTAATATATATTTTTATAAGGACTTATCTTCCCAAGGACACCCTCCTGACGTGTCCTTTCCTCCTGTGAGATCACATGGCAACGACTCTCTTCACTGCATTTCCCAGAGTCCTCCTAGACTCCTAGTCCCACCAACTTGCTTCCCTATTGGCCAACAGTGCTTTATTTATACCAGTCAGACAAACGTATACACAGAAGGACTTCCCCATCAAACACTAAAGGGTTCTTCCCATTTTTATAGATACAAAAATTTAAGGGATAAGAGCTGTTGGTTAACACCAAGGAATGAGTACCCCTATTGCACCTTTAGGTATTTACTAAGCTGGTCGTTGTTGTGGTTAGTAGGCATCACAGCTGGGTAGAACTCTTAGTTGCTTACCTCCCATGGCAGCTTGCATATAGCTGTCCAGTATTATCAAAACTAGTCATCAGGGAGGAGGCTTTCAAGTCAGATCTAGGACCAATGCTCCAAGTCTTGTGTATAAAGTGCATGGTGCTTTTACAATAGAGACTTAACCTCTAACCTCTGGGAGACAACAACAATAGCCTGGGTTGTTTGGGGAGTCTCTTGGACTCCTGTAAACAACGACTTGAAAGGGAGTTTCTCATGATTGGTACTGAGATTTTTGTTAGTTTACAGCTCTAGATGTAGAATGACATTTGTTTGTTGATGTGACTCAGTTTATACTTCTAAGTAAATATTTGTCTGATTTAAACTTAAGAAATAGTGCCCCACTTAAGAACACCTTCACCATTTATTCTTTTAATCCTGATGAATTTTTGTATTAGATATGTCTCAAATACCTCCTTCCAGGATCTTTTACCCCATCTGAGCAGATTTCACCATCATCTGTAGTTTGTAGTTAGAGAATTAGCTGCTATGAATGGAAATAGGCCTGAGCTATATAGAGATATAAACTGTATCTCATTTATCTTTCCCCTGGTATGTAGCAGAATTAAGACCATGGTTATCTATAAAACTTTATTAATCCTTTAAAAATTCTATGCCTCTCTTTTCAGCTTATACATTTGGACTACGATGTGAATTCTGTTAATTTGAACTCTCCAAGCAACTCATACCTTATCATAGCCACCCTTTTCATGTTGGTTTTGGATGCTCTTCTCTATTTGGTTCTGGCATTGTATTTTGACAAAATTTTACTCAGTAAGTAGTAGATTGTAACTTCATACAATTTTATTACCTGCATTTACTTAAAGTAACCGTCCATGACAGTGATTCTCAACCTTCCTAATGCCATGCATGACTCTTTAATACAATTCCTCATGCTCTGGTGATCCCCCAACCATGACATTATTTTAATTGTTACCTCATAATTATAGTTATGAAAAATAAAGTGGCTGGGTGGTAGTGTCACGAGCCTTTAATCTCAGTGACTTTGAAGCCAGCCTTGTCGACAAAGTGAGTTACAGGACAGCCAGGACTGTTACACAAAGAAACCTTGACTCAAAAAACCCCACCAAAACTAAAAAAAAATCATAAAGTAAATATCTGATATGGGTGATCTTAGGCAACCCCTGTGAGAAGGTTATTTGACCCCCATAGGGTTGAGATCCACAGGTTGAGAACCACTGTTCCACAATGTATTGAATATAAATGGTGTAGTAATTTCTTTTCAAAATTGCTAAAATTACAGATAACATTTGGAGAATTCTATACATGTATACAATGAAGCATGGTCCTATCCAGCCTCCATTCCCCTTCCAACTTCCCCATGTCCCTCAAAAGAAGCTTTCTCTCCTTTATTTTTGTTTTAAATGTCCATATGTGTATGGGGGGTGGCTATTCACCGGAGTATGGGAATCTAATCAGTGATGGTATCCCCATAAAAGATGATCTTCCCTTTCCCAGCAACTATGCATTGACACTATTCCCTCAGCATGGGATGGGGCCTGGAGCTCCTCTATCCCATCTGTGCTGACGTTCGACTGGCTTGATCTTGAATAGGTCTTATGCAGATAGCCACAGCTACTCTGAGCTCATGATGGCAGTAGCCACATCATATCTAGAAGACAGTATTTCACAGTACTCCTCCCCATCCTTCAACACTTATGGTCTTTACATCTCTTCTTCCACAGTGTTCCCTGAGCCTTAGTGATGGTGGTGTTAGTATAGATGGCCCATTTAGTGCTGAACATTCAGCCTCTTGCTCTTAGAGCTTTGAGCAAGTTGCTGCTATCCACTGCAAAAAGAAACTTCTCTGGTGAAGGCTGAGAGCCCAGGTCTATGGGTGTGCTGGTTTGTTTTATGTCAACTTGATACACTTTGAACAATGTTACCACTGGGCTGATGGTGTTGGGTTTTAGAAGAAAGCCATGGGAATCCAGCCAATAAGCATTACTCTTCCATGGCCTTTGCTTCAGTTTCCCTCTCCAGGTTTCTGCCTTGCTTCATTTCTTGCCCTGACTTCCCTCAGTGATGGATGAATAAGTTGTAAGGTGAAATAAACCCTTTCATCACCAAGTTACTCTTGGTAATGGTATCAAAGCAGTTGAAACCCTAACTAAGAAAATGGGTATAGATGTAAGTATTTAGAAGGCAATTTGACAACATGGCCATTTAGCAAAATAATAATAGGATCTTCCCCAGGGCCCATTTGTTCCAAGTCATGGATTTTTGACCAAGATTGCAGTACCAGGCATGAAATTTACTCCTGTGGAGCAGACCTCAAATCCAATCATAAAGTAGTTATTTATCTGATAATAACTGTGCCATTATTGTAGTAGATTCATCTTGCTTGATGGTACTATAACACACGTGATCTAGTCTGAACCCTGCATTATATCTTCTGGCACTATGGAAACTGACTAGTGTGGAAGAAGCTTCCTGAGTAACTGGGTATTAATTTTTCTATGTTTTAGCCAAAGTAAATGGTATCTTAGGCAATAGGGTCTTCCAATATAGTTAGAGTGGGTATCTGAAAACAATGTCAATGTCTTTGGTTTTTATTTATTTTTTTTAAATCTCTGGGGAAGGTATCTTATGCCTTGAATTCCAATTTTCATTTAATAATTAAATATGTCTTCTGGGGTGACATTGTCCATACATGTATGGTAATTCCATTTGAATTCTTGAAATTGGCTTATTGGCTAGTGGGTTTCCATAAGGCCTGTTCATGAATCCTTAGCTTTGTTTCACATATTATTTACTCCCCCTCTTCTTATTCTCCCATCCCTTTAATCCTTTAACCCTCAGTATTCCCCTCTTATTTCCTTTTACATGTGTTCTACTATCCTTTAACTGATACTGTTTTAAGTTGGGTTGTGAGGTAGCAGAAGTCAATATGGCTTTTCTCATCCTCTTCTTTTGGGTTAACCCTGTTTCACCCCCCTTATATCTCCTACACTCCCAATGACTTTCCCTGGTATTTTACTTCACTATTCTTATTTACCTCTAATCTGCTATGCCCCTCCATTATTATTTCCCCAAACCCCACCCCTACCAAGTTACCTGACTTCCATTTTACTCCAAGTTAAACACACAAAACAAATATTTGAAGCTAGACTCTACACATTATGTCTTTCTGAGGTTGAGTTACCTCACTCAGTATAATTTTTCCAGTTCCATCTGTTTACTTGCAAATTTAATTTTTCTTAGAGCTTAGCAATATGCACCACATTATCCATTCATTTTTGTCTTAATAGAATGTTTAAGTTCTTCTTGAAACAAGTCACTCCACCCTAAAGACTTTTTCTTTTAGTTTACAATGGTACTACCTAAGGTGATAATGGGGGCTCAGGGTGAGAGTCAAAGAGATTGACTTGGCACTCTGTGCTGAATGGAGTGCAATCCTTGAAGGGGTGACTGACCCAATGCTTACCTACCTCCTGTCCATGTAGGTAAGTATGGACATCAACATTCTCCATTGTTTTTCCTGAAGTCGTCTTATTGGTTTCAACACAGAGGAGCTAATCATGTGGTCCTTGAGAATGAAATAGATTCTGATCCTTCACTGAATGACTCATTTGAACCAGTGCCTCCAGAATTCCAGGGGAAAGAAGCCATCAGGTAACAAATGAATCACATGGGAGTGCAATAAAGAACAGGTCCCAGATCAGGGAACTGCCAAGCAAGACACTGATGTACAAAGATTTCCTTCTGAGTACCTCTGTACCCACATCCTCCCAGCCTACTGCTCTTATAAAAGGACATTCTCATTCTAGATAGCACTGCATTTTCATCTATCTCTGTCATTTACACTTATATCTTTTGATACAGTAACAACTGTCAACAAATAAGTACTTCATTTCCACTCTCCTCATCTTCCTTGTCTCTTCTTCATGGTTTGCTCTGATGGTCTCTTAGGGATAAGCAGAGCACCACCTCTACCCTATTCTCATCCTCTTTCTCTATAATCTGCTTTGTCTCTTTTCACTTCTCTTCTTGGTGGATAAGATGAAAACAGAAATATAAGTGATGCAGAAAGGGAGATAGAGACATTTCAGAAAGATGGGTAGACATGATCAGACCACAGGACATTAATGCGCTGCAATCCTCCTCCAAGAAGCCATGCATGAGCTGCGGTCAGTGCTATGACTTCCCAACAGCTACACACCCCAGACATCCTTACCTTTGCTTGAATTTGTCTGTAGCCCACATGATGCTTTGCTTTGCTATTGTAAGAAATTAATGCCTGTAGAATGCACAGGATCTGAAGCATAATAGACCTTCAACTCATTGAAAGTCTTCTGTATGCCTTTTTTTTCTTTCTTTATGACACGATCTTACTTTGTAAGCCAATCTGGCCTGGAACTCATAATATATCCTCCCAGGCTGGCCTCAGATTCCTAAACTTTCTCCCTCAGTCCCAAGTGCTGATATATAGTCATGTGTGTGCGTATCACTTCTACAGATTCTTAAAACCATCACATCATTTTCTTCTTCTTTTGAAATTTCAAACATCTTGGGTTCTGCAATTCTTGTTTTCTGTAGGAATCAACCCTATGTGATAATTAATGTTGGCATCCCTAATTTATTACTGAAGACTTGAACTCTGTAAGCTCTGTAGTTGTACCAGAGTTCTGTGTAAATGACACAGATGGGACTTCACTCATAGAGTGTCTGACCCCAAAGCTCAAGTTTTTTTTGCACTGACATGATTACCTTCAACCACACCACGGAATCTCCTAGCATTGATTTCATCTCCAGCTTTCTTCTCCAGTCATCGGTCAGATGCTAGCTACTCCATTCACTTATGATCTGTTGAGGTGCATCTGTCAGAGGTGCTGCCTCTCATGGGATGCCTAGAATGCTTCCTCCTTGCCTGTGAGAAATAAAGATCCTCCAGGGTTTATCAAGCCCCAATCCCTGCAATTTTCTTAAAACAGTTTTTTCTCTTTTTTTCAGGATCAAAAATCTTAAAAAAGAATATACGGGAAAACATGGAAAATTCGAAGCTTTAAGAGGTAATAAAATGCGATTACAGTTAACATAGGTTTTTGATTTAGAGACTTGTTGTGAAACTTCAGTAGGCACGAAGGAGAGAGATTATAGACAGCTGGACTAGTTTTAAGACTGATTTTATTTTGAAGATTAGAACCCACACACATCTGTGCAATGAGAAATTGTGAGGTGTGTAGACTATAAACTGGCTGTGCAAGTACCCACTCTAATCTCTTTGAACTCATGCAGGTCTGGGGTTTGACATATATGAAGGCCAGATCACTGCCCTCCTTGGCCACAGTGGAGCTGGGAAAACCACACTGATAAATATACTCTGTGGACTGTCACCCTCAACTACAGGTAAAGGACACTTACTCAAAGGCAAGCTCAAGGGCGAATGAATAAGCTCTGCTTTTCACTAGTGAACTTGCCGCATCGAGTCATTAAGACAAAAAAACTTGGAATTTTCCTTAAACGTTGCACAATGTATGCAGGTGTTGAATTATATGATTGATATGTTTCCCAGCTAGTAGATGCTATTTTTATGTTTTTATATTTCAGTTAAGAAGCTAAGAAACATTTTTAAAGTTTGTTTTTATCTAACTGTATACATTTATGAAAATGTTTGTGCTTGATACAAGTGACTTCATAATTATTCAGTTATTAAGTGACATTTCTGCTAAATTAGATGTTATTCTGAAGGTTGAATCTCTCTTTCTGTGTATAGTATATTGATGTGGGTGTGTAGGCTTGCTTGGGTGAGTACATGTGGAGGTTGACGTTACAAAGCCTTTCTCAATCACTCCTTCACCCTTTTGTTTTCAATTATTTTTAAGTTTAAGTTTTCTCTTTATTTTGACTTTTTGAAAGTTTAAAAATGTGTACGGTGTGTCTGGATCATATCCATCCCACACGCCTGCTCTCCAGCACCTCCCAGTCCCACCCCAACTTATATGCCCTCTCTCTCTCCCAACTTCATGCTTCATGTCTTAAAAGAACCCACAAATCCCAGTAGTGCTGTCCATATGCACGTGTGCGTGTGTGTGTGTGTGTGTGTGTGTGTGTGCATGTGTGTGTGTGCGTGTGTGTGTGTGTGTTCATCCTCTGGGATGTAGGTCACCTACCCTTCACACACAAAGCAGAGTAACTCTACCTCTCAGAAGCCATTAGCTCCTCAGCTTGCAGTGGGGCATTGGGAACCCCTCTACCATCCATGCTGGAAGTTTGAAGTGTCTTCATATTGCCTTTACCTTATTCTTTGAGGCTAAGTTTTGCACTTAACCTGATGTTCACTGTTTTGGCCTGGCTCATTGGTCAATGGGATCAAAGGGTCTTCCTGTCTCCACTTTTCCTTTCCAGCTCTAAGACTTCAGGTAGGAGCTGGCACATTCACACACACACACACACACACACACACACACACACACACACACACAAGTTTTACATGATGCTAGTTATCTACACCACAGTTCACATGTTGCATACAGGCAAAATATGCTCAAATGAAACTTGTGGTTTACATAATTTACACCTTGTCCTGATGACCACTCTTTACTTTTTATGCATAGGTTCTGTCACCATCTATAATCAGACACTTTCAGAAATGGATGACTTTGATGCTGTCATCAAGCTCACTGGCGTTTGTCCACAATCCAATATACAATTTGGTTTTCTCACTGTGAGAGAAAATCTCAGGCTTTTTGCTAAAATAAAGGGAATTCTTCCACATGAAGTGGAACAAGAGGTAAATGAATATGTCCACTGTTATACAACAACGGATGTGAAATTGGTCACCTAGAAAATATTAAATGTGCTTGTCTTGTCTGTACACAATCACCACCTAAAGTAAGGCACGCAGGATCTTTATAAGGACAGAAAACTGTGTTTTAAAAGTAAGGTAGGCAGAGTGGGTCATGCCTGCAATCTCAGCATTTGGGAGGCAGGAATATTGCGGAAGTTTAAGCTAGCCTGGGCAACAGAGGGAGACTTGGTTTCCAAAACAAAAAATAAATAAGTAAAAATAAAAAGAACAAATCATGGGTTTTAGACTAAATGCTCCTTATTTTGTTAGGTACAACGAGTATTACAGGAATTAGAAATGGAAAATATTCAAGACATTCTTGCTCAGAATTTAAGTGGCGGACAAAAACGGAAACTGACTTTTGGGATTGCCATTTTAGGAGACCCTCAGGTAAGGGAAGCAAAAACCACGCATGAAATCAGACTGGAGACTCAAGAACTCTTACAGTTGATAAATTTTCAAATGATATATATAAGGAAACTTTTAAGCACAAATACCAATACTTTCACAACTGCAATGTTATTTTTAGAATAATCTTGCCCCAGAGGGACAAATGACTGTGATGTTTTCTACTGTCCAGGTTTTGCTGCTGGATGAACCAACTGCTGGGTTGGATCCATTTTCAAGGCATCGCATATGGAACCTACTGAAAGAGAGGAAACTGGACAGAGTAATTGTGTTTAGTACCCAGTTCATGGATGAGGCTGATATTCTGGCTGGTAACTATTGTTTTGTTTTTAAAGTTTCATAGTGAGAAAGTCAGATTTAAATATTGGTTACAAACAGGTCCCACAGACACATCTCACTAGACATAAGCTACAGCCAACAAGGGAGAATTGTTTCACCTGTTTGAATCTCTGTGCCCCAGACAGAGGGCTTTGTCCCATGGACCAAGCCTTGTCCCACCAGTACTGTCTCAAGTGTTCTTTATTCCATGCGGGCAGACATCAGTGGGCTTGAGAGACACCGTATAGATGCTTGATAACTTCCCTGACTGTGAGGAGAACCAGCAAACATAACCCATCATTTCAGGTATCTAGAAAGCCTCAGAATGAACACATCATTTCAGGTATCTAGAAAGCCACAGAATGAACACATCGCTATTCTAGTGAGGCATGCTTCTAAAATGTCATTTGTTCATGGATTTTGATTTTTCACATTTATGAATACTGAAAAAATACTCTTTATTAAAATTTATCTTTTGGTTCTTCCCAACTAGACAGGAAGGTGTTTATATCCAATGGGAGACTGAGGTGTGCAGGCTCTTCTCTGTTCCTGAAGAAGAAATGGGGCATTGGCTATCATCTAAGGTACAGTTCTCAGTATTGAAGACAGATGCACGATAAACACACCGGTGACAGGTGCCATTGGACTCAGGTCAAGGCGGATCTACAGCTACAAAGGTCAAGAGACATGTTAGGACTAACTTTCATATACTATTAGCAAGAACATAAGATACATGGCACCATACAAAGTAAAAATCTACATGTTAGTGTAGGAGTAAAGAAAATGGTGGAAGGCATCACCTCACTCTCCCTGGGGAGTGGATGGGAAGTGGGGCAGGCATGGGGGGGTGTCGGTGGGGAGCATGGAAGGATGGGAAGGAGAGGGAACTGAGATTGACATGTAAAATAAGGTTGTTTCTAATTTAAATTTAAAAACACACAGAAAAAAAGAAAATGTTTGGAAATTGTTTTCATAATACGTTGCTTTCTGAGAATAATTTATTGGTATTTTGACTCTTTCTCTCATCCTGTTTCAGAGTATACTTCTGATCAAGCAGATAATTTCAATACATTCTCTATTTTCCATAACTTCATTTTTGCCAGCTTCCTCTTAGGTCTCTTTCACATCAGGATAATCAAATGATTATGATAAATAAATTAAAAGACAATAAAAATTATATAATTCTGGATGTTTAGTAGACCTCGCTATTACTTTGTTTGATTTCTTAGGCTGATCAAATCTACAGTAAGAGTGTCATCATTGTTGTAAGCAGATTAAATAATTTCCCTCCAATAAAAGCTGTACTCATTGGATCCTGGGCAAATCTTTCTGTGCAGGCCTTTGTAGTTGTCTTGTTTCTGTCTTCTGGAGGGTATCTGTTATGTCCTCCTTCAACACACTCAGCCACGTATAAGTATTACCCATGTATATGTGTGTGTCCATGTGTGGGCATGTGCATATGTACTTGGGTGTCCACATGGACCAGGTTAGAGCAACAGATACCTGGAGCTAGAGTTATAGGTGACTGTGAGTGGCCAGATGGAGGTGCTTAGATCCAAACCCACATCTTGTATAAGAGCAGCAATTTCTCTTAACTGCTGAGCTCTCTTTCCAGTCTGTTTATCTGTTCTTTGAGGCTGCTTTTGAATGTTTTCTCCTTAATGAATTTCCTTTGTGCCGGGATCCAGAAAGTACTAATTCAAATTGTTGCTGAATTAATCTCTTTGGTCTTCAGTAACTTCATTTGTAAAACAACAGTAATGGCACCCATATTTTAGTTAATGGTAATGGGATGAGTATGTGACGGAGTATAGACTACTTAACTGAGTTAATACAACTTCTCTCTCCCTCTCTTCTGAAACCCTCTTGCTTTGCATTATCGTTCTGCTGTAAGTGATGTTAGGGAAGGGGTTGAATGTCTTCTGCTTGATGTCCTTGATAATGCAAGGCATAGCACTTTTAAAAGCACAGAACAGTTTTAACATTAACTTTAGATTCGTGTAACCAGTGACCTGAGTTGTTTTTCCCACCTTGTCAGTGGGACATGGCTAACAATGGTGTTTCCAAAACCCCCTATTTCATAAAGAACTACATAGACTATTATCAAAGACTTCAGTTATTATTTGGATACATTTGGTACAAAATGATAAAACTATCTAACATGTATTGAGAATTTGCTTCATGAAAGACCCAGAACTCTCTCATAAATACTGTTTCATTCTGCCTGTTAAGATTGACTTAAGAGCTGGGTATTATTTTATCTCATTGATAAGAATTCTGATATTTGCCGGGCGTTGGTGGTGCAAGCCATTAATCCCAGCACTCAGGAGGCAGAGGCAGGTGGATCTCTGTGAGTTCGAGAACAGACTGGTCTACAGAGTGAATGCCAGGATAGGCTCCAAACTACACAGAGAAACCCTGTCTCGAAAACCAACCAAACAAACAAAATCTGATATTTAGAGATGGTGACCAGCTCACCTGGGCTCTGGGACCTGCATAATATGATATTAATACCATATTCTTAATGACCACAAATTATCTCCATCTTTCTTTTACCAAGTTCAAGTGTTTACAGAGCTCCTGCATAACTGGAAAAGGAGAATTCATAGCTGAGTTCTCTTAGTAGGTGGAGGCATAATCAGGCATTCCTATTTCCTTTACCCCAGCCAGGAACTGGTTATTTCTTTCCTTCAAATGGCAGTCCTTGTATTATCGTAAACGAATCTAACCTCCCCTTTTACTAGTTCCTCTGCTATGTCATACCGATTAAGTCTGAATTATATTAATATCATTGTCTCTAGTTCCTCTCTGTAAATTACACCGTTTTGTCCTATAACTATTCATGAAGTGGCAAACATACACAACATAAGAAGCTGTTTTTAGAGGCAGTATTAGACAAAATAACTTTTTCTTACTATTTCTGAATATTAGTTTGCATCTGAATGAAATATGTGATCGAGAGAGTATAACTTCACTGGTCAAAAAGCATATCCCTGACGCCAGGCTGACCACACAAAGTGAAGAAAGACTCATCTATATCTTGCCCCTGGAAAGGACGAACAAATTTCCAGGTAATCCTGAACAAGTTATATCGATCTCTGTGCTTCAGTTTTCACACTTGCATAAAGGAAATGACAGTCATACCTTTATGGGTTGGTTCTGATGGTTAAATTATCATGCAGAACATTTAAACATATTGTTAAATATCTATAACACCTAAAGGGACTGTCTGACATGTGGTTACTGTGGTGTTTCCCTAGCTCTAAGACAGCAATAAGTAGGACTTGTGACCATCAGACAAAATGGATGAGTAGTGTCATTTCAAACCATGATCCATCCTTATATCAGATTATCAGAAATGGCAGCGTTCTTTTTCTTAAGAATCATTTCTCTTCAGGATAATTCAATCATAATGACAGATACAATACAAGTACCTTGAATAGTTGGGAGAGGTTGGAGAGGAGAACATGAATATGATCGAAATACCTTGTGTTCATGTATGAAATTATCAGAGTGAACAAAATTTTGTGTATTAAAAAGGGAAAAAATGAACTCATCTTGGAAGCAGGGATATGTATTAGTTTTAGATGTACACACAATGCATTTGAGATACATATTCTGAAGACAGAAATCTCTATGAAGATTGAATGACGTGGTGTACTTGACTGTCTCTTAAAATGCATCCAAAGTGCTGAATAATTTTGGCCAGTGGTTCTCTAACTTCCTAACTCTGTGACCCTTTAATACAGCTCATTTTGTGTGGTGATCCCCACACATAAAATTATTTCCATTGATACTCATAACTGTAATTTTGCTACTGTTATGAATTGTAATATAAATGTCTATTATGCAGGATATCTGTTATTTGACCCCTTAGGGGAGTGGAGACCTATGGCCTCAGACCCACTGATTTCAAGAACAACTGGAGTGGATTTAAGAAACTAGGAGCACTTGTCTACTTTTCTTTAGCATATAATTAGGATAACTTCGATTCCCAACTACACTTAAAAATTCTCAAAATAGCTTACTAATTCTTCACATGGATGTACCCTATGTCAGTTTCTGAGTAATTTTCAAGGCAGGTTTTGAAAGAAAAGAAGGAAGGGAGGGAGGAAGGAAAGGAGAGACAGAGAGAGGAGGGGTAGAGGGAAAGAGAGAGACTATAAGTGAACAGAATGTCTTCCAGGGAAAGCACAAAGGCACACTATGTACTTGGTATACTTTGTCCTTTCCTTAATTTGTACTTTTCACACAGAGTTTATGGAAATTACTTATTTCTGTAAGCATCAGTGTTTTCACATTTGTTATTATGGTGATCTGAAAGAAAATGGTCCCCAAAGGGAGTACCACTATTAACAGGTGTGGCTTTGATGGAGTAGGGATGACCTTGTTGTAGAAAGTGTGTGTCATTGTGGAGGTAGGTTTTGAGATCTCATATATGCTCAAGCCACACCCAGTGACAGAGACCACTTCCTGTTGCCTGCAAGCCAAGATATAGGACACTTGGCTACTTCTCCAGCATCATGTCCGCCCACATGCTACCATGTCATACCATAATGATAATGGACCAAACATCTGGAAAATGGAAGCCAACACAAATAAATGTTTTCCTTTATAAGAGTTGCTGTGGTCTTGGTGTCTCATCACAGCAACAGAAACCCCAAGACAGTTATTACAGTTTCTTAACTAATCTTAACCTAAAAGAATAAATTTTTATTCTCTGGATACTAATCGTTAATCAGAGCTTAGAATTAAACACCCACCCACATAAGAGAATTTAAAATAGAACAAAAGGGGTGGAGAGATGGCTCAGTAATTAAGAATGCTTGCTACTCTTCTAGGCCCCCAAGTTTACTTCCTAGTACCCATTTCAGGCAGCTCACAACTACCTGCAGCTCTAACAATAAGAGACCCTCCTCTGGACTCCATGGTGACACACATGGGCACACACACACACACACACACACACACACACACACACTTACACACACACACACACACATACATCTTAAATTTTTGAAAGTTAAAAAAGTTTAATTTTTTATGTGTATGAGTGCTTTACTTACATGCATGATGCCCCTGAAAGCCAGAAGAAGGCATCAGATCCTCCAGACCTGGGGTTACAGGTGTCTGTGTGCTGTCATATGGTTGCTGGGAACAGAACCTAGGGACTCTGCAAGAGCAGCATGTACTCTATTTTTGCCCTTTTTAAAAATTTAGGTTAGAAATAAGCTTGTTTTACATGTCAATCCTAGTTCCCTCTCCCTCCCCTCCTCCCCTGCTCCACATTGACCCCCATCCCATCCCCTTTCTGCTCCCCAGCAGGGGTGAGGCCTTCCATGCAGAATCTTCAAAGTCTGTCAAATCATTTGGAGCAGGACCTAGACCCTCTCTCATTGTGTGTCTAGGCTGAGAGAGTATCCTTCTATTTGGAGTAGGCTCCCAAAGTCCATTTGTGTACTAGGGATAAATACTGACCTACTACCAGAGGCCCCATAGATTAACCAGACCTTTAAACTGACATCCTCATGTACTCTTAACCGCTGAATCATCTGTCATCCTCTGGAATTAAAATGTTTTAAAAATATCAGTTATTTTAAAAAACGGAGTAGTAATCCAAGTATGGAAGCATAAATGTTTGTTATACTTTGATGCTGAAGAAACCATGGAAACTAACATATAGTATAGTTATGTTGTATAAATCAAGTGAATACTGATATCAGTTTATGATAAAAGTACGTGTTTCTTATTATCAATATTTTCTCAATTTGAAAGATATTATACTGTAATCCAGTTTGTGCTTATTTTTAGACCTTTACAGGGATCTTGATAGGTGTTCTAGCCAAGGCATTGAGAATTATGGTGTTTCCATGACAACTCTGAACGAAGTATTCCTGAAATTAGAAGGGAAGTCAATGACTGATGAATCAGGTAAGGGAGTGGTAGAAAATGAAGAAAGGAAGGGATCTTTGAGTGAGATGATATGCATGCTTTTGTTGGTACTAGCCTTGGGGGAAACCATAGAGAATAAATACAGACTTATAAGGAGATGGCAATGTACCACACTACGTCCTCATAGAATAGACAATAAACATGAGGTGTTATATTATCTGAATATAAAATGCTGTGGGGGAGAGAAAATTAGAAATTATGCTGAAAATGAATTCATCCATTTTTGAGATGGTCTCACTGAGTAATTCTGGCTGCTTGGTGCTTGCTATGTAGAACAGGCTGGCCTTGAACTCATAGATGTCTACTTGGCTCTGCCTACTAAGTGCTGGGATTAAAGGCAGGTACTCCCACACTTGGCAGTGCTCTTTTATTTGTCAGGATCATGCTAGGCAAGAGCTGTGCTACTGTTTTTCATCAAGTATTTAACATGCACATATTTTATACTTTTCTAGGAATCTTTTAATAAAAAGAAGCAAAGTTTTATACAGATTTTATAATGTACCTGTTTCAAAAGTGTCATGCCTACTACCCTTCTGTTTTTGAAGGGAGTGAGAGGAGAGGCTTCTGTATTTATTAGCTTTGTTACTTTGGCCAGAAACACCAAGGTGGTTTATCTCTTGTAACATGGACACTTTTTCCATGGGTTTATTTTCATGGATTTCCTAGAATATGTCATAGAAAGCTGCATATGCCTTTTAAAAAATTACAGTATTTCTTCTTATCTCCTAAAAGTGTCTTCCCTTTCTCTCATTTGCTCAGTGTTTGCTTTAATATAGCCATGAGTTAGATTGCATATTTGCTCACAACACTAATGCTGGAACTTCCTGTTGAGTAAATAGTTGTGGTTAAGCAATGCGTAACAACAACTGGCGTCTTATAGGTTACTGGTCTTGCATTTCAGATGTTGGGATCTCTGGGCACTTACAAAGCCAAGGGGAAAAAGATGTGGGAAGCCTTGTTGAGCTGGAGAGAGTGTTGTCCTCCTTAGATTCGTCAGGAAACACAGTGAGCGGCATGGCGCTGTGGAGGCAGCAGCTCTGTGCAGTTGCAAAGATTCGCTTCCTCAAGCTCAAGAATGAAAGAAAAAGCCTGATGACCATGTGAGTACCTAGTTTCTCAATGGGTTGAGGGCACAATGTAAAAAGTAGATAGAACAAATTCCAGTAATTGCACACAGTCTTCTAAATGTTTTATTTTAAACACCCACCAATGGGGGAAGTCCTTCTATGTATATATTGTCCTACTGGTTGATAAATATAGCACTGTTGATCAATAGGGAAGCAAGATAGGTGGGAGTAGGAGTTGAGGAGGATTCTGGGAATTGCAGTCAAGAATAGAGAGTTGCCATGTGATCCCGGGAAGAGAGGATACATGAGGATGCATCCTCGGTAAGATAAGGCCTTATAAAAATATATATTAATATTTATGGGTTAATAATTAAGTCAGAGCTAGCCATTAAGAAACCATAGCAAACAGCCAACAGCTTCATAATTAATAAAGCATCCTGCATGTTGATTTGGGACTGATGTGGCTATGGGACCAGGCTGATGGAAAAGAATGCATGCTACAACCCACCCTTGTGGATATGTAATCAAAATATATAATTGTAATCACATACAGATCTTGTCCTTACCAAAGACCTCATTGTCTGTTTTCACAAGACACCAAAATCTCTTAGCATTTTCCATAGTATGAGGTAGGGAAAGGGACAGAGGGAGAGAGGAAGTTGATATGTAGATGTAGATGTAGATAGTAGATAGATAGATAGATAAATAAATAGATAGACAGAGGTTGATTTTAAGGAATTTGCTTATACTGCTGTGTGGATTGGAAGCTGAAGTTCACAGGAGAAATCAGCAGCATGAAAACTCAGGTTAGGGTTGGTGTCCCTGCTGACAGGTCAGGTACTGAGACTCTTAACTTCTCAATGGTATCTAGTACCTGTTGTAAAGGCCAAACCCCTAAAGCTTCTACCTTATTGGTAAGTGCTGCCTCCTAGCATAAACCTACCTCTTCTCTCAGGAGACTTCTTACTCAAATATTTTCAAGTATGCCCACACATAATCCTGTTGTTTAATATGTGAACATATATTAAATCAGACATAATTCATTGTATTATCTTTCTATCACTTTAATGGAATACCCAAGATGATACACTTATAAAGAGGAAATATGTTCTGCTTCACAGCCAAGTAGGTTCCTATCCAAGACCAGGGTGTCCCAAGTATCTGGATTCCCACAGTTCCATTTAAGGACATACCCCAGTAATCAAAGTTTCATACACCCTCACGCTGTCTCCTGGCTCTCTACATATTTCCCACTTCCTCTGCAATGCTTCCTGAGTATTAGAGGGGGTGCTCTTAGTGACTTGTTTGGGGCTGGATCCACATCCTCTGTGTCTTAGGAAGTCAGGAGTCTGCGTTCACCATTGTTCATTGTAAGGAGGGTCTTCTCCAATTAGGCTGAGAGCTGCTTTTGTCTCCACATATGAACAGTTATTTAGAAGGCAGTTTTCTGCTATGCCAGTTTAGTTAACCATCAGGAATATTCATCTGAGTTGTTAGACAAGTTGACAGTGCTAGACATTTGTCCCCACTGCTTTTTCTTCCAGTAATTTCAGAGTATCAGGTCTCACATGAGATTTTAGTATGCCTGTAATCCCAGCGCAGGAGTATCAGAAGTTCTAGGTCATCCTCGGTTACATAAATTCAAGGCCCTCCTGGACTACACAAGACCCTGTCTAAAACAAAGCAAACATAATTGGAAGGTCCAAAGAAAATGCTCAAAGCAGGAATAGGGAATCAGTGAAAGACCAAAGCTAGGCCATTTCATTCTAGCAAGGAGGAAGCAACAGGACTTGAATGTTCCCTACGCCCATGTTTTATTACTATTCATTGTCTACTGAAACCTAGAACCCCACAAAAGTTGCTACTGATCATTAATTATTGCTATTTAATATATATTTTCTTCCTTATAGGCTATTGCTTTTTGGTATTAGCTTTCTTCCCCAACTTTTGGAGCATCTGTTCTATGAGCTATACCATGAAAGTTACTCATGGGGACTGTCTCCAAGTATGTATTTCCTTTCACCAGGACAGCCACCACAGGATCCTCTGACCCACCTACTGGTCATCAATAAAACAGGTACATTGTAACATCCACACATTTTTTTTTTTGCATAGGAGATTGCCTGGAAACATGAGAAAAAGATTGGCTAAACAGAATAAAACCCACAATTAAGTGGTTTTTATTGTTTGCTTTTTTTTTTTTTGTAGTTTACTTGAACTCTAAGGCTTTTGCCAAAACAACCAGGTTTTTTTTCTTGGGTTTTGTTTTGTTTTGAGACAGGGTTTCTCTGTGGCTTTGGAGGTTGTCCTGGAACTAGCTCTTGTAGACTTGGCTGGTCTCGAACTCACAGAGATCCACCTGCCTCTGCCTCCCAAGTGCTGGGATTAAAGGTGTGCGCCATCACCACCCAGATACCAAAGAGGTTTTAAAATGGCAAATCTTTAGTGGTCTTTGAGATCTTATATCATTTTGTAATTCCCTATATTGCTGGACTCTGTGAACAAAATACTCCAGATTCATAAGAAGATCAAAACTCATAGCATCAAAGATCACACTGCTGGTTGATTAGTTGTGGTTTTGTTTTTATTGTTAATTTGTGGTGTTGGGCATTGAACCCAGGGTCTCATGCATTCTAGGAAGCACTCTACTACTGAGTTACACTCCTAGACATTACACAATACTAGAAATATTAATACATTTTAGCCTGTATATAGAGGATCTCTATTATATGCACAATTAACATAATGGATTTTTGTAATCAACTCTAACTCTGCCTTCTAAGGATATCTGTAAACAGTAATGACATGCTTTGAGTTATGTCATTTAATTTTTTGTTGCTTCTTATACTAACTTACTCATCTTTGCTTCTTTTGATTTGCCCTTCATGGTAGGTTCAAGCATTGATAAGTTTGTAAACTCACTAAGACAGCAGAACATAGCATTAGACATGGATGTCCTGGGGACAAGAAATGGCATAGAAGAGGCACTATACAATGGCGCTATCACTGTGTTGGGTGATGAAAAGGTATGTTAGACTCTAGTGACTGTGTTTCACTAAAGGCAGATTGGGGAGATGCAATTTGAATAACTCAAAATAACTGACTTGATACAAACAAGATATTTCCCATATAGGAGAAGCTGAGCTGTAATTATTTCTTTCTGTCTCCAATGTAGCTACCAAGGTTTTAACAATACTTAAAAAATCCTATCAATTAGATTCTGCCTCCTTATTGTTTTAAATTGTATTCTCGGTGGAGCTGAGAATAACTACTCAGTTTAGATTTAGCCTTGAGTCTGCAGTCTGCTGCATCTCCACACTGCTCATTCATTTATATCACTTTTCTGCACCTTGAAGGAGTTTTTTTTTTCTTTCAAATTTTTTTTATTTATTTTTCAGTTTAAATTTAGATAAGAAACAAGGTTGCTTCACAAGTCAGTTCCAGGTCCCTCTCCCTTTCCCTCCCCTCCTCCCATACCCTCCCCCTACCCCCCATTATCCCCTCATTTCCCCAGGGAGGGTGAGGCCCTCCATGGGGGTGTCCATAGTCTGTCATTTCATATAGGGCAGGGCCTAGACCCTTCCCCAAGAGTTCAGGGTGAGAGTGCACCTCACATTGTTGGATGGGAGTCCAAAGTCCGTGTGTATACTCGGGATGGGTACTGATCTGCTTCCCAAGGCTCAATAGATTACCTAGGCCTCCTCACTGACACTCACATTCAGGGGGGTGTTGATCAGTCCCATGCTGGATTCCCAGGCTGATGCCTGGGATTCAAGAGTTAACCTTTGTCTGGTCAGCTGTTTCTGGGGGTTAAACCAGCCCAGTCTTAATCCCTTTGATCATCAGTCCTCCCTCTCTGTTACTGGCTTTCTTGAGTTCAGCTCAGTATTTAACCAAGGGAGTCTGCCTCTTCTTCGATCAGCCACTAAATGAAGTTTCTGTTTCCCAGGCTCTCTGGCCATGGGATTGTAGGCTGGCACTCCCCAGATCTATGTCTAAAATCCATATATGAGAGAGTACATGCCATGTTTCTCTTTTTGTGACTGGCTTACCTCACTCAGGATGGTTTCGTCTAGTGTCATCCATTTGTCTGTGAATCTCAGGATTCCATTGTTTTTTTCTGCTGAATAGTACTCCATTGTGTAAATGTACCACATTTTCTCTATCCACTCTTCGGTTGAGGGACATCTAGGTTGCTTCCAATATGTTTTAATTAGTTCTTTGAGAATTTCATCTATCTATCTATCTATCTATCTATCTATCTATCTATCTATCTCTCAACTATCCATCAGGTTAAGTTTGAATTGCCCAGCTACTCTTGGTTATAGGCCCGCCTTAGAGTGTGATAGACTTAATTAGGCATTACACCCATAAAGAAAACCAAAATTTTGCTATCCCAGAAATGATCAAATGCCAATCGCTTTTCAACTAGGAATGGAACTTTGTGTCTCCCACACCTTGCTGAGATTTCTTCTGGCTTGAGTTTGCACAGATCTTGTGTATGCTGTCACAACAACTGTGAGTTCATGTGTGTAACTGACTTGTTGTGCTCAGAAAACACCTCTTCCTTGTAGAAATCCTTAATCTCTGGCTCTTAAAGGCTTCTTCCCCCTCTTCCTGAAGATTCCCCAGGCCTTGGGGGAGTGTATCTAATAAAATGTCTCATTTAGGGCCAAGAACTCCACAGTCTCCTACTCTCTTATCTTACTGACTATTTGATGGTCTCTGTTAATTTCTGCCTACTGCAAGATGCTTCACCAATGAGGGGTGAAAGATACACTAATTTTCGGGAGTAGCAATAAATTAACAGGAGTCTGTTTAATACTATGTTCATTTAGCACAGTGGTTGTCAACCTTCCTAATGCATGACCCTTTAATACAATTAAATTTATTTTGTTACTATTTCATAACTGTAATTTTGCTGCTGTTATAAATTGTAGTATAAATATCTGCTATGCAGCCCCCAAAGGGGTCATAACCTACAGGTTGAGAACCTCTGATTTAGCAGAGTCATAGTTGTAGGTTCCTTTCCAGGGCCTGTTACCTATCTAGCCACAGATTCTTGTTCCTGATAACAGTACCAGGTCAGAGGTCCATCTCATGGTGTGGGCCTTCAATCCAACCACCGTGGTTGGTAATTCCAAAACATTCATATCACTATTGCTACTAAAAATCACCTTATTTAATTTTGTGAGATTTTGGGCACAAATAGTCATGTGGTTGATGTTTGGGGATAGTGGTGCAAAAATCCATATCAAAGACATAATTCCCTTTAAGTATATTGGGAATTAAATAATATAGGCAGTGGAAATATTGTTTCTATGCCCTCATCTTCTTACTATATTATCAGTGCTTCCAATGATTTTCTTTTTCTTTTTCCTTCTTTTTTTATTTAATTTAGAAGCAATCTTATTTTACATATCAATCCCAGTTCCCTCTCCCTTCCATTCTCCCATGCCCCCACCAACACCCCCCCCATTCCACCCCTATCCACTCCCCAGGGAGGGTAAGGTCTTCTATAGGGAAGGGATCATCAAAGTCTGTCAGTCTAGCCCCGCCCCCCTGTATCTAGGCTGGGAGACTAGCCCTCCATGGAGAATGGGCTCCCAAAGTTCATTTGTGCACTAGGAATAAATACTGATTCCACTGTCAGAGGTCCCATAGGCTTCCCAGGCCTCCTAACTGACACCCACATTCAGAAAGCTTGGTTTGGTCCAATGCTGGTTCCCCAGCTTTACGACTGGGGTCCCTGTGCGCCCACTTGGTCAGGTCAACTGTTTCTGTGGGTTTCTCCAGCATGGTTTTGACCCCTTTGCTCATCTCTCCTCCCTCTCTGCAACTGGATTCAGGGAGTTCAGCTTAGTGCTTAGCTGTGGGTGTGTGCTTCTGCTTCCATCAGCTACTGGGTAAAGACTCTAGGGTGGCATGTAAGATAGTCATCAGTATCATTTTAGGGGAAGGGCACTTAAGGTAGCCTCTCCACTATTGCTTAGATTGTTATTTGGGGTCATCCTTGTAGATCTCTGGATATTTCCCTAGTGCCAGATTTCTCTTTAAAGCTATAATGGCTCCCTCTATTAAGGTATCTCTTTTCTTGCTCTCTTCTATTCTTCCCCGACTCAGTCTTCCTGATCCCTCATGTTCTCCTCCCTCCTCCTCTTCTCTCCTTCTCTTTTTCCTACCTCCCTCCTCCCTCCCCCATGCTCCCAATTTGCTCAGGAGCTCTTGTCCATTTCCCCTTCTCAGGGGACCATGTATGTCTCTCTTAAGGTCCTCCTTGTTTCCCAGCTACTCTGAAAGTGTGGATTGTAGGCGGTATTCCTTTGCTCTATGTCTAATATCCATATATGAGTGAGTACATACCATGCTTATCTTTCTGTGACTGGGTTGCCTCACTTCTGAGAATTATGAAATATGCATTATATTTTAGGATCTCAGATTTTCAATAGCATGTAATACCAAAAGACTAAACTGCTTTCCAGTCCTCATGGATATTATTAGCAACGGGCTGCTTGGAATCTTTAATTCTTCAGAACGCATCCAGACTGACAGAAGCACGTTTTTTGAAGTAAGTATATGAAGACCTTAGATGCTTTCAAGAAAGTCCTTGTAATCAGTGTTTGTTAAACCAATGACCTTACATTTTATATATAAATAACAACATATGTTACTGCATGACTTTGTTGTGAACATAAAGCAGTATAATCAGTATGGTCTGGGGAACAATGAGACAACAAGAAGTATAATTAATTGGAAAAACTTTGGTGTGGAACCCTCTGCAGCCTTTGATAGTGGAGCATAGTTGATAGTAGAGTTTTCAATATCTGACTATGCATCCTTCTTAAAATAACCATTTTTGTAGTCTTTAATACACTAACACAATGTATAGATAAAATGTCGCCATGAAAGTTTCTGCTGAGATAAATGTGGTAAGGTGTGCACTTGGCTAACTTGGTCAAGGTAGTATAAGCACAAGCAATGAGGCATGACTATGTAGGCAATTTGCTCTATAAATTACAGTTCTGATCTTTATTTCTGTTAATACTATTTTGCTTGGAGATGCATTAAAAGAAACTTTCAGTATAGAACTTTCACCTTTGACTAGATTAGGGTGATTATAGGTGGGAACATGGGAATAGCGTTTGATTATTTTAAAGGTAACTATTATATAACATTTCAAATACATTAATAGAGAATTTAATAACATCCCACATTTATAAGCCAACTTCGATTATTATAAATACATAGCCTGAAGAGTATTTGAATTGAATTTAAGATCATATCATTTTATCTACAAATATTTTACTGTATACATCTGTTAATTAAAAGGATCATTGTGGTTGATGAGATGGCTTGGTTGGTAAAGGTGCTTGCTGCCAAGTGTGATGTCCTGAGTTCAATCCCCTGGGACCCACATTGCAGAAAGAGAGAACTTACTCCTGAACGTTGTTCTCTCTATACACACACACACACACACACACACACACACACACACATTTATGAACAATTATTATGTCCTTATCCCACATAAAAGTAGCTCCTCAGTGATATCGAATACCATATTTCTCTGCTTTTCTTATTTAAAATATGTTGTTCATGAATGCTTACATCCTCTAACAGTACCTAGACTGGGGAAAGGATCGTAGTTGGGTCATCATTTTACTTTGCTGTGTTGAATTTATTCTGCCTTAGAAAACCATACTATGAGCATATTCCATTGTTTTAAAATTCACTGTTTGTTATTAAGAATATGCCTGCCCTTGGGACTCTCTTCCCCCTGTTGGTTTGCCTTGTGCAACTTTAATATGATAGTTTTTGCTTCATCTCATTATATTTTATTTTTCTATGCTTGGTTGCTATCTCTTAGAAGACTATTCTTTCCTAATGAGAGACAGAAAGGGAGTGGATCCAGAGAAGAGGGGTGATGGGGAGGAACTGGGAGAAGTAAGAGGGAGGGGAGATTATAATCAGGATATATTGTGTGAGGAAAGAATCTATTTTAAATAAATGAAAAAAAGAATCATGTTGCAGTGTTAACTTGTGGTGTAAGACGTGGATAATAGATGGAGATTGTGTTGGTCCTTCATTTACTTCACAAAAACTTTACGTGTTGGGTTAGAAAAGGGAAAGTGGTACACCTGCCTTCCTTTTCCTTCTGAGATCGCTGTGGTTTTTTTTAAGTGTCTTGTTGGGCATGGTGTCACAAGCATTTAATCCCGGCACTCTGAAGGTAAACGCAGAGGCTCACTGGTTTGATATCAGTCCAGGCTACATCATGAGACTTTGTCTCAAAAAGTTAATGACATAAGTAAGATGTCTTAGCTACATAAAATTGCTAGCTACTAGCTCAGGTGACCTTGAATTTATATATAGTCAAGCTTAGAATGTGGTCAGAAATTATGCTAGTTTAGGAAAGTGATGATTGTAGATTCTCCTTCAAGATCCATGACTTGACTAGCCTGAGTAGTTGGTTAGATTTCCCTTTGGTCGAGCAGGGATTTAAGTTCAATTAGGCAGCTGTTGACTACCAACAAGATAAGAGCAGCACTATTTCACCCTTAGAGATATAGAACTGTGTTGGTCATGGTTTTAGTTCATAGGCACCATAGCTGGGTAGGACTCTTGACCTCCCCTAACTCCTGATCCTTTGGAAGCTCACATGGAACCTTCTGGTACCATGAAAGCTTGTCCTCAGGGAGGAGACTTTCAGATGAACTATTTCTAACATTCTTGTACTTATTACTTTCTGTCTGACAGGTCCATGAAAACATTTAAATCTGATACTTTTGTATTATCTGGAAGCAGAAGAATGACTCTTTATAAATGCTGAATTGAACTGCTTTGGCACAAGTTTCTAAGAATAGGAAAAATGTCTTCTCCATGGGTGGCCCAAGAATATGTATTTTTAAAAACTAAATGGTGTGTGTGTGTGTAGAAAGAGATATAATTAAATATAGATACAGATATCCATGCTATTGATGTGTGAAATGCTGTAATCTACATGATACAAACAGGATCTTGGGAAGGGCTTTGAGGAGTTACCTCAGCTCCTTTATTCAGTTGATATGATAAAGAGAGTATAAATGAATCAGAGACCTGGTTTCTTTCTGTTCACCATGTCTGTATCGTTTTAGGAACATATGTTTTATGAGCACGGATACATGAGCAATGCGTTCTTCTGGATACCATTGGCTGCCAGTCTCACTCCTTACATCGCGATGAGCAGCATCAGCGACTACAAAGTAAGAAGCGTTAAAGGCTTCAGATAACTTTCGTGCCCTGGAAAATTTCCTTTGAATCCTATGAACATAGATTTGCAAGCATAATGTGGGTGTTGGTTGTAATGTGTAATCAATCATTTCAATAATAGGTTGTCCAAGTATGAATAAGATACATTTTTCTTAGGAAAATACTACCAACTAGTAGTAAAGACAACTTTTAAGTATGTATCAGTCTTATTAATAGACATCTACCAACAGACATAGTTACACCCTCACTTGGTAATGAAGTTATTTAAACAGTCCAGATCCACTCACCTCAGTATTTTAATTATTGTTGAAACAAATGCCCTTTAAACTTAAACTTGTGATGTTTTCACATAGAATTAAAAAAGCCTTCCAGTCTTTGTGCCTCCGGTGTCCCCCAGTGCCCATGAAAACCCCCTATCGACGCTGTTGACACCAGCACCGCTGCTTCTTTTGTCACACTGAACCACATAAGTGCTCAGGAGATTTCTTTTTATAGTCTGGAGTTAATTTTAGTTTATTCTGCTCTTAGCTCTTCAGTTTTCAGGCTGAATAAATGTTAAAAGTTGTCTAGTCGCACACATGCCTCAGTTTGTCACTGGTGAATGTCACAGTGGTTGCATATGGGCTACAGTGGGTTCCATGAGGATCCAGTGAAGTGATATTTAGTGTGTTTGATGTCTGAATATGTAAAGTGTGGTAATTCCCCTGCAGGCTTTACAGCAGGCAGGGGAAAATTATCCACAAAGAGATAAGGACGAAACTTGGCTCAGCCCGATTGTATTGTAACTGCCAATGGACCAGGACTTATAGAGTCTGGTCCAGATAATTTTACTTTAGCCATATTTAAGGCACAGCACAATTTTTGAAAATATATTCAGATAACAATCGACCCAGTCACAAGTGCACAACCACTTAAGACATGTTTACAATGAAATTGCTTACAAAGGTACATTTGGCTTCTTTCTTAAGAATGGGCACTGTTGATTCAGAGATAGTGCCCAAGATTTGGGGTCTATGGAGCTTGTCTGAGATAAACATAATGCCTGTGGGAGTCAGGATTGGCCTGTCTCTAAGAAAACATAGAAGTCATTTAGTCTGTTGTATAGCACAAGTGTCATCCCTCTTAAGAGTGGGTTTTACGGTCTAAAAGCAGTACACAGAAGTTTAGGGGAGAAGGTCATGGATAAGTAAAAACAAATTCTGGGAGATAATCAAATAGCAAAAAGGACCACCAGGTTGTAAAACGACATCATTGCTGGCACTCCAGAAAGAGAAGCTGCACACCTTCCATTGAAGTGGTAGGCTGTGTGTTTAACCTCCCCCCCCCACCCCCGGCTTCTCCAGTGCTTAGCTGTGTGCACACGGCCTTTTGTCCTCTACAATAGAGTCTATTGTGAGGACCGCTTTTCACTGCTGTCAGAACTATCAGTGCCCACATATATCACAAACCACCTGACACTTCCACAGAGACAAGAAGTATATCGTTTAAAAATGAACAAAAAGAAAAATATTCCTGAGTAGGTCTGCCACCTTTAACCCTTTTTACCTCAGTAAGTGTTATTATTGTCTACATTTGCTCTACTGTAATATTCTGGATTTATCCTTTCTTTCCTTATTCTCTGTATGCTTCATCAGTAATTCCTTTACATCGTGTTCCTATTAGTCAAATGCATCAATTTCTTACTGTCCCTGTTTACATCCTAGTCTGTATCATCACTATTCCTGCCTGGACCACTGCAGTAGCTACCTGTTGGTATCCTTACTTGCAATGAATTCCTTCCACCAAACCAGAATGAGAATTCAGAAGTTCAAATTACAGTATCTGGTTAACTTCTCCATGCAGCTAGAATTAATTGTCTTAAACTTTTACATCGTCTGTCAGAGTCCTACACAATCCATTATCTGTCCAGTTCTCCTCTTTCTTTCCTGTAAATTCCCCTTTGCCCATCCCATTTTTAACATGGCTTTCACACTTACCAATGTCATACATCATTTGGTCATTCTTTGAACCCCATTGTCCTCTCCTTCTTTGTACTTCTTTTTACTCGTTTTTCAGCACAAAGGTAATTTCAGGCCAAGCCCTCCCCATGTTTAGTAAGTCTGAATAGATCCTTATCACTGCCATGGGAACTCATTTAAGAAATACATAAATGGCACTTGTGATCACAGGACTTTTCTCATGTGTTAACTGTTTCTTCTCCCTAGGAATGATCAGCATTAAAATAAGAATATTTTTCCCTCTAAATTTCACCCTTAACATTTATTTTAAGTGTAAGAGTGTTTGTCTGAATGTATGTTATACACCACATGCATGAAGTGCCCATAGAGGTCTGCAAAGTGTGTCAGATTCTCTGGAACTAGAGTTACTGTCTGTGCTTAAAGCAGCTAAGCACAGAATTTGATAGCTGCCAATCAAAGAGTCATGCCCAACGCTTATCCTTCTTTATCAAAAGAAACGTAAACATGAAAAATGTTCAATAAACATCTATTATTCACATCAATATTCTTGACAGTATTAAAAATGATCAAATCCTAGATAAATATCTTTATGGAGAATTGGATAGATCTATTCGTCTCATTTGAAATATTATTCATTCCTCTAGGGTATAGCTGTGGCAAGTGGTAATGTCATTTGCCAAACTAAAGTAATAGCTATAAAGTGACATAGTAAAAATAGTTGCTGTAACTATGTATTTACAGGTTCCCTAGTCTCAGCTTTTCAGAATTTTATGATGATCTTTCTGAATTTTTTATTTGTTTGTTTGTTTGTTTTATCAGAAAAAAATTCTTTCCCAGCTGTGGGTCTCAGGCCTATACCCTTCCGCTTACTGGTGTGGACAGGCTCTGGTGGACATCCCCCTGTACTTTCTGATTCTCCTTCTCATGCAAATAATGGACTGTGTTTTTAGCCAGGAGGAGATTATATTTATAATTGAAAACCTGTTAATTCAGGTAAGTGGTAGAGATTCATAAACCCTTACATTTCGGAATAAAGTTTTATTAGACCATTTTTCCCTTAGTTGTCACTAAGGTCACAGAGTCCCCTTTGCAGGGTCCACCTGGGTGCCACTGATAAAAGAATTTAAAACTTACCTAGAAAGGAACTTGAGAATAGTTTGTTGGGGCTCAAAAGAGAAAAATTCCTGGACAAGCAAGCTAGAAATAATAGCAATTGCCAAGAGAAGGGAGCTGGAACAATGAGAGAGAGATAGTTAAACTTTAACAGAGTACAGGTAAAAAGAGACCTTGGCAGAAAAGTGAGAATGCCGTGAAAAGAGAAAGAATGAGGTGGGCATTTTCATTGGCAGAATGCAAACACTGTCCTTTCCCAGGTTAACAGGCTTTACAACATCAGCTCGAAAGCAGCCCCCCACGTTTTTGGATCAATAGAGCAGGGACTATTATTGCACATTAAAATTATTAGTATTATTTGACTTAACCCTGTGGTGAGCTGACCGTTGCACTAGGGGGTCTGAGGCCTCAGGATATGTCAAGGATAAGAAGAGGAAGTGACTAAATGCACTTGTTCTCAACTTACCTTTTAGTTGGATTAGGTTTGGACGGAGAACGACTAACAGTAGCCTACTTATACCTTCAGTTTGCCCTTTAACATTGCGGTTGTTGGGCCACTTTGAAGCCCCTTTCATGAACCTTGCATTTTGTTCCAAGCATCCCGAGGACTGTAGTTGCCTACTGAAAGGCCAGCAATGTTTTGTTGTTTTTATCTTATTCTAAGATAGTTTTTGAGCATTTCATAGTGCTTCGATCATATGTTTGTTTACCCAGTCCCCCAACACTTCCCCAACTAACCCACCAAACCTTTTGTTAATCTCAAGTATGTGAGGGGAAAAACCACTTCCACAATTGACCAACTAAACCAAACTCTTTTAGAGGTGCACTCAGGACTGGCCAGCCTGATGTCTCACCCTAAGTCAGAATTTTAGAGAGCAGCTGTGGGCTAGCTTTTTGAGATCCCTTTTATGGAGAAAAGAAATAAGGTTAATAGAAATCAGCTGTGTGATTACAGGGGCAATATAATAGGCTTTTAGGAAAAAATAAAGTGAAAAATCCAAGAATAGAAGGAAGAATATACATCATGTGGGTGGGGAGTCATGGGGCTGGTGGCCGTGGGTGTAGATCAAGGTATCCTGAAAACATAGTTTACATGGCAAGGGGCAGTCATGTATCATGGGATCATAAGTTCAGGGTAGGTCCAAAGACATGTTTTGCAAGGTTCATCAGGTTTAGAAAACAGAACCCTACTCCATCCCACACATTTATTTATTTTAATTTATTTATTTTACATCCTGATCACGGTTTCTCCTCTATCCTCTCCTGCCAGTCCTTCCCCACACCCCCTTTCTGTCTGTCTCCACACCCCAATATAGCCCTCTTCCCCAGAAACCTATTCTTGTAGGGTATGGGTACTTAACAAAAACATGGCTCCTGTTTTGGAGTGAAGCCAACATGCCTCCTACTCTGGTTTCATACCTTGTATCCTTAAAACAAAACTTTTAAAACCAACTTATGCTGCCCAAATACCTTCACAAGTGTGGCCTTCCACTGGAGCCTATGCAGTTTACCAGGGGCTACACTCTCAGGAAACACCGTGTCTCCACGGCTAATAATTGCCAGTAGCTCTATGGCTTGGAGTAGAATTGTATGCCTGACTCTTCTCTCCATACTGGGATTTGGTTTGGCGTGGACCTGCACAGTCTTATGCATGCTACCACAGCTGCTGTGAGTTCATAGGGGCAGCTGCCCTGCTGTGTCCAGATGTTTCCTTTTGTCATCTACCACCTGGGGCTCTTACACACATTACATCCCTTATGTCTGAGCCTTCCAGAGGGCTGGGGAGAAGTGTGTGGTGTTTATGTTCCATTTAGGACTAAGCACGCTGCAGTCTCTTACCCTCTGCACTTTGGCCAGGTATGGGTCACAGTGTTAATCTCCATCTACTACAAATAGTAGGTTCTCAGAATTGATTTGTCTTATCAAGCTATGGAAGAATAGTACTTGCAAAATTTGTTACAAGCCGTTTAGAAATGTTTCATTTTTGCGTTTAAAGTTTGTCTACCTGAGGGTGAGAGTCAGTGAGGAGGCCTGGGCAACCTATGGGGGCCCTGAGCAGTAGATCAGTGTTTATCCCTGGCATACAAATGGACTTTGTGTATCAATAACACAGAGAGGGATGCTCTCTCAGCCTAGACTCTTAGGGGAGGGCCTGGACCCTGCCCTGAGAGAAATGACAGACTCTGGATATCCCCTATGTGGAAGGAAGTGGGGATAGGGTGGGAGGCTGGGGGGGGGATGGTAGGGAGTGTGTGGGAGGAGGGGAGGGAGAGGGAACTGGGATTGACATGTGAAGCAAGCTCTTTTCTAAAAAATGTAAAAAGGTAAAAAAAAATTTTATCTACCTTAACATTTTTAAATACCTTATCTACCAGGTATTAGCAACCATCAGTCAGGCCATTCATTTGAGAGGAAGCAGATGTGCTGGTATTCATGTCTCAAATGATGCCTGGAAAGGAGATGGCAGCAGGGAGCCTTTTATTCCCTTTCTTTTCACCTAGCCTCCTCCACCAGTAGTATTACTATTAACCAAAGAACTTCAAATTGCCTATGCTATTATTTTGAAGAGTTGAGGGTTGAGTATGAATACTTTCCTAAGTAGTAGTCACCGAAGTAACCTGAATGTTTCTGTTTTCAGATCCTGTGTAGCATTGGCTATGCATCATCTCTTGTTTTCTTGACATATATAATTTCATTCATTTTCCGTAATGGTAGAAAAAATAGTGGCATTTGGTCGTTTTTCTTCTTGATTGTAAGTATGCACATGTTACTTATATTTTAACTCTTTCTTGAATAAATCTAGAAGTATATATTTTATTTTGCTTATAATGTGTTATAGGCTTATTTATATTCTATTATGTCTTTGAGTGTTTTGCCCGCTTGTATGTATGTGTACTTTTATTTTTAACTCTTTCTTGAATAAATCTAGAAGCATATATTTTATTTTGCTTATAATGTGTTATAGGCTTATTTATATTCTATATTTATATTCTATTATGTGTATGAGTGTTTTGCCCCCTTGTATGTATGTGTACCACATGTGTTCCTGGTGCCTGTGGAGTTCAGAAGAAGACATCAGATCCCTGGAACTGGAGTTAGGGATGATAGTAAGACACCATGTGTGCACTGAGAAACAAACCTGGGTCCTCTTGAAGAGCAGCAAGGCTCTTCAAGGCTGAGCCTCCACAGCCCCAAGGAGCATATATTTTAATTGTGTCCTAAGCAGAATAGCAAATTAATAATTCTTTTTAGAAAATTTAAATTGCTCTAAGATGATCATAGATCTATGTCAATTGTACTGTGTGTGTGTGTGTGTGTACATCTACAGAGCTTGATGGATCCAGGAGGTAGAGACTTCTACTCCACAATCATTCCTTTCTTTCCATTGCTATGCTATGCTATGCTATTAGCAGATATATCCATCAATGTATTTATCTATTATTGATGCCTATCAAATGGCTTCCTGTTTGGGGCTATTATTACTACTGGCAGGAAGTCAGTATTGTGTATACTTTGGTACATTCATGTATTTGAGGATACAAACAGGAGTGGAATTCTTAGGAATTATTATTTATATATTCACCTTTGGTATATCTTGCAAATGAGTTGTTTACAGCAACATGAACTCAAGAAATTAATTTCTTATGTAGTTTCTTGAAATAAAAACTGAATAAAGCCATTCCATACACACAGAAGCTTCACGAATGTTTATAGCAGCTTTATTAATAATTATCCAAATATAGAGCTACCCAAGACATATCAAGATGGTAAATGGTTAAATAAGTAAAAGTATATCCATATGATAGAATATTATTTACTTCTAAGAAGAAATGAGCTATTAATCCCTGAGAAGACAAGGAATAAACTCAAAGACAACACGAAAGGGCTATGTATCATGATTCTAATTACACGACACTCCAGAAAAGCTATGAAAATAAAATGATTCATGGTTGCCAAGATTTATGTGGGTGAAAAGGTGAGTAGGTGAGCCTGGAGAACTTTTAGGAGAATGAAATGCTTTGTGTAAAACTACAATGGTAAATACATATTACTGTAACATCAAAAAAAAACCTGTAGACTATACAACAACAAGAATGAACTCTAACACTCTAAAATGTACGTGAGGATTAAATAAAATTTAGAAAAAATGGTAACAGACAGGAAACAAAATATAAAATGAATATTTGGAAAATAATTTTAAAATGAGAAAGATAATATTATTGAGTCTGTAGCTTAGGTATAAAGTATTTGCCTTGTGTGAATGATGCTTTAGGTTCAATCCAGCACTGCCCGAGTGCATGAATGTGTGTGTGCATATAAGGAGAGGGCTAAGTATGTGTGCCTGTGTACATCTGTACATATGTGCAAATGTGTGTGAAAATTGTTAGTATGTTTACATAGACAAGCAAAGGACAATGTTCTAGATAAAAAGACTGTAGTGCCAACCTAGAAGAACTTCCTTCCTTCCTTCCTTCCTTCCTTTCTTTCTTTCTTTCTTTCTTTCTTTCTTTCTTTCTTTCTTTCTTTCTTTCTTTCTTTTTGAGACAGGATTCCTCTTTGTAGCTCTGGCTGTCCTGGACTCTGTAGACCAGTCTGGCCTCAAACTCACAGAGATCTGCCTGCCTCTTCCTCTTGAGTGCTGGGAATAAAGGTGTGTGCCACCTTGCCTGGCTTAGAAGAAATTTAAAAGAATAATGATAACAAAAATTAAAAGAGGACATAAATATGAGGTGACTTTGAGTATGGTATTAGAAGGAGCCAGAGAGAGGAAAGAGTGGTGGATGGATATGATCAGTATACATTATGTAAATGTGTGGTAACTTTCAAAGAATAAAAATATTTAAATACTTCAAAAAGAATAAGAATGAACAATAACCAACAATGATTGATTCCAGGATGCAATGTTGATTGAGAATTAGCAACTGTCAAAATAAAGGAAACATCACATGGTTTCTGAAACATATCCAGTCAAAAAGAAACATAAATTCAAGAACACAGATTAGAGAATCCAATGGCAAATACCATATTAAATGTTAAAATTATAAATTACTTATTTAGTGTTAACAATTGGACAGTGATACTTACAGTTGTTAACAATAGGTATGGCATAATGTACACTCTAGTCACAGATTTTAGAGGAACAGAATGTCACAAAGTTTTTGAGAACATTTTTGACAACTGTTGATTTTTAAATGCATAAAGAAGGTTTTAATTTGAGGAAGGTGGACAGATGGCTGAGTGGTAAAGAGCACTGACTTCTCTTACAGAGGACCAGAGTTTAATTCCCAGCACTTACGTGGAGGCTCACAACTCTCTGTAACTTAAGTCCCAGGGAATCCAACATCCTCTTTTGGCCTCCTCAGATACCAGGCATTCACATAGTATACAGAAATACACACAGGCCAAAATAAAGTCCTGTACAAATAAAGCAATGATAGAAGTGAAAATTTAATAAAAAGATTTTAATCTCCAACACTGAAAGCATAAATACGGAAAACATTAAGGTATACCACAATTAATATGACCAGAAAAATCAAACAACAAAGTTTTAAAAACAAAATTATAATCTCTTACACATTCAATCAAGGAAATATTCAGCTATGAAAATTAATAGTCAGTATCCTTAGACTTAGAAAGATATCCAAGACTTATGTTGAAGTAAAAAAAGGATGTATGGAAATGAATGACCAAAGAGTGCCATCATCAAAATCTTATGTTTACACACATCATGTTTGAAAAGCACTGCCTTCCAATAAAATTATGACATAGTTTGTGACACAAAGGAAGAAGTGTGATGGCAATGCCATTTTTGCATGAATAGGAATCTATAATAGGAACATTGATAAGTTGAATTTCTGCTCTCTTTGAAAATAACATCACTATATTTTAGTGACATCATACTGTGCTTTCATTTCAGGTCACCATCTTCTCCTTAGTTGCTACTGACATGAATGAGTATGGGTTTCTAGGGCTCCTAATCTGCAGCTTTTTAATACCACCCTTCACACTGATTGGCTCTCTATTAATTTTTTCTGAGGTAAGCAATTTCACTCATCTCCTTCCATCATAAAATGTAAAGCCATCAAAGAAAGTGTTGAATATTAGAAAAACAGGCAAAGTCAGTCTTGGCTGTGCAGTGTTTGAAGCTATAATTTTCAGAAAGGGGTGCTCGGTTTTAGTAGAAATTCCTACCCTTATTAGTGAAGGCCAAAGGGGACTCCAGATGAGTAGCATCTCATAGCCTTCATTCCTGGGAACCCTACTGTGAGTCAGAAGCAAGGCCCCTCTTCTGTTAAGGTTAGGATGCATTATGTAAAAGAAGCATGCACCAGCCAGTTGTATATATCTGGAGCGTTTGGCCTCTGGGGAGATTGAGAATACAGCAGATACCTGAGATTCATCAGTTTATTAGTGTTGGCAAAATCAATATAACAGAGTAATGCAACTTACACAGCAAGCAGAAGTTGAAATGAAAAGAGATCCAGGATTTGACTTTGAACTCCAAACTTTAGAGCTTTGGAGAGAGGGAGAGTCAGCAAATCAGTGTGAACAGGAGGAACCAGAGAAATGGCTGGCATCAGACTGTCTCATCCCCTCGCCCAAGCTCACCTTGTTTCCAGGGGTGAAATAAGAGCATTTCTATAAAGTAAAAACCAATTAAGCTACTAACTGCCACTGAGTAGTCCAGAAGGATGGCAACTGGGGAAAGACCATTCTGTCTAAGGACTGGTGATATTAACAGTGTCTGCTTTGGTGAAAGCATCAGCTTGTACTCAGTGAGTCCATTAGAGAATACGAGGTGAACCAGTGCTGGCAGTGCCTGTTGGCAAGCCTGCCCGTGCTTTTCATGTCGAGATAGCAGAAGCAGGAGAGCAGGTGAATCAGGAAGGTGGTCAGTGTTTTTAATTCATGTTTCCTAAGAAATGTTGCGCTGCGCTGATGAGAGATAGGAAATCTCCCATGGTCAGAGAGAAGAGCATTATCCAGGGGGTAAACTCTGAAAAGCTGAATGAAGAGCACCAGCATGCATTGTCCAAGTGGAGAGGTTGCTCTCCATTTCTCACGGGATTCACTAAGAGTGCTGAGATAGAGAATAGGCTTCCTTTGGAAAATGAGATGTCTCTCGTTTGAATGACTGCTTTCTTGGGGGAAATAGGAATTGCAGTTATTAACTGCGTGTGATAGGTTCAAGGCAGAATTAACATTTTGATACCAGAAGAAAATTGTATATTTATAATTAATACATATGTATATATATATATTGCTGGGAGTGAATCAGTAGGATTGGCAGACCTGTGGGAACAGAACTTCCTTTTCAAGTGGAATAAGCAAAAAATGAGAGTTAAAACTATCCAGAAAGTCTCTTGATGAATACAGCTCAAGCAATAAAGTTGGCTCATGATCCTTTATTCATGATGAAATGAGATGTCCTTTATCGAGATCTAATGGGACAGTGTACTTAAATATGATACATGTGAATCTCCATATGCAAAATTTTGCCTTGTTTGGAGGATAGTCATGATTATTTTCTAAAATGAATGTCAGGAGATGAGAACAATATGAATCCAGGGTCTCCAGAGGAGGAATAGAGAGAAGGAGTATGAATAAGACAGAAAAACAGGCGAACTCAGCTCGGGGAGAGGCTGTGCTTCAGAAAGAATTGCCAGTGTCTTCAGTGGATCCTGCCAGTACCATCCACAGTCTCGCTTACTCCCAATGTTGCATAGGACAGTATTCTGCCTCTTGGCCTGTGGACAAGCTTGAGTTCATGGAAATAATGGGGAACAAGGACAACATACCAGTCAGAAGCAGACTCTACCCAATACCCAGGTTACATGGGTTCATTGCAAACAGGAGAGCCATGAACAAAGAAGTGTTCACTTGAACATGTCTTCTTATTTTGCAGATTTCTTATGACTCTGTGGACTACGTAGGAGCCTCAGAATCTCAAGTCATACCTCTGGCATTACTGATAGTAAGACAGTGTTTCCTTTGGGATGTTTCTGCATTAGGAGAGACACTTGAACATTTTTCTACTTTCTTTTTTATTTATTCTATGTGTCTTTTACATCATGTATCTTGATCCCATTCATTTACCCATCCCTTCACATCCACCCTCCAGCCCTGCACTCCCCCCACCAAACTAAAACAAAATTTAATGGAGACAAAAGGGAAATTTATAAACCTTATCGTGGAAGCTGCAGTGTGACACAGAGTCACGCAGTAAACCCCTTTGTTCATGTATCTTTCCTTTCAAGTGTTATTTGCAAAGAGTCATTGGTGTGGTTTGAGGACTCTGGTTTCTGCAACACTATCAATTCTGGCCCTCGCTAGGACTGAGCAGCTGCCCACGTCCAGAATCAGGATAGGACTTGGCCTGCCCTTATGTTTACCCCATCTACAATCTGCTGGAGCACATGAAGGGATCTTACACATAGACCCAAAGCTGCAGACTCTCCACAACACAGGGCAACAATAGGACATTTGAACAGTTTTGTGTTTCTTTGAGTTTCAGCAAACTAAAAATTATGTGGAAATTTTTGGCATAAGAAGTAACACACACACACACACACACACACTTTACATTTGAACCACTAACATTACAGTGACCATTTGATGTCAAGCGTGGAGCCCACACTCTAAACAGCGTTAACAGTACTTGTATTAATTCATTACTGCTGTGTTGGTACTTTTTACACTTATTTATTTATTGGGGGGAGCATGCTATGGAATGCATGTGGAAGTCAAAGATCAACTTGTGGGAGTCATTTTCCCCTTCCACCATGTGGGTCCCCGGGATTGAACTCAGGTCATCAGGCTTGGCAGCAAGCACCTTTACCCACTGCACTTTCTCTCTGGCCTGCTATTGCTATGTATACATTATTCCTTTTCTGAATAACAGAAGGGCTAACTTTGACAGCTTCAGATGATATCAAATAGATTATATTCAGGTTTGTGAGAATGTCATCAAGCACCATTTTATAGATGGCCAGGCTTATTAAATTAGCTCCAATACGAAAACAATTGTTTTTATGATGAAGCTAACTTTATTTTTCTTTCTCTGTTCCTAGCCTTATTTCCATTTTCTCCTTTTCTTTTTTGTCCTGCGATGTCTGGAAAGGTACCTCAGGAAGAAGTCACTGAGAATGGACCCTGTGTTCAGGTTGAGAGCATTCAAATAGATTTTATGTTTCATTTAATCTTCATTCTTTAGACATTTTAACATGCCTAAATTAATTAGTGAGGGTGGGACAACCTAAGATTGTCTTTAAGGGCCTGTATTGTGGGCAAAATTTTTATAATTCATTGTCTTAAAGTCTAGTAGGAAAAGTGACATTAGCATATACAAGACCCTGACAAATGATGAAAGATGGAAATTTCACTGGCACATTTAAGTCATATACAAGAGGTGTTAGCTTTAAAAGAATGGACAAATACAGATGAGCAATTAGATACATGTTGACAATCCAAGACTGTCAACTGAGTAATAAGACAGCAGTTGAGATGCAGGCCTTTCCCCCCAAAGACTTGAGGAGACAATTGTGACAAATTTAAAGCCTTGTGTGGAGGATAGCAGAAAATGTGAAGTTGGATATTGGAAGTTTCTGAAATAGGGAAGTATGGGCAAGGTATTGAAAATTACTTAATGAGCAAGCAATTTGTGTGTTTTACACACTTAGTTACTGTTCTATTCCTTTAAAGAGACACCATAACTAAGGCAACTCTTATAAAAGAAAGCACCTAACTAGATGCTTAATTATAGTATTAGAGGGTTAGGACATGATTAACATGGTGGGAAGCAAACAGGCATGGTGTTGGAGCACTAGCTGATACACTTACATCCTAATGCACAGGCAGCAGGCAGAGAGATCGAGAGGGATATTGAACTTGGCATGAACTTTTGAAACCTCAAAGCCTACCCCTAGTGACACACCTGCTCTAACAAGAGCACACACCTACTCTAACAAGGCCACACCCCACTAGTCCTTCCAAAATAGTTTCACTATCTAGTGACTAAGCATTCAAATATCTGGTCCTATGGAAGCCATTCCCATTCAAACCACAAGCACACACACCTAGCTTCTCCCACAAAATAAAAATAAAACTCAAATCTATGTTTGATGAAAACCGAATAAGAGTGATCAGATAACAGCATATTTTATAGAAACTAACCAAGCATAGTATTAAAGGTAACCCGAGGGAGAGAAGAATCAGTTTACTCAGTTATGGTTGATTAATAAAAGTCTTGATTGACACAGTTGGAAGGACTGACTGACATATTCTTAAGAGGTAGCAAAACCAAGTAACTGAATGGACATTGGGATGCTTATCAGACACCCTGGACCAACTGGGATATGTTCCTAATTGCTTGTCCTCCAGTTCTTCATCCTTAAGAAGCTTACAGAATCATAAACACACCCCAACTCCACTTCTTTCTTCAAGGAAAACTTCCTTAACATCCATAAGAGTAGGGGTGTGCTGCTTTGCTAGCCAAAGGGGGAAACGTCATTATTGATTAAGAGAACTGTATTTATGTAAAAAATCAAGAATGACTAGGAGCAGAATAATTTGACTCAATGATAGAAAGAAATGAGTGTATATGAAATGTACACAATAGAGTAGAAGACTGGAGTTGTGCTGTTTCCAATCTATCTATTTCAATAACTGATAAGTCTAATGTGCTGTTTGGACTTTAGAATCTCTCCAAGAAGCTGTAATGCTTTCCCTAACCCAGAAGAGCCTGGAGAAGAGGATGAAGATGTTCATATGGAAAGAATGAGGACAGCAGGTGCCGTGGCTGCCCTACAGATAGATGAGGTGAGGTTCATGAACGTATTCTTCCTTTCTTCCGCAAACAGTTCTGCCAGCTAGGCAACACACATGCCAGTCTTAAATCTCTTAAAAGCCTGGCCCAGGGAGGGGTTCTTTTGCTCTTAGAGTTCATTATTTGATGTCAGTAGGTGTGTAGTACCCACATTCTATGGAAATAGAGAAAACACACACACCAACTTGGTAATTTGTTTTCAGAGCCATGCATTTATAAATACAGTTAAACATTAGAAAATTTAAGATTTTAATGAGTTTCTTTTAAAGATCTGTTTTGTAATTTAAGTATTTTGTAAATGTATGTGCCTTTATGTATGGGCGTCATTTTGCATAGATACCCACAGATGCGAGAAGCCAAATGAGGCCCCTAGAATTGGAGTTACAGGCAGTTATGAGCCAAGAACCAAACTCAGGTCCTCTACAAGAGAGGAGCAAGTGTTTTTAACCGTTGAGCATCTCTCTAGCCCCAGCTTTTATGAGTTTTGTAATCCATTTTAAGCAAGTAACAAATGATTCAGAAAAGAGTTTTCTTGTGCCTGTGTCCTTGTCTGTGCCTCTGTGTGTGTGTTAACAAATGAGTGGCCTCATGCCAGCTCTCTGCAAAATAGCAAGCACAAATTACACACAGCACTGCAGATCAAATGCTCACAGAGGGACTCGGGAGTTCACTTGAAGACAGCAGTTTGTATCAGGAGTGATTTGATTCATGATTCTATGCAAGGAAAGCCCTGGTGGTAGGAGTGTGAAGAAATCTCTCAGTGGAAAGTGAGAAGAGTACCACACTGATATTCAGCTCTCTTTACAGAGACCAGTCATCATTGCTAGCTGTCTGCGGAAGGAATATACGGGCAAAAAGAAAAAATGCTTTTCCAAAGCAAAGAAAAAGATTGCCACAAGGAACGTCTCCTTCTGTGTTAAAAAAGGTTGGGAACCACAGAGCTGTCACTGGAGCTGTTGTGGGCTTTGAAGCCTGGGTCTTCCTAAGGGGCCACGAGTGTGAGACTGGGATCTTCTGTTAGTGAACGCTGAAAGGCAGCTACCTCACCAGGACCTTCAGGCTGTGCCTTCCAGCTGACAAGACTGTTTTAGTAATACGTTTTTATTTGCAAAGGAAGAGATACATTCTACAAGTGAGATACATTCTAAGTCCTGGCATAGGATTAAATTGAACTTTTTCTTAATATATAGGACAGACTGAGTCACAGTATATTTCATTCCTAATAAATAGTTTATGGTATCTAGGTGTAGCAATTCATGACAATAGTGCCAGAACTTGGGAGGCTAAAGCAAGAATATTGTAACAAACTCAAGGCCACCCTTAGATGTACACATGAGTTCCAGGGTAGTCTGAACTACATAGTAAGAACCTACCGCAAGTTGAGAAAGAAATAGTGTATGCTGTGGAAGTAACTGCAACAACTGTCCTTTGAAATTCCTGCTTGGTCTCTTAGTAACTTACTTTAGTCAAGTTATCTGCATTCTTTAAGCCTCAGATTTCTCTCCTATAAGATGAAACTAGTAATGGCATCAAGTGTGTGTGTGTGTGTGTGTGTGTGTGTAAGCGAGAGAGAGAGATTGAAATATACACACTACAGTTTGTGTAGTGCCTCTTTACAGAGAGTCCACAAATTGTATTTAGTTATATGTTTTGAAGTTATTTTCATGTTCTTGAGTTTCTGTTTCTTCCAGGTGAAGTTCTAGGGCTTTTAGGACACAATGGAGCTGGTAAAAGTACAACAATTAATATGATAACGGGAGACACAAAACCAACTGCTGGGCAGGTCAGTAATACACAAAAAAACATGTTCCATAATGTTGGCTAGACCAAGAATTTTACAGTGATTGTTCATGGTGACCTAAAAATACGTAGCTGGTCTTTAGTCAATTATAGTGCTATGAAATGAAGTTGGTTGATTAAATTTTTTCTACTTGATGCAAAAAATAATTTTTGAGAAGGGTTAATCTTTTTATTTCTGTTTGGTTTTTCGAGACAGAGTTTTTCTGTATTGTTTTGGAGGCTGTCCTGGAACTCGCTCTGTAGACCAGGCTGGCCTCAAACTCACAGAGATCCGCCTGCCTCTGCCTCCTGAGTGCTGGGATTAAGGGAGGGCACCACCAACGCCCGACGAGAAGGGCTAATCTTATCAGTACAGTGCCCTTAAGTAGAGAATATTAGTGAAAATATATGTTATACAAACACATACACACACTCATGCATACTTTCATGAAGCCACCATTGCTTTGTTATTTGTCCCAAGAACTTGGTAAACTGAGTTTTCTCACCCAGCATTATACAAGAGACCTCTGTTAAAACCCCAACAAGTCTTGCTAATGTGGTTACAGTCATGAAGCCCCATATTTAATAACTATTCTCTGCTTCCATGCTGTGATTAAAGGCTACATGCCACTTGGGTAGCAAGAGGCCATGGGTGTCTTTGCAAAGAAGACAGTCAGCAAAGCTGTCTGGTAATAACTGAGATAGATCCTGGCTGGAAGGCAGATGATGTCTCCAGTGACAGGAGAGATGCTGGCAGTGTCAGATGCTTCTGGAGTTGTACCAGAGTTCTCACAGCACCAGCGTGGTGCTGTGCAGGAGACTTAGATTTCCCAAGGTGACAGACATTAGAGAGAAGCAACTCAACAGTCCATAAGCTAGGATAAAATACTAAACTGTACACAAATTGCATTTTTCTAGGCCAAATTAGATAAACGGTGGACAGAAACCAGAGTACGACTTCAGAGAAACATGCCATAGCCATTTGATCTGAGGTTAAGATCAGAGGGAAGGTTAAGGAAGGACTGCTGTACACGGGACTGATTGCTGTACATGAATTGTCTTTTTGTTCTACTCTTCCCTGATGCGACCACTGGAGAAGGCCTTTAAAACTGCAAATGAAGCACGTCCACTCTCCTGATTACAAACGCTTACTGTAGTGATCCAAACTCTGCCATGGCTGCAGATGGCTCAACACAATGTGGTCTGTGCCAACTGCCTTTCTTCCTCCCTGCCTCTTGGATTTGCCCTTGATCTTTCCACTGTAGGGTATGTGGGCTTGAACTCCCAGTGGACAGAGTGAAATCCAGGTGCTTGACTATCTTGTTAGTATCACTCTAAGTTCCACTTGCTCAAAGGGCCTTTTATTGCCTGAGCTATCCACTTCATCAACTTATATACAAGATGTGTGTATTTTCGCCAGGCGGTGGTGGCACACGCCTTTAATCCCAGCACTCGGGAGGCAGAGGCAGGCGGATCTCTGTGAGTTCGAGGCCAGGCTAGACAGACAGCCTCCAAAACAATACAGAGAAACCCTGTCTCAAAAAACCAAAAATAAAAAAATAAAAAAAGATGTGTGTATTTTCATGGACGCATTAAGCAGAGGCTTTCAGCATTCCCCTTATTTTTCAACTTAATTTGTTTTCTGGTTTCTCTCTAGAATGATAGTTCTTCAAAGCCAAGTTAATCCTCTCTCTCTCTGTCTCTGTCTGTCTGTCTCTCTGTCTTTGTATCTCTCTCTCTGTCTCTGTCTCTCTCTCTCGTACCAGGGAGAGATAATAACAGAGAATCAAGGTCAAGGGCTTAGGTTAATTTCTTAACCCTTGAATGCATTAGATTCACATATCTAATAGGGACACAGCTAACTGAAGCAATTTTTGAGGACAACATAATTTAAGATCTATTAAAAGCTTAATTTCCAGTACTTGTGATCACTGAGTACACAGTAGCTGTTATATACAGCACAATGCTGGTCTCATCAAAATAATAAATACTTCCATTTTATTGGTTCTCAAGTAGGATTTTCCTCTGTTAGTTGCTTCAGGCCACTCGACTTTAGATCTAATGGCATTATGAATAAATGTGTGTACAGAGCATTTAACAGTGTCTCTGGCTGTTACCCACTAGATGCCAGTTGTATCCTTTCCAGCACAGAAGTGAACACAAATGTGATAAGTAACTGTGTATGTGTCCAGAGAGTGTGAGATGCACCCTGAGGACTGCTCGTTACTGAAAACCACTGGAGAGGCAGTGCTTACCAAATATCCATTGTTTTGAACATTTGGATCAGCGAAGGAACTCAGGAAATCTTAATTTGAACTGTGGTGGTGGATTTTGCCATGAAGTGTAAACTAGTAATGTGAATATTTGCCATTTAAATTATGGATAGATTCATCTCTTCCCCAGACCTAAATGATTACTTAACTCTTTAAACATTTAATGGATTTTGTCTGAACTTCATACATGAGCACTTCATATACATCATTCTTCCCCCTTCCTCCACCTCTCCAACTCCTCCCATGTTCCACCCCTACCTCTCAAACTCATGGTCTCTCCTTCAATTATCATTGCTACATGTATGTGCATACACACATATATATGCAAATATATGTATATATAGAGAGAGACATATATGTACAAGCTACTGAGTCTGCATGGCATTGATCACATAAGCATATATCAGACCTGACCAATTAGGTTTAGACAAGCTGTGTGGGGAGCTCATCCCTGGAGGAAACGGATTCTTTCTCTCTCAGCAGCCATTAACAAGCTCTAGATCATCATCTGGTGTCTGGGTCTGTGTGGAATTTCTCCTATCTGGCTTGGCATGTCAACTGGTGTTGTCAAAACATGGTCATGTTCAAGCAGTCATGCTTTTACTATTATGCTCTTAGTACTCAGGTGCATGAAGAAAACATCATTTAGTATCACTTACACACACACACACATGCATACACACACTCACACACAGTCTTGGATAGAATCTGAGAAAGGTTTTATTGTGTGTAGGTACTTTTGAAAGGGTGTGGTGAAGATGCTGCCCTCGGGTTCTTGGGATACTGTCCTCAGGAGAACGTGCTGTGGCCTATCCTGACAGTAAAGGAACATCTGGAGGTGTATGCCGCTGTGAAGGGGCTGAAAAAAAAGGATGCCTTGGTCACTATTACACGGTACATGGAGAAGCCACGCTCATTTCCTGCTCAGGAGGGTGATACCTTAGTGACAGTGTTCACACAAAATTAAAGAAGGGAGCTTCTAACTAGTGAGCCCTTGCTTACGGGAGATTTGGTCATCACACAACTGGGATGTGAACTGGGAGACCCAGTACAATATTGTTGTTTTTCTTACTTTAAGCCTAGAGAGAAAAGTTTACTGAATTTTTTTCATATGGAAAAGAATACTGGAAATAAGAGTGTGATGAACAAAACAGGCTATAAATTATCAGTATTAGCCGGCTTCATATTACTCTAGTGAAATCCACGAGTCTGGCTACATTTGAAGAAAAGAGACTTGTCTATTTAACTCAATATTGGAGGTGAAAATTCAAGATGTCAGCCTTCAATCTAGCCTCTGGTGAGGGCAAATAGCAATGATATCAGTGCAGGATTGTTTTATTTATTAGTGGGAGATAATATGGTCAGACAGGAAACCAGAGAGAGATAAAGACTCCATAGCCCTTTCTGAAAACACAGCTGTTTCTCTCTAGGCGTTCCCCTTAGTCTCTATAGCTTCTAAGGTCCCAAACTCTTTCCTAACGCCACCAACTAGGAATAAGTGCATTAATCCTTGGTGAACAAACTATATCTAAACAATAGCAGTAACCTTATGGGTATTAAGCTATGACAACTCTGATGACTTTTAAAACTTTCGCTACTGTATTGTTTATATTTGCTTGGTACATTCCTTCCTGCTGATGACTAATGAAGATGAACTCATTGTGTTTCTCAGGTTGGTGGATGCGCTCAAGCTGCAGGACCAGCTAAAGGCTCCCGTGAAGACCCTATCAGAGGGAGTGAAGAGAAAGGTATGCACAGGGCTCAGTGTACCATTCTGCATCCAGCAGGCTGATGATGGACAGGCTGTCCCTATTGTTTCAGCTTTGTTTCACGCTGAGCATCCTGGGAAACCCATCGGTGGTGCTTCTGGATGAGCCCTCAACCGGCATGGACCCTGAAGGGCAGCAGCAGATGTGGTAAGATCTCAGGAGCAGCACTTATGTAGACTTATATATCTTGTAAAAGCCAACTTTCAACGTACTTTACGTAAAAGCACAAATATATCCGTCCTTGGGCAGGAAAAGCCCAAGCATTAGTAGGAAAAGCATGCAATTTCATATTCTGGCCAACACTTGTAACACAAAAGCAAGAGACATATTCCTTCCATCTAACATCCACTGTAAGAATCTTGTTTTCCTCTTAGATCTCAGTATGCATAAGGCACAGTTAGTCCACTCAATCATTAAATTTCAAATCCTCTGCAGTAACAGCATGACATAGTCATGGAGATGAAAATAAAAACCCCAATCCCTCAATATGTTAATTACTTTACAAAATTTCTAAAATGGATCATGTTGTGCCCTTGTAATATATATTATGATTATCACATCTTCTAGGAAGTCCTCACTTCCCCTGCCTTCTCATTAATTCTCCCGCTGCTCAGTACTTTTGAGAGCAACTTTCTTCGGTATCAACCTCCACATACAGCCCCAAACCATCTCTAAATTGTATACTCTAATGCTTAGGTTCATTGTCTGTCAGTTCTACAAAGATACATTGGTTTTGGTTTCTCCTGGAAGCACTGCTGGTTTTGCATGTGTGCTAATGGAAACATCTTTAAAACGCTCCGTGATATCTTTAGAATTCTCTTTCATCAGCTGTTCTCCCTGACCTAACTCTAGGCAGGCGATCAGGGCCACCTTCACAAACACAGAGAGGGGCGCCCTTCTGACCACACATTACATGGCAGAGGCAGAGGCTGTGTGTGACCGCGTGGCCATCATGGTGTCTGGGAGGCTGAGGTGAGTACCGGTCAGGCCTGCTCTTGACCCCGGGTTGCCTTCTGTAATAGAAGAACACTGCCCACTGTGACACACTGGAGAATCTGACCCAGTCTCTGCCTGGCTCCGCTGCTAGCACCCAGATGCTGAACTGCATGGGCCATAGACAGCTTTCTTGCCTTGCTTGACTTTAGCTTCCTCATATTTATCTCCAGATGTATTGGTTCTATTCAACATCTGAAGAGCAAATTTGGCAAAGATTACCTGCTGGAGATGAAGGTGAAGACCCCTGCCCAGGTGGAGCCCCTCAACACGGAGATCATGAGGCTTTTCCCCCAGGCTGCTCGGCAGGAGAGGTGCTGCATGGATTGTTTTAATCTTATATTTGGTGGTATTTATTTTTTTAGAATGATGGGAAATGAAAGTTCTATCTCCTCATTGTTTTTAACTTCAGCAAATGTGAGTACCTTCGTTACTAAGAGAAGGCCTCTGTTCCAAGGGCTGCCATGAGAAATAACTAAGACAATAAATTACTCATTGCAGGCTGGCTCTTGTGAGGGAATTAGCATTTGTGGAGCTCTGAAATATGCCATGCGCTAGTGTACGTCTGTGCTTATATTATCTCAGTGGCTTTTCAGAGGGTCAAAGCATCCATAGTAAAGGAGATGCCCTGATAGAGCTCAGTGGTGGTGGTAAACATTCATCAGAATCTATGAATGGCCTCTCTAAGCATTTGTATTACTGGTAGTTCTGAGGCAAGAATAGATGAGGCGATACAAAAAAACTAGCAGTTTCTGCTTAGATATTCTCTTCTTCCTAAGCTGGAAGAACTGTCTTGTTCCCACCATTCTTCAGGCACCTTGCTACCGATTTCTTCTTTTGTATCCCAGTCTTCTTCCTGACAGACTGACTAGTTGTTGATCAAAGAGCACTGGAATAGCAGCCACCTCCAAGTCATAAGTTATACATTTATGGTGGGCAGTAGTTGTACTTGAGAGGCAGAGGCAGGTGGATCTCTATGAGTTTGAGGCCAGCCTGGCCTACAAATCAGGTTCCAGGACAGCCAGAGCTATACAGAGAAACCCTATCTTGAAAAACTAAAAAGAAAAAAAAAGATATACACTTACACAAAGAGTTGATGGGATTGTTGTTTGTATTCAGACATGCACACATCAGAGGGTACAACCATGAATCCCAGTGTTCATGCTCCTTCTCTTCACAGATACTCCTCCCTGATGGTCTATAAGTTGCCTGTTGAGGATGTACAGCCTTTATCACAGGCTTTCTTCAAATTGGAGAGACGTAAGTGAATGTAGAAATAATATTCCAAAAACCATAAAAATCCAAATCAGCTTTAAGAATTATAGGATGTTCATGATACATAATTAATAAATTGCAAGACATCTAATCCAGTGGTTCTTAACAAGAAGTGATTTAGTATGTCCATCTCATAATGCAAAATGCCTTCAGTCTAACTTCAAAAATCCCCATAATTCTTAAAAGTCCCAATATTGTTCAAAAGTCTTTCAAGAGACTCAAGGCAAACTCCAATTTGTGAGCCCTGGTGAAATAATGATCAAGTAAAAACACTACATGCATCCAACAAATAATGGCTCAGAGAAAGCATTCCTTTCTGAAGGACAGCAAGCAGAGATTGCAGAATAGCAAGACCAACGTGTATTCGGAGGCCCTCTGTCTCCCTCCCCATTCTGCAGCCATTTCCAAATAATCACCCAGAGGCTTACATTAATTATAAATGTTTAGCTGATGGCTCAGGCTTACTACTATGTAGCTCTTATATTTAAATTAACCAATGTCTATTAATCTGTGTATCACCACGTGGTCTGTGGCTTACCAGTGGTGCTCTTGCTAGTTGCTACTTGGGTGGTTGCTGGTGTCTCTCAGACTCTGCCCTTTTTCTCCTGTATCTACCTGGGCTTGGATTTCCTGTCTGGCCCTATCCTTCCTTGCCATAGGCCAAAGCAGCTTTATTTTATCAACCAGTGAGAGCAACATGTATTCACAATATACAGAAAGACCATGCATGCCACAGCACCAAAACACACAGGTTAAGTCACATTAACTCTTGTAGCTCCATGTCAGACCGCCAGAGCATCTTTTGGCATGAGATCACTGCCTACAGATTTTTGTATCCCCCTCCTGTGATCCTGCCACTTTTATCACATATGACCTCCTTCTTGGTTCTGTTCTACTCAGTACCTGAGCATTTCCTTAGTAGGTGTTCTGCATCTCCAACATCCTTTACTGCAACTTAGGCTCTACACTTCAGAACTTCACGTGGGCTTGCTGGGTGGTCTGACTCTACTACACAGTGCTTGACCTCCCAAGCTTTTCTTGGGAATCTTTTGGAGACCTAGTTATTCCACAACTTTCGCATTATGAACATATGCTAAACTTGTACTGTATGAATGATTTAAGTTCTGTTGTCAGCTTGAGAAATACTCAGATGCCCTTTCACTAAGGCTGATTACACAGAGGCCCTTTCGCCAAGGCTGAAGCAGCCTCTGTCTGAGTGTCTGGTAGCTAAAACCAGAAAGTTCTATCCATGGTCCTTCACCAGCAGAGTGCTTTGGTGCTCTCCCTGTTTAGTCACTTTTCAACTGACCTTTACATTTCTATACCTTGGGGTCTTTTATGAAAGAAGTCTGACCCTCAAGGCAACTTTCCTATTTTTCCATTATTTTCCTTCAATGGCACTAATGACTCTAACATTGGTAGCCACTCTCTCCCTCCGCACCTACTTTGTCTACCATAAATTTAAATGTTCCCACAATACACACTTTTTTCAAAATGTTTATCCACTTGTTCCTTTCTCTCACTGTAAAATTGTCTAAAGGCAACAGACAGTTATACTGTATTCTGAATGCTGTTTTGTCTCAAAAATTTCTCCACCCCATTAATCGGTCTATTGAGTGAATGTAGCCTCACACAAATTCTAACGACATAAACTGTAGTTGGCATCTTTCCAGAAGTGACTTCAAGGCTG